GGACTCGGTCCCCGCGTCATGACCTAGGGGCCAGCTTTGGGCGCTTCCCGGAAACTAACCGCACGGCCCAGGGGCATCAAAAGCCCTAGGTCAGCGCGGGGGCCCGGTCCCCGCGTCATGACCTAGGGGCCAGCTATGGGCTCTTCCCGGAAACTAGCCGCACGGCCCACGGTCAATGCAAAAGCCCTAGGTCAGCGCGAGGACTCGGTCCCCGCGTCATGACCTAGGGGCCAGCTTTGGGCGCTTCCCGGAAACTAACCGCACGGCCCAGGGGCATCAAAAGCCCTAGGTCAGCGCGGGGGCCCGGTCCCCGCGTCATGACCTAGGGGCCAGCTATGGGCTCTTCCCGGAAACTAGCCGCACGGCCCACGGTCAATGCAAAAGCCCTAGGTCAGCGCGAGGACTCGGTCCCCGCGTCATGACCTAGGGGCCAGCTTTGGGCGCTTCCCGGAAACTAACCGCACGGCCCAGGGGCATCAAAAGCCCTAGGTCAGCGCGGGGGCCCGGTCCCCGCGTCATGACCTAGGGGCCAGCTATGGGCTCTTCCCGGAAACTAGCCGCACGGCCCACGGTCAATGCAAAAGCCCTAGGTCAGCGCGGGGACTCGGTCCCCGCGTCATGACCTAGGGGCCAGCTTTGGGCGCTTCCCGGAAACTAACAGCACGGCCGAGGCGCGAAAGCCCTAGGTCAGCGCGGGGACTCGGTCCCCACGTCATGACCTAGGGGCAAGCTCTTGGCGCTCCCCGGGAACTAACCGCGCGGCCCAGGGACAACAGCCCTAGGGCAGCGCGGGGACTCGGTCCCCGCGTCATGACCTAGGGGCCAGCTTTGGGCGCTTCCCGCAAACTAACCGCACGGCCCAGGGGCAAAGGCCCTAGGTCAGCGCGGGGACTCGGCCCCCGCGTCATGACCTAGGGGCCAGCTTGGGCGCGCCCCGGGAACTAACCGCACGGCCCAGGGACAAAAGCCCTAGGTGAGCGCGGGGACTCGGTCCCCGCGCCATAACCTAGGGGCCAGCTTTGGGCGCTTCCCGGAAACTAACCGCATGGCCAAGGCGCAAAAGCCCTAGGTCAGCGCGGGGACTCGGTTCCCGCGTCATGACCTAGGGGCCAGCTTTGGGCGCTTCCCGGAAACTAACCGCACGGCCCAGGGGCAAAAGCCCTAGGGCAGCGCGGGGACTCGGTCCCCGCGTCATGACCTAGGGGCCAGCTATGGTTGGGCTCTTCCCGGAAACTAGCCGCACGGCCCACGGGCATTGCATGCAATGCAAAAGCCCTAGGTCAGCGCGGGGACTCGGTCCCCGCGTCATGACCTAGGGGCCAGCTGTGGGCTCTTCCCGGAAACTAGCCGCACGGCCCACGGGCATGCAATGCAAAAGCCCTAGGTCAGCGCGGGGACTCGGTCCCCGCGTCATGACCTAGGGGCCAGCTTTGGGCGCTTCGCTTCCCGGTCGGAAACTAACCGCACGGCCCAGGGGCAATGCAAAAGCCCTAGGTCAGCGCGGGGGCCCGGTCCCCGCGTCATGACCTAGGGGCCAGCTTCGGGCGCTTCCCGGATGGAAACTAACCGCACGGCCCAAGGGCAATGCAAAAGCCCTAGGTCAGCGCGGGGACTCGGTCCCCGCGTCATGATCTAGGGGCCAGCTTTGGGCGCTCCCCGGAAACTATCTAACTGCACGGCCGAGGCGCAAAAGCCCTAGGTCAGCGCGGGGGCTCGGTCCCCGCGTCATGACCTAGGGGCCAGCTTTGGGCGCTTCCCGGAAACTAACCGCGCGGCCGAGGCGCAAAAGCCCTTCCTAGGTCAGCGCGGGGACTCGGTCCCCGCACCATGACCTAGGGGCCAGTTTTGGGCGCTTCCCGGAAACTAACCGCACGGCCCAGGGGCAAAGGCCCTAGGTCAGCGCGGGGACTCGGTCCCCGCGTCATGACCTAGGGGCCAGCTACAAATCCGGCGCCAGTTTCTTCCTTTCATCTGTTCTCTTTGTTCGCGGTAGGCCAACGGGTCTAGTGTGGGCAAACAGAGGGGCTCCGTCCGCAGATCTGTCGCGGATCAGGGGGCGCAGGCCACACAGAGACGCCGGGCTGCAGGGGCCTGCCTGCCCAGTGCCATCCACCACGGCCCCCGAACTCGTCCCAGACAAATGCCGGAAGGTCGCCGCACGGGGACTCTGTCCCCGTGCTCGGACCTTGTTTGTCATGCAAAATACCGAATCCACATCTTGCCTTTAAGCACTCGGCGCATGACAAGTTTTGGACGCCCAAACAGGACTACATTCCATGTGCGGATTTGTCATGCAAAAGCTACATTTGTGGCATTGCTTCTGTTGCTGCTCATGCTATACAAATGAGGGGGAGGGGGGGTTGTGCCCTTTCATAACGAAAACAACAGCACCCCGAGCACCAGCGGCCAGCTGAACCTTGACGGCTGCGCGGCCGCGACCATCCCCTTCCAGCTCCGCGCGCTCCGCTTGGCGTCCACCTCCACCCCCGCGGCGGCGGAAACCCCGCGGGGCGAAGTCGGCGAGGCGCTGCTCTTACTCTGCTCGGCCACCGAGGGCAAGAACACGTTGCCGTCGTGGTCTTCATCTTCACGACCGGGGGCCGTCGTGGTATCAATCTTCAGCTTTACCCCCGCAGTCCCCGGCTGCGCGGAGTAGTCGTGCCGCAGAAGCGCGTCGTCCTCCCGGGCGGCCGGAGGCTGTATGCTCTGGTTTCGCATTTTGTTGAATTTTGAGTTCGTGTCCAAATCGTCTGTCTCGGCGTGGTCGTCAACGGCCGGAAGGTTCAGCTTCAGCCAGCGAAAACTACTCCCATGCATAAAACAGAGGATCTACAAGAACTTCGCCTACATTTATTCACAGGCGCAGGATGAAAACAAGGGAGAGGGATCAACTATGTTTGTGATTCTAATTGTAAGTACATCAACAGGGTAGTTGTGATTCACACGACCACAAACGATGGGACACAACATCAAGCCTGTATGTTTATTAACCCATTAGCTTTCGGCTTGCCGGTCGCGAATTGACTTCTTACCATAGTGTTACATAAGTCCTAGACTCACGAAGTTCACGAATTGTCTTTCTTCCGAGAGAAGAGCAGAGAAGTACGACTTTTAATCATGTCCCTATGTTGCTCGATGCACGAAAGTCGGTGACGGACGGTACGTGTGTAAGCGAAAACTTTTGCACGGAACCGATGTTATGCTCTATGTGCTAATCCAATGGCAATGAACCGATAAGTACCGATATAATTCTTGACAAACGAGATATGACTGTACCCGAGCGGGAGTTGTGAGTACGTATCTACGGTGGAGAAGGCGAGAGACCGAGCAACAGGCGAGGCTTAGAGCAACCGATGGACGAAAGTTTTCATCCGTTAGTGGATCGAAACGAAATCATTCAGGACGTGACCGACCCTTCACTTTTGTTCTCAAGGCAGCGCCAGCGGCCAGGGGAAAACTACGAAATCGAAACTCGTAGCAGCTTTTCAATCGAGTTGCAAAACGCGCTAGCTTCCCGAAAAGTTCTGTACATGTATTCTGGTCGATTGGCCGCCGTGCGAGCAAGTGCTAGAACGGCGGCACAGCACAAGAAGTACTATAGAACAAACAAGCAAGTGCTGTGATTCGTGACTCCCTTTCTTGCGCATTGAAACAACTATTCACCTACGAACCGCAACAGTGCAGACCCGCGGAATTTGTTTGTCTGCGTGAAGATCATCTTGGGCCTCATTAAAGGAAAAGAACTATCGAGGCACAAACTCAGCACAGCATCCTTTCCCACAGGAATATAGATTTTTTTTTTCCAACCCGACAGGTGCAACTAGCCGTAAAATAAACGTCATATAATTCGTGCCTCAGCCCGCCCCTGTCAGAGTGGCTTGACTATCTGGCGAAAGGTGAGATTTATCCGCTCCTCCGCGACCTTTGCGCGCTTCGGGAGGCTGTGCTGCCACAAGTGCTGGATGGGTCCGTACATCAGGAGTAAGCTCCCGGACTCTAGGGTAACCGCCGCTTTTTTCCCGTGGTCGGCAATTTTGCGGAACGAGCTATCCCGGCGTGGCAAAATGTTCTCACCCGATGCCCAATCCGATTGAAATAGCTACAAACGAAGAAGTTATAATTTGGTGCGTTGTGCATACGAAACTTGATCTTCCCGCCGTCGTGTGCTAAGCGGAGACTCGCAAGTAGGGCCGCACTTCTCTTTGCACATTTATGTCGTATTAATATAGCGTTGTAATATTGGCCAGCACGTACTGACATCAAATTATAAAAGCAATGCTCACACAGCAGCACCGGGTGAGAACGTTACTTTGCCGCAGGATAGTGAAACTCGCGCGGAGCGCCGAAGGACACGGATGCGATGGTGGGGTTTTTGCCGTACACCGCCTCGTCGTCGCTGTGCCAGCCCTGATATTGCAAGGAAGAATACCCCCTCCGCATATCAAAACGGAAATCTGTGGTGCGGATTTGTGGTCACAAATCAGCTTTGTCATGCTAGAAGGGAAAAGATGCGGGCTGTAGTGCTGGGTCGCGTGGGAAAGCCTTGCATCGTCAGCATGAGAGGAGGCAGCTGGAAGTGGGAAACTGCATGACAAATTGCCTGCAAATGAGGCCACAGCTGCGGCTCTTGGCCTTCTAGCAATACAAGTCGATTTGTGTACTCAAATACAGCATCAGAAATTTCGTGTTCGATATGGGGAGGGGGGATTTTTCCTTTTGATACCTGACTGTCCGCTCCCGATCGGTACCGGTTTAACAGGACGCTGTTGAACGAGGCCGTCTCCGTATGAGAGTGCACAACTCCCCCTCTCCCTCATTTGTAATGCAAAACCCCAAATGCCGTTGGTGTATTGTGGCAGTGTTTGCATGACGAATTCCGGAAGCCAAAGCACGCACGACATTCGGTGCGTAAACTTGTCATGCACAGGCTCCAATTGTGTTGGTGTTTGTGATGCTGTTCATGCCATACAAATGAGGGGGAGGGGGAGTTGCGCACTCTCATACTCAGGTACTAGCGGTGCTGCTGCTGGCTGCCCCCCAGGGGACTGCTTCACGTTCACATCGACTTTAATACTATTCTGCGCTGCAGAAGATATCAAAACAGAACTCTTACCGCCCATAGTAGAAATACTGCCAGAACAACCAGAGCTCGTTCTTTGCGCACCAGATGAACTACAACTTCTTTCCCCCTCCATCCTCTCCAGTACGGTCTTTCTCAGCTCCTCCAGGATTGGCGGGAACAGCCGCGCGTGCAGCAGTCGCCCAGAGTATTTGTAGCTGTGGTCCCCAAAGTAGCAGGTCAATCGGGGCTCGGGAATCTCCTTCCCAAACAGCTTCACGCTCCCCTGCGCCCACGGCATCTGCTGCTGCAGCTTGCGCAAAAGCTCGTCTGGGTTCTCGAAGGCGCGCGGGAGGTACAGCACCGCTATTGTGAGCAAAAACGTCCCCGCCCCAGTGTCAAGATGGGGAATCTGCTAGACAAATCCACAATGACAAGTTTGGCCTCGGAGTGTGGTCCTGTTTGGTTAGTGCAGCAGCATCACAGATCTAGTATATCATGCTGAGACGAGCATCACAAATTTCAAAACACCGCTAGAAAACGCTTCTCATGGGGCTGCTCCGCATGACAAACATTTTGTGCATGCAGATTTGCATCACAACTATGGAGTGGGAACGTTTCTACATAGGATATCCGCGCTCCCTTCCCCATCCAGGAGGAACACCTCGTTTGGAGGAATCGCCACGACTGCGCGAACAGAATCCTTCTGGCCGATCTTGCCCCGATCTTGCTTTCCTGCTCTCTTTTGCACCCCGCCCGGATTGACTGCTTGTGCCGCGGACGAGCTTGCTTTTGATGTCCTTGTTGGGAACGAGCCGCCCACCTGGAGGTTCTTTGTCGCGGCAGACTTAGGCTCATCTCCCGGAGCCTTCTTGCGCACGGTCGTACTCGGGCCCGGGAGGAGGGTTCCACTCGCGACTTTCCCGCCCCGTTTTGAGGTCATGTCTTGTTCTGGCAGGCAGGTAGGCTACTATAAGCAAAAGTGATCTAAAGTGTTTTCTTTTGACAAAAGCACAACACAACTACTTAGTACAGAGCCGTCGACGTGGCGTCTGCTGTCGCAGTCGCTGTGAAAGTCGAGCAATAAGCACTTATAGATCTACTTTTTGGGCACTGCAACGTTGCTGCTTCATTACAGTTTTGGTGTTATTACAGTTCTCATCTGCACGTAAGAGCGAAGTATCTACGTAAAAACGTAGTTGTAGAACAAACTTCTACTTCTCTACATCAAACACCGATTGCAAGTTACATCGCTGTCAATGACACGTCGAAACATAGAACAAGTACTGGAACTCTACTGTAGAATTCTCCACCTCTCGCGGGTCACTTAAGCGCGAGCCAGGGCACAAGGCTGCTTCGCTTCTTCTTCCAACCCACGCACGACGACCAAGAAGACAAAAATCTTCGTATCTGTACCTTTCATGTTTAAAACGCGATCATGAAATAGTTTTCATCTTAAACGGCTGATATTTATTTCACGTCTTTTTTCGCAGTGTCAAAGCCAAATTACTTATACGAGAGTTCTAAGCCATGATCCTAGTGTGTGTAATGTATGATATCCTGCTTGTTCTTTTGCCGCCCCGCAGTGCTGTCCACACACTCACATGCGCGTCCAGACACGCCGGTGAAAGTTTTTTAGTCAGTCTAGAATGCTCCGCAGATGGTCGCTGGAAGACCTCAGCCGTTCTTTCGCGTTCTTTAGGCGCACCGCCGTGTCGTTATCCGTTATCGTCTCCACGCCGAGGTGAAATCGATCCTCGAGCGATCTCGGCGGGTCCTCGTGGTCCTCTTCCGCGGACCTCTGGCGCTGCGGCGATCGGGACTCCCCAGGCCCCGACCCGTCCTCCGACGAACCTCCCTCCGCCACGCTTTCCAGCGTCGTCCCGGTGTTGGTCCGCTGGAGCGAGATGCCGCTTCCGGACCCGCTGCGGCGAGGCGGGCGCGCCTGGTGCTTCGCTGTGGCGGGAGAAAGGGTGTTTCCCGCGTGGGGTGATGACGTCGCTCCCTGTGGAGGTGGTCGTCCAAAACTTGCCGTGGAACACGCCCTTGATCCAGGCGACCCTCGCTCCCCCGGGCGCCGAGGTGGGGACTCGCAGTCTAAAAACCCGACCTGATGTAGTTGACCCTCACGACCAGCGAAGGTGCGGCGGCCGCCGCCGTTCCCGAACAGGTTCAGGCGACAGGACCGTGGACAGCAGGCGCAACAACTACACGACCGCCCCGTCGAGGAGGCGCTGCCGCAGGTTTCGAAGGAGTCCCCCGAGTCGAAGCTGGTCGCGCGCTGTTCCTGTGCGGCCCCGAATGATCCTGCCGCCCCGTCCACAGTCGTCGCTCTGGTGCTGAAGGAGGCCGCGTGGTCAGGAGCGGGGGGATTAGTATCAGTGGGATCTTCATCGGAGGTACTAGTAGTCGCACTTCTTCCTCCACGACCATCAACTACTTCGACGGGCAGACACAACATTCCGCCGCGTGACATGTCTACAGCCATCGTGAACCGGCCCCACGGTACCGCCTCCGCGGTGGCCGCATTGGGGGAGTAGGATTGCGCGGCCAACGGAGTCCGCAGCGAGTTCGGGCTCTGCGGATCCGCCGTCATCACGCAAGGGGTCGTGGGAGGTGCGGCGCGCACGAGGGACGACGAGGGTCCGGCGCCATTAGGCGCACCGTCGTCCGAGGGTGGTTCTACTGAGCCGGGTGAGCGTGGTGCGCTGGCCTTGCCACTTGTACCAGAAATTATTAGACCTTGCTGGTCTCGGCTAATAGTACTATCCCCCTCCGTTCGCAGGAAGGCTGCATTGGGAACACCACTTCTACTCGTCGCGGCCGCACCCCAGAAAGAACCTCCGTACGCCCCCAGCACCGGCCGGAATCCGTGGGCGACCGGAAGCCAGACTAACAAGGCCGCTGTTGACGTAGTCGCGAGTACCAGGATAGACTGTGCTGGCGCTGCAAATTTGTTTCGAACTCCGCGGCATGAAGATATCCTTCTAGGCGACATGTTTCTTGATATTCCGACTTCCTTCGACCTTATCATTTTCTCACTGTGAATTTTGTATAAACTAGTTGTACGGCAGTCTCTTAGGGCCGAGCGCTCGGCGGTGGCGCCCACAGAGGAAGGGAAAAACAAAATAGTCCGCGAATCTATGGTTTAGAAGAAAGTCAAAGTGTCACTACCGAAGGAAGACATACTGTGTTTCTAGGTCTACAGAAGACAGCGCACAAATCCTGCCACATGTCACGCTAAACAGGAGTGTCTTACAGCACGAGCTGCGACAGACAGAAACATAAAGATTACACAAACCACGGATTCAGGGCGGGATGCACGGGCTTCTTCTCCCTGGCAAGCAGGCATAAATGAAGGTCAGTCTCACGAAGACAAAGAGGATCTCGACCTAGATCTAGTAAAATTGACAGTGAGTAAGAAAAAGTGATCGCGGAAAAAAATCACACATGTTGTCCACGGCCGGATCCTATCAGAGATGAATGCTCCACATATAGTTCTGGATGCTGTATTCGAGCACACCCGTACTTTTTTCCACATCGACAACAAACGAAGATGCTTCGCGGAAACACCAGCCACTGCTGCTGGTGCCACATTCAATTCCACCCCGAAGGATGTGTCAACAAACATTTTCATTTTATATCAATCGTCTGCCGAACTGATTTTTCCGAGCTCCCGCTTGCACCCGCGACCACGGGCTTGGTCTGATTTCATCTCATCACAGCAGAAGAGTCTTACACTCGCTTCCATGGTCGTCGCAAGGGCAAGTTCAGCAGCAGAAGAAGTCTTCCAATATGTCGAAAAAGACATTCTCACGAAGTAGGTTTCGATTGCGTCAGCGTCTGTCGTTGGTAGTACTACTAGCATGACAATCTACTCCACCATGGGGCCTGAGCTGCTTCCTTGCGAAAGAGCGGCGTCTGCGTCTCCCCCCCCAAATTTCTACCTTCACGGCCCGCTTGCCCAAGGCGTTGCGCTCGCCGGGCTGCCATCCATCCGCTTCCACCCTGAAAGGAAAGTGCAAAAGGAACGAACGTCCAGCAACAAGCATCCGGGCGATGTAGAGCTCGCTGCAACTACCTTTGCAATGATCTCCCGTCCTGTCGACCACGTTGGACCCGCCGTATCTTTTCGTCTTCCGCAGCTCGCCATCTTCTATGCTTCACTACCGAGAAGAATCAATTATCCGGCGAATCCGGTCGTGACAACATACCAGCAGATCACGGAACAGTGCGTAGCTCGACGCGCATCTGCTCCCGCACTTTCTTCTCGCAACGCCAACGCAAGAACCGTTTGCACTTCCAAGTGTCGTCGTGCCAGGTCCCTGAAAATGTTGTTCCATTAGCGGTGGAATAGTAGTTGCGGGTGAATTCATTATCGTAGCTTAGCTGGTGGAGTGGGGACGGGGAGGCAACGGCGAGAAGGACAGCTATCCCGACGTGTATGTAAGTACTTACTTCGAGTTCGACCTCCACCTGCACCTCCTAAAAATTGCCATCACGACAACTGCTCTTCGGACGCGACAGTCAGTCCGTCGTCACCCGAGGGCCGCCTCCGCTGCCCCCGGCAGGGGTCCGTCCGGCGGGGGGTCCTTGCGCTGGAGATTTGTCGATCCCTTCCGCCGCAGGTCCGATACGACGTGCAGGGTTAGCAGCGGTGGAGTTTTCGACTGCTTCGGCGACGAGTCAGCGGCGGTGCACTGCAGGGGCCACGGGTTGGTTTGGTCCAACGCCCGCGGGTCGTCCAAGGGAACGGTGGCCTCGCCGACGAGCACGTCCCCTTTTTGCAGGTCCTCCTCCCATATGCATTCCAAAAATATATCTGGGTCTGGACACTTGTGTTGCTGAGACTTGCATTGCAGACTGGCTCCTTGGACGGCATAACCGCATGAGAAGTTTTCCTCAGCTTATTGCGGATTCATTCGCGTTTTAGCATTACAAACTGAAACTCTTTCATCCAGCACGACAAAAATAAAAAAAGTGGCCCCCAATCGTATTCATGCATTACAGCTTTTCTTGCCCTTCAGATCTTGCATTACAGATCCAGACCCAGACATATTTGCGATTCATATCCCACAAGGACACCAACACGACTGTCTGCGCTGCGTCGCTCGGCATTTGGATCTGGCAGTGAAAAACGCAGTCGCTGTATCCTGAGTAAAAACGTACCCACACCAGAGTTGTCATGCAGATTTGCCATGGCAGGAGCATTTGTGATGCGCAACCCCATGACAGGCATTTTCAATCGTGTTTGGGAACTTGTAATGCTGTAAACAGGATCAGCAGATCGATTTGTGATGCGGCTTTCCTTGCTAACTTGCACTACCTTACGGACTGAAGCTTGTCATGCGTGACTCCCAAAACTCATAGGTTTGTGTTGCAAAGTCCCCATCTTGACTCTGGTGTGGGTACGTTTTTAATCAGGATACGCTGCACCGCCCCGCACCCGGGTTCCCCTTCTGGCCCTGCGCGGGCTGGCGCCGGGCCGGCTGCTCGGCGGGCTCCGTGGGATACCGCGCCGTCACGTAGTATACGCGACTGGAGAAGAGGTCCGACGGAAGGATGTTCAGCGCCGAGTCGATGTTCAGCGTCAACTCCGAGAAAAACGGCATAGTGTTTTTTGAAGTCCTACCCGACTCCTGGAAGCTCCAGCACAGGTGGTAGGTCGGACGATCACCAGCTTCTATCTAATAGTGCGGCCGCCCCGTTGTAAGTACTTCACCTAAAGACCCGCTGCCCACACTGCGCAATAAACGTGCTCCCATTGATGTTCAAATACTGACGTAGATGTGTTGGAAGGAGCAGGCATCAACAAGCACTACTGACTTTTTCATCTCACCGGCACGACTAGTACGCATGACCACAACGACTGTCAGTACAATTTGTACCCGAAGATGCGCACGCAGTGAAAGAAGGCATGTAGTTCGTCCATGTTCACCTTTTCCTGCAAACCATTCTAACCATGTGGATCATCTTCTCCGTGCAAAATCCCCCTATTACCTGCACGAAATTCGTCCCGACGATGAAAAGAAGATGTGAACACAAGTGTGCAGCGGTTCTACTCCCTACTGCTCACCACAAACTACTACCTTGCAGTCCTCTGACCAAGTGTCCTGAGACTTGCTTTGATTTATCGACTTTTTTGAAAAAATTATGTCTTCCCTGGGTCAACTAGCACTCTGTGCTTGCTGTACGATGTCGTCAGTTTCTAGTACTACAGCTCTTAGGGGGTTCTTCAAATGAATAAACCTAGGGTACTAGAAGAAGTAGTATCTATCCTGAAGGTACAGCACAATCCAACATGCATCTACTACTCCCGGAGTGCTGTGGTTTATCGTTCTCACCACGAGGCCGTGCCGGTGCCCGTGTGCTCGCTGCCTGGCTTCATCCAGGTAGGGTGTTCCCAGAAGGTCTTCAGCTTGTGTGGCGGCTCGATGGTGACTTTGCTGTCGCTGCCGACGGTAGCGAACTGGACCTCCATCGAGGCTTTGCAGTCCCGGTAGAAGAGCAGCTCCAGGCACTCGGTCGCCACCTTCTTCGCCGCCTCCAGGGTCAGGGTCTTGTATTTGCCGTATTCGCAGTGTTTCCGCAGGATCGGAATGGCCAGGTGGAGCCCGAACCCCGTCGCGATGAAGTCCTCTTCAAACGCCGTGCCCTGCAGGTCCACGTACGCCAAATGTGGCTCGCCGTGCTTCACTCCGCCGATGACCAGCTGTATAGTAGTATAAATGCATTACAAATTTCCTCAGCATGAGAAATAAAATTTGTAATGCTGGTTTCCCTTTAAACAAAGATTTGTAATGCATAACGTGCAATACTAGTTCTAGTACCTGATTCCAGAGCGGTTTCACCTTACTCCTTCGGTTGTAGAGAACGCGACCCAAAAAGCTCGCCACTTGCTTCGGCCCCATTCGGCTGCCGTCTGTTGGAATTTAACGAATTACAATTTTGAACTCGGAATAAAGTAAACGGAAATACGTCGGCTATTTGAATCAGATACAGCTGCACATTTCAAAAAAAGTTCTTATTGCGACCGTCGCATGCTTGACGGTCAGTGGAAACCACGTCGAGCGCTATTATATTTGGAATTTGTAATGCTGATTTCGTTAAGGAGCAAGATTTGTCATGCTTGATTCCCTATATACCTTGCTCGATCCAGTCCTCTTCGTCTACGTCGCCCATGAGGTCTTTTATGTATTGGAAGTCGCTCAACTCGCCGCTGCAGCCCACCAGCGTGCAGTCCCCTACCTGCTCTATCCTTTGCACGCCGGGAAACTTCAGACTACCGCCATACGCGCACATTCGGTCGCCAGCGATAAGCACGCCATCTGTGCAAAAATTTATTTTGTGGTCGGGACACACAATTTCGCCCGCATTTCATCAATGAGCGGTTTTTATGATTGGGAAACGAGATTTTGATTTTCGTTCTTTTGCAGCGGAGTTTGTAAAGGTATGGCCATGATCGCCGCGTAGTCAACGCAGGAACATAAAACAAATAGTTGCCCCCGCAAGCACCAGTTTTTATTGTACCTTTGTATTTTAGCCCGATTATGCTGGAACCGGTGGTAATGGGGCCCATCTTTGTCGCTTTCCGCAGAAATGGTTTCTGCGCTACTTCTGTCGCTTGTCAGGAATGTGATAACGTGGACGTGCTAGCTTCCAGAGAGGAGAAAAAATTACTCTTTCCTTAGCGATATCTGTGGTCTAGTACTGAAACTTTCGTGATCGCTAAAGAAACATAAATGTCGCTTGTGTAGTTTCGTTTGTTTTTTATACTTTTTTCGGCCTGTGGGGATGAAACAAAGAAGAATATTAGTAACACCAAGACTAACAGCTATAAACAGTTTTTGTGCTGAACGAATTGATTCATTGTACTCATGCTGTATATGCATACAGAAAGCTGGTCGCGCGATGGATCAAGTTGTATGGTACGTGTCAGGTTCCGGATCTTTGCGTGTATCTTCTAGGTAGATAAATGTCTCCTTTTTACTTTTGTCGTTCGTGGTGTAGGGAACAGCAGCTGAAGAAGCAAGAAAAGTCGGCGCAGCTGCCAGTGAGAGCATACACGGCAGCGCGTCGCCCGTATATTCGCAGCCTGCCCACGCAGGCACAGGAGGATATTCATACTGTCAAAGAATTTTACTGCACTTGTAGTGAAGAAGAATGTTGAGTATCCCGCAGTAGAAGGTAGTGGCAGCACGAGAAGTATTCGTCTTGCTGACCAAATATCAAATACACCTACTTCTTTCTGATCGCCTGCTCCTGATACTAGTGTACACTTTTATTTGAGCTTTTGCAAATCCGTATACAATCTTCGGTGAGTTGTTACCAACTGTATTCTCGTACACCAAAAAGTAGACGTTTGCAGAATTTTGAGTATAATTGCGCCAAGGCAAAGTACTAGACAAGGCTTTAAGAAGAATTCAGGCACTCCTACTAATACTACTATCTATCATTCGCTCATCTTTAGGTTTCTCTTTTTTTCTGAGTGAATTCTTAAATACGATTTTTGTTTTGATGTTCATTTTATTCCTGTGTGGAAGTAGACAGACTACGGGATAGTTGTAGTTTTCCACGTGGATCAAAGTTGTGCATCAAGCACTCTATAATTGGCCCATCCCCCCAACCGGGAGCACCTCTTCCTCGTCGTAAAGCAGCATCTGCAGCGCGTCGCCCGCTGTAAAGATGCGCGTCAAAACCCCTTCGCGGTGGATATGACCCGCTCAGACGTTACAATCTCAACTGTCACAATAGAATCTGGAAATCTGTGATGCAAGAAGTGCGTGATTTAGCCTACACCTATAGGATTGCGCATGACAAGTTTCGGAGTCCCAAACCCACCTGAAATCCGGCAAAATTTGTATTGCGAAAAGCTCAATTCTTTCTGCGTTCCTCATGCTTTTCATGCAATACAAATTCCAGATTCTGTTGTAACGTTTGAGGTTGTAACGCTTGAGCAGGCCATAGTCGAGGAAATGGCAGGTTCCGCCGGTGTCGAACGCTACAACGGCATGCTGCTGATATGAAATGCAAAAATAAATGTCTGGGTCTGGAAGGTCACAACTTGTGATGCTGTCTGTGGATTCAAAAAAAAACTGTGCATGACCAGCAAGAGGGGTCGGGTTTGTCCTACGTGGAGAGCGCATTTCTCATGCGGTAGAGGTATCACAAAGCCCTCTAAAGATCTGTGATGCTACGGCATGCATCACAGACATCATGACTCATGGAAAATATGCATGACAAGTCTAGAAATCTTCCAGACCCAGACATTTTTGCATTTGATAGCTGAAATCTTATTACGATCATGTCTAAAGTGATATCTGAAGACGCGGAACAGAATTGAATTCTGTTCCGCGTCTTCCGCGCCACCGAACAAGTAACCTTCATTTTGGTATAACTATAATTTTACTAACACAACCCTCTACCGTCGGTGGGTAATGACGTCTTGCATAGGCTCATCTTCGCCTCTTGCACGACTGTCAGACAAATCCTCTAGAAACTTGACGCAAGATTTCATCGAAACGCATCGGATACAGTTGCAGTGCGTCTTTCAGGGAGGTGACGGGGCGGTAGGACCAGCTGGTTCCCGGCATCCGCGAAGTCAGCAGGTCTCCGGTCGTCGAGGGGCCGCGGGCCGCGACGAGAACCCCCGCCGGCATGGCGACCGGTGGATTATTTTGTTCAAAGTTTGATGTTCCTCCCGCCGCCGCGCCGAGCGTGCTGGGATCGCCCCCGAGAAGAACCGCCTGCTGCTCGAGGGGGGTGAGCTGATGTGGGGGCTGGTTGATGTTGTTCGGCATGGTATTTCTATTTTGTTGCACGGCGGCGACAACTGCGGCTGCGCTGCCGTTCAGCTGCCCGGGCTGATGTTGCTCAGATTTATTGCCGAAGGAAGGATCTTGCGAAGAAGAAGACGATGCACCAGCTCCTGGTGTTGACAATGTTGTTCCAGCACCACCGGCGTTGTAGTTACTGTTCCTTTCTGGAATAGTACCCCCGCCTCCCTGCGGGAAGTAGCCCAGCGTGAGGGGCGGACGCCCGCCGGGCGGGTTCACCACGGGCGGGACGGGGATGCGGCACTCGGCGGACTTGTATTGCACCATACTCCACGACAACAGCTCAATTTGACGAAAGACCTCGCCCACGGATTGCTCCATGTCGATGCGCAACCGGTGCTCTGGCAACAGCAAACCGTCGAGCGCCATCTGGAAACAGACGTCGAAGTACTGCAGCACCTGTATCAAAAGGAAAAATCCCCCCACCCCATATCAAATGGGAAATCTGTGATGCAGGATTTGCGTACAGAAATGCGCGCTGTCTTGCAATACCGCATCGCAGCCAGATCCGCAGCCTAGGGAGGGACGTTTTGGTCTAGTTGCTTAGCATTACGAACGGCTGCCCTCTAGGCCCAACAGCATGCTAAACCGCTCCCATGATGGCAGGGAAGCCTCTGCATTTGTCTTCTTGCAAGACAGACATGATTTGTGGTCTCAAATCAGCAAGACAAATTTTCGAAAGCATGCCTTCTCGATATGGGGAGGGGGGATTTTTCCTCTCAATAACCTGCCGCCGCGAAATGGAGCCCAGCATCACCTCCGTCTGCCGGTCGATGATGGGAATGGACGAGTAGTGCTCCTCGTAGAAAAAGGTCATCAGGTGGCGAAAGGGCGTGCTGTCGCGGATTACGGTGTAGGTCGCAGACGACTGCAGGCTTTTGTCCTCGAGATGAAGAGTATTACCACTAGAGGGACTGCTGCCACTGTTGGGGAGTGGTGCCGCTTGTTTCATCGGGCTGCTCGTGGAGGAGGACTTGTTGCCCGGATTCGTAGCTGCACTTCCACTTCCGCCCCCGGGCATGAGCTCCTCTTTACTGGTGGACGCCGCAGTGGTCGTCTGATGAATTTTCAGAATTTATTGCTGCACGGACTTCAATAAAACGAATCCGCTCGCTCATCGCGCCTGTAGTTGTGCCGCCTGTGAACGACCATAACTTGCGTCTAGAAAATCTAAAAATAGTACCGTGAAGAATTGTCGTGAAATAGACCCACAAATAAACCAAATACCGTCTCCGCCGTTTCCTCCGTGGCCGTGGGACTGGTGGTCTCGCTGTCCTTTTCGATTTTGTATTACAGTGAAAAACGCCCCCACCCCGAAAGTTGCAATAATTCGTGACGCGAAGCTTCCAAATGAAAACCGTTTGTCATGCATAAAAGGAGTCTGAATCTTTCTCATGCAGAGTCTAGTCGCATACAGCGGCGCTTGCATACAGCATCGCTTGCATGACAAGCGCCGCTCTTGCTGGGATCTTTTGCAACACAGTTTTTTGCTATTCACGATTGGAAATCTCTGATGCTGACACATGCAAGCGGGCGAGTGCTTCAATTGGAAAGGTTTGCAATACAAATGCTCCCAAGTTCTGCAGTGGGGGCATTTTTCCTCACAATATTTTGTCCTGATTATTCCCTAACTCCACGACCCCCGAGGAACCGATCCCCAGCTCGGCCGACGCAGCACCAGCCTCCTTTTGCACAACATGCTGGTGCGCCGCCGGTCCGCTCGAGCTGGTCGCCCCGCCCGCCTGTTGCTGCTGCTGGCCCGCGAGGGTACTAGAGGACGCGCGCGGCGCTGCGGTGTGCTTAGCCGTTCCACTTCCCCCCTCGCTGTCCTTCACGACTTGCGTGCGCCAGTGGCAGCCGGGAACCACACTCGTCTTTGGCGCTGTGGTGTCGTACAGGATTTTCGCGTTCTCCGGAACATTTTTGGCGTTGTTGTCCACAAACCCGGGAGCAGGTGCTGTTTTGCTGCTCGTCGCGGCCTCGCCGTACAAACTAGCCGAGGTGTTGCGCGAAATGCCGTCCAAACTGGGGTCGGGCACCACCTTTGCTGCGGGCGTGCTGGTAGCGGTGGACGTGCTGGCGAGCTGCGCCTGAGAGGACGCGTGCGGGTATGCCACGACGAGAGATTGAAGGATTTTTAAAATCTATAACACGTTTTGATAGACATCATAGATGCAGCTACAATTTTTCGTTAAAAGCTTAGGTCCTTATCCTGTTGTGCTTACATGATCCCCCCGATTCAGATTTCCGGCCGGCGTATCGTACGAAAAAAGTGTGTCACTGTGATGATTTTGGAGGACCCGCGTGACAAGGACATCCTTCACAGATGCGTGCAGGTAACCAACCGGGTTGGGAAAACATAGAAGATAGTATCCGCTCTTGCATTTCTAGTTGTGTGCTCTTGCATATAATTTTACTCAACTCGAGTATGACTTTCGTCCAGTGACACACATCGCTTTTTTCTCTTGCGATACTGGTCGCCGCCGCTTTCCTCCCCGACGTAGCGGTAGTGGAGCGTCTATCCCGTGTAAAAACATCCCCATCCCAGAGCTGTCATGCAATTCTGCATGCCAAAAAAGTTTCTCATGCGGAGCCCTATGAGAAGCATTTTCTGCTCGTGTTTTGGTATTTGTGATGCTAGGATCAGCATGCTGTGCTAGATCTGCGATGCTTCTGAGCTAGCCAAACAGAACCACACTACGAGGACAAACTTATCATGCCAAACAACCAAAGCTGTGTGATTTGTCTAGCAGATTTCCCATCTCGACTCTGGTGTGGGGACGTTTCTGCTCCGGATAGTGTCTTGCAAAACCTCGCTTTGACGGCGATCTCGCACAGGGGCTCCAGGCTCGCGTCGCGCACGTGGATCACGATGAAGGCCAAGATTTGCCGCAGCGTCACGTAGAACTGCACTGCCGCCGTGTATGCACTGCAAATATCTATGTCTGGGTCTGGAAGGTTGTACTGCTAGCTTTCCATACCTAGGAATTCTGTATTGCATAACCAACAAAAGTCGCAGCCTCTTTTGTGCAGGTAAAAACGCAGCTGCTCACGCGGATTGCCTATGACAAAGCGTTCTGGAAAGTTGTCATGCTGGCTTGCATTCAGAACTGTTTCTATTATCCACATTTTAGCATCACAAGTTTCCAGACCCAGACATATTTGCATTTGATACCGTGGCCGCGTTGACGACGGGGAGTGCGTTCAGCCGGGGGTACTTGAGTAGCAGCTCGACCGCGCGCAGCACCGTGGCCTCCCGGTCGTCCACGTCAAGCATCGGGCGCATGGTGCCCCGCGCCTTGTAAACCAGCAGGTTCTTGCGGCTCTGCGAAGACAAGCTTGCGGAGCTGACACTACTTTTCATCATTTTCGCGTGACCACCGAGAGTGGTTTTGTTGCCGTGGTCTGCTCCGATTTTTGACGACGCCGCAGAAGTGCTACCGTTCAACTGCTGCGGAAAAGAAGAAGTTCCGGAGGTCGTACAACTGTTGTTGCCGCTCCAAAGGTACTCGTCTTCGTCGATCACCTTCAGCGGGTCCCGGTCGGGTTCGGCGAGGACGTAACTAGGAAGTAGTAAACCCGACGTACCTCCACCCGCACTGTCCTTGCTATTTTGCTTCGACAAGCTCGCCGGCGTTCCGCTTTTGCTGTGGCCGCGGATGCTGGAGCTGGCGGTCGATCCATTCTTGTTGTTCGCCGCGCCACTTCTCATAGGTCCGGAGGGTGACGAGGTGGAGCTTTGCTTCCGTGCCTTCCGGTTCGCCGCGCGACTGTTTCGCAGCGCGTGCAGGTGGGTCGTGGTCAAATAGGGCCGCTCGTCAAACTCCCGCATGTAGTACGCCAATTCGCCGAAAGTCAACGGGTGCTGCGCTTTCACTTCACTCGCGTCCTCTACCACGGTCAGGGACGTTCCGTTCGGGCTGATTTTTTTTTTTAAAACGGACTTTTCTTGTTGAGGGTGAAAAAGAAAAAGTTTCTCGTATGAAGTAGAACAATCAATTTTATCCACACTACAAGGAGGCAGGTCGAAGTTCATCAATGCTCTGTGATTCTGCTTTCATCATTGCAGCAGTACGATGACTGGAATACTAGCAGCTAAATGCTACAACCAGAATCTGCTTGAAGCGCACTTCTAGTAGTACTAAAATACCCGTCTAACTCGGTCCGCTGCAGGCCGTCTTTCCCGGGATACAACCCCGCTCCTGAGGTTGAATATGGAAACGACCAATTGGCCTTCGTACTAGTATTCCCAAAAAGTTTATGTAGCTTGTGTTCTTCGGGATTGAGCTCTTCGCAACTTTCATCACGTACGTCGTACACATCAGTGTTGTAACAAGCCACCACAAATATTAAATTCGTGTTTTTATGCAGAAGAAGAACTTCCGGGTAGTTGTACAGCCTAGATCAATGGATCATGCCACTGGCTTTAATTGGGCATACTACTGTACATACCGGAGTTCTTTCAACATTGGATATCAAGATGTCTTGGTTGGATATATACGCCACCTCCGAAAGCACGTCACTTGGCAGATACAAATTTGGCGTCCCGAGCCCGTATTGCTGGTGGTAGGCAGCCTGCGGTGGTGGGTTCCAGTGAAGAGTCTACTTGAAATAAATCATAAAACCTGAAACAAAGTTAAGTAGTTGTTTAGGCGCAGTCAAAGGCAAAAAACTGGAGCTGTATCTAGCCTAAACTTGTACTGCATAAATCCCAGTTCACAACACGTGAATCAAAAATACAACTCTTTCCGCCTGCTGGTCTGCTCCTCGCGACATGCCACGGGTATCATGATGAAAACTTTTTTGTTTCTTTTCCATTTTCGAAGTACTTTAGTAATTCCACCCCGTGCAGCTACTGATATTCCCTTTTCTACTAGCTCCGTGACTTTTGCTGTAGAACAAACTCGGGGTGCGAGCGAAAAATTTGGATCGATTCTGTAGGAGAAAACCTGCAAGCCCTGAAATACAACATAGGGCTGCATTAGTTCCGTCCTACAGGTAGCGATGATGTACTGACAAGAACATCTAACCTACCATCAAGGGAAAAGTAAACATTGCCTCTGCGTTCTGCCGGTAGCTGTCCGGCGGAGTCCAGGCGGAGTTATGATGGTGGTCGAATTCCAAAACAGCGTTTAGCATGGTGTGAAACGGCACGTGCTCGTCAATGACCGCAACCGTGCTGCGCTCCTGGCTCAGCTGCCGCACGTGGGTTTGCTCCCTGAGAAAGAGGATGATAACGTTCTCGGAATTCATTTACGACACGCAACTTTCGCAAAACAAATATTCATTCGCAATATTGCGTGAAACAGGGTGGCTTATGGGTATGACATGCACATCATGTAAGATTCTAGTATGCATTGGTAAAAACATGAAATCTGGTACAAAAAATCCCGCAGCTGCTTCCGGTACGGGCTGAATCTCGCATTGCCTCCCACGGTCGAGGACGACGCGGGAACGGACGGGCCTTCTTCGACCATCGTGGCTGTAATCGTAGGGAATATTAAACCGCCGTTCTTCCCCTGCCCTTCCCGCAGCGAGACCAGACAAGATCCAGTTCGATCGCTCCTCGCGGCACAGGAGTTTTACTTATTCGGGGGCTTCAGGAGGTCCTGCGCCGAAGGCGAGGTGCCCGTCCCAAAGCGGACTGCGACCACCCGCGGCCACGGCAACTCGGACTCCGTGCCGTGCGCTCTAGTACTGTGGTCCCTGAAATAACAAGTACTTTTACCGTCCGACGTTTGAAAGAATCCAGACTCGTGAACAACACTCGTTACCACCAGCCTCTGCTACCCACGCCAGCTGCCCGCAGACTGGGTTGTATCTGGATGACCGGCGAATGGGTGGGTTCTTGTACATGGCGGCGGAGCGGGCACCAACATAGTACTATATCTCTACCTTTGCTGCTTGCTCGACCATGCGAAATCGACGCCGGGTGGGTTTCGGCTTAAAACGAGGTGTACTTCTTACGAGGAAACCATCATCGAGCTGAACCCGCTAGTGCCGCAGCTCTCCTGGTTACTTACAAAAGTGCAGCCAAGTAGAGACAATCATACAAAGAACCTTCAGATTACTTTTTCGTCGTTGTGATTGACACGACGCCCCGCACGGCTGAAAAAATCACGCCAAAACAAGGTGAAAAATGCGACGCAGTGGGTCGATCGTGTGTGCCCAGTGGAGCTAGGGAAATAGCCGTTTCGTGCTCGGCCGCGTGGAAAAGTTTTGGATCTCGTCTTGCAAGAAATACACAAAAAAGAGCAGGCGAATTATAGTCGAGTGACCAGAAGTGGGCGCACACAGATCTTTCGTCACTTTCCTCTGAGTCGCTGTGGGTTTTCGTCACAAGTGAGGATCTTCTTAGCAAAGGAAAGATAAAGAACAAGAACACCTCTGAGAAGTAGAGAAAAATAATCTGCAACAGCTGAAAGTGCCTCGACGGCGTTGCAAGCTGCGTCTAAGATTGCAAAAATGCGGGTCGTTGTACTCAAACGAAAAACAGAAAACATCGAAGGGAAAATTGAAATTTCTGACTGCAGAAAAGAAGTGCTGGCTCCTCGACGAGAGTGGGGAAACTAAGTACTACTGCCGATGAAATAGGGTACAGCGGAAACCACGCCTGTTGTGTGAACTACTTCTCGTCCTGGGAACTCAGAAGAACAAGAATGCAGCATACTACCAAACACAAAATCGAGTTCGCAAAATTTGGCACCAAAAACTAACTTTCAAAAATCCCGATCGCGCGCCGGTGCGGAAATATCATACATATCAACTTCAAACCTCCAAGACCAACTGCAAAGGAAAGCCCAGCTGAAAGAGGAAAATGAACCGCAACAAAAAATAATTTTCATATAGTGAACAACAACAACAGGAGATGTTAAAATTTCTTTCCCTAATCCACTTCCACATCCTCCGGCAAGTCCACTTGCATCTCCCACCGCCCCCCGAAGGAACTCTGTTTTTCGGGCACTTTCTGCAGCCAGCCTAGGCGGATGTTCTCTGGCTTTACCTTGACCGGCTCCGCCTCGCCCTGGAACTTTACCTCCCACCGCTCGAAAAAACCCTCCTTGTTCTCCTTCCGGCTGGCAAAAATCCAGCCTCGCTTGTCGCCCGCGCCCCGGTGCACGAGCAGGCCGCGCTTGTTGTTAAGCCGCTGCGCTTTCTCCGACTGCAGGCCGGACGCGGTGACCCGGTTTTTCACGAGCCGCTGGCAGGCGCACATCACCATGGAGAGCACTTCCAGACAGTTGGCGTAGATCTGCCCGAAGTCCGTTCTCATGTCCATGTCTCGGCTCAGCGTCTGCATGGTTCCGTGCTTGTGCTCCGCCGTTTTAGTGCACCGCTTCAGGCAGGAAAAGCAGGGCCAGTCGAGGATTTGCGCGTCTTGGATTTTCTTCCACTCCGCCACATCGAAAAACAACTCAAACCCGGTCGGGCCGTCCGCTACCGGCTTCTGGAACTGGCTGAAGGAGAGCGTTTTCGTCTTTTCGTCGTAGTTCATCGACAGAATTTCGCCCCCGCTGACCGGGGACAGTTTCAGCACGCCCTTGGGCAAAACGCGGTAGGAAACGGGCACGTCGTGCGCCTTTGTTTCCGATTCCTTCACGCTCACGTACTCAAACACGCCCCAGCTCGGGCCGTTCAGGTCGATGTGCACCGTCTCCCCGGTCTCCAGCTCGGCGACGCACCAGTGGTGCCGCACCACGCTATCCTCGTCCTTCAGCCCGAGTTTCTGTGCCTCCAGCCGGTGCGCGCGCTCCTGCGCGACGTTCCGCGGCTGGCGAAATTCTATACCCGGGAAAAAGGCCTTTTGCTCGTCCGGGAGGGCGCGAATCAGGTTCAGCGACTTGTGGGTGGGGAGCAGCGGGATAACCGTCTTCTTCTCGTCCTCAAACTGAATCACGGCGTGTTTCGACTTCTCCAAAAACGGGTTGCCTGCGGTCTCCACGTCGATCCCGGCGTTCGCCACCCCGAAGTTGGTCACCTTCTTCCCCTCGTGCGTCAACCCCACGCCCATCTCCGCGAGCCGGTGCAGCATGACGAGCAACGTGCCCTGCATGGTCACGCTGGTCCGCGTCTTCGTCAGCATCCAAAATTCGTCGCGCTGTTCCGTGGCGGACTGCTTGTTCCCCGGCTGAAGATGTGCCGGCTCCTGCTCGAAAAATTCGTCTGGGTATCCTGAGTAAAAATGTCCCCACACCATAGTCAAGATGGGGAATCGGCTAGACAAATCCACAAGTTTTGGCTGTTTTGCATCACAAATTCGGACTCGTAGTGTAGTGCTGTTTGAGCTAGCTCAGCAGCGTCACAGACCTAGCATACCATGATGATTGGAGCATGACAAATTGCAAAACACGACTAGAAACTGCTTCTCATGAGGCTCCGCATGAGAAACATTTTCAGCATGCAGATTTGCATTACAACTATGGGGTGGGGACGTTTTCAAATAGGATACTGGGTTCGGCGGAATTAACGCCGTGGTCTTGGCGGGTTGGAACCGGGAAGGGCCGATCTTCTTGTACCGCAAGTGCGAGGTCATCGGGAGGCGGTTCATCGCGGCCGCCACGTTCGTGATCTCCAACCGCAGCGGGTCCGTGGACAGGGGCGCGCCGTCCGGCCCAAACCCGAGCGCGTACACCAGCGCCTCGTTGATCTCGTCCATCCGCATCAGCACCGGATCCAGCATCTTTGGGATTCTAAAGGGTGCTATCGAAGATCAAAGGCAAAATTTTCGGCGGGAAGAGTCGTAGTTCTTGGGTCAAGCATATGGTCAAACAGACCGGGACAAACGGAAAAAAAAAACCTCCTGAAATAAACTGCGAAGAAGTGGAAATGAAATGCTGGCCGTGAAGAGTTTATTGCGTAGTAGTTTCTACGAAGAAAAAAACGCCGAACTTCTTTTATGAGCTGTACTTGCATGTACGATTTGGGATTTGAGCGACCACTACTTTGACGAATCAATTTGTCAAACACCATCTAACTCCGCGACGAGGACGTGTATACGCAGACAAAAGCGCTGGACGAGTTGCGAGGAAGAGCACGACAACGTTTGATTTTAAATGTACGGAAACGATGTTTGCGAAGTACAGTCTAGTCCAAAGTGCGCTCGACCACGCCGCGCTCGTGCGCGAGCGGTGGCGGAGCGGCGCAGCTGTTGTGCTTCTGACGACGATGACGGCACGAAGATAGTTGCGATGCCAAGCACGATAGTTTCGATCAAGTATGGTATTGGATCGGAACACCGGTAGGCCCCGGGCCGCGATCGAGTAGCGGTGGTCGCGGCAAACGGGCGGGACTTCGAGGTGGGTGCCCCGTGCAACCCGCGGCGGGGGCAGTGAGTGAGCGCCCGGCTTCGGCCGCGGCTCTTCGGAATGCGGCATTCTTCCCGCCGGGGCTACCAGTTTGAGGGACTTTGCCCGCCCGGCCGCCCGCTTGCGGGGTTTTTCTCGGCCGGGCTGCCTGGTTGCGAGATTTTGCGAGCCGGGGCGCCATCCTGCAAGATTTTTCCCAAAGGGGCCGTCGGTCCGCGCGATTCGGCCGACGGCCTGCTCTCTTCCCAGTCCGGGATACGCCCTTCCCGCCCCGGGCAGCGCCGGGTCCCCTGCCCGTCCTAGCCCCCTCCCGGGAAGGCCTGCGCCCCCGCCCGGTCCGGCATTTACCCTGCTATGCCCAGCCAGCGCGCCAGGCCCCGCTTGCGCGCCGTCCTTTATCGTCTGCCGCCCCGGCCGGGTCTTGTAGGGGGTGCGCATGGGGGGGGGGGGGGGGGAGGGGATTCCCGAAAAAAAATGCAAAAAAGGTGGCAAACAGGGGTAAGCTGCCATAGAAAGTGGCAAACCGGGGCAAATATGTGCGGTCGCTGGGTGCTTTTTGTCTTACAAAAGCTGACAAGGTCACACATTGCTGGGGGTGAGCTCTTTTAGAAAATTCTCACGATTATAAATTTTAGGATTGCGGAAAAAATTACGCAAAATCTGCATAGAAGAGCGGTGTGCGCCGTTGAAGTGAATTGATATGCGGTCTCCGTGTATCTGTCAAACGATATATGCCCACACTAGGACGAAAATGCATAGCCTCAGAAATTTTAAAAAAATCTGAAAAAGGTGGGCTTGTACAAAATGGAAAAATATCATTATCACGCAGCCTATAATGGTCCCAATTTGTGTCAGTTTTCCATATTGCAGTGTTTTGCTCATTTATAAAACTAAAATCACGAATATTATAGGCGTTTCCGTGAGTTGGCAAAAAGTTCACAAAAATGCAATTTTGCCACACGATAAAAATATACTAAAAAAACCTGAAAAAAACTCCCACACTCTGCGTAAATATGGAGTATACAAAGTATTATCTGGTCCGATTATCGTAATTTGCTTAATATAATTACAAATCTTCTTCCTCGAAAAACTCGAAAAAAATCAAAAAAATGAACACTGACAACTTTGCATGATTTTGCAAGTGTCACATATAAAAGAATGTCCTCAGTAATACAATAGGTGCAATCATGCAGATACTGAATATTTTTCATATGAGAACTCTGCTAAATTTTGGGTTTTTTCAACATGTCTTGTAAAATCGAAAAGTGCACTTGTTGGCATTATGAGAAAATTTGAAAAACTTTAAAGGTGTCATGTGTTTCAAATGACGAAAAGCATAGACATTAACCCACTAAATCACTTTAAAAAAGCAACTAGACCTCTGCTTCAGCAGCTTTGTGATATACTGGAAATTGGAAAAAATTAAGAGGTGGCTACATCGAAACAATTAAGATGTAAGCATGCAAAAAGGGGCAAGATGCGTCGCATTCAGTGCGGTTTTCAAGTATTAACCACCCCTATAGAGTCGACTTATCTGCACATGGGCCGTTCCTGGATACGCTGGAAAATTTCAGAAACTCCGCATCAGGGGACAACGGAAAAAATCTGTCAGGCCCCGTCGAGGGAGGCGTTGGGGGATGGGCAACGTTGGGGCTGTGCGCGGGGGCCGCCGTGACCGCGCGGCCCGGCACAGTTGCGCGCCCGGCCCCGCGCGTGCTGCTCTCTGAGGTGTCTGCGCGCAGGCCAGCTCGGTAGCAGCAGACGAGCGCCCGCGGCGGCGCGCGGTTCCTGCCGCGTCGCGCCTTCTTCGTCTGGCCCTCGTCTGCCGATCGCGCTGTCCGTTCGCAGGGAGTCGCGCAAATGTCAAGAAATTCCGGGGCGCGAGGCTAGAATACGGGCCTGGCCAACGGAAGAAAACCCTGCCGTTGGGGATGCACAGGCATTAGACAATGAGGGCAAACCCTGCGCGATCCGTTTCTGTACTGAGTAAACAAAACGCTCCGGAAAGTCTTCACGATCAGCCCCTGCTCATGCAAAGGGAGCCCGGTTCTGTTTTTTCATTGTTAACGCCGTTCACGAATTTTCCGGTCCTAGATCCTTCCTTTCTTGCATCACAACCTCACACATGCAAAGCGAAGTGCTATAGCAGCGGCAATTTGAGTTTTGTCCACTAGTATTCCAGTATACTCTCTCACTACGAACGCGAAGAGATACAGCTGTGCTCACGGAACAACTACCAGAAAACACGAAAGAACAAAGTAGACTCTTTCTACAAAAAGTATGGCGACCAGCCACGCTACCGCGGCTGCAACCAAGCACACGCTGGTTCGGGCGTCTGCTCTGCCCGCGGCAGCCGGCCCGCTTCACTCGTCGGTTTGGCAAGTAAAAGTTCAGAGCAGCTTCGTCCTCACCAACCTCATCACGCCCTGGCCCGTGGTGGAAGATCCGTCGTGCTATCGTCCAAGGGCGGAACAGCACGAGGCCGTCGTCCTCTACTTGCACGGCTTTCCGGCGCAAAGCTGCGACCACCGGCGACAAACACAGTTCTACGGAAGTGTTTCCGAGCGGTTCGCGAAGAAGGTCCAAGAATTCGTCACGGCGGGAATAGCTCCTGCTACTGCAGCGTCCGGGGCTGTGAACAGCAACAAAAGCGGTTCTTCCGCACGGGAAGAAATTTCGAGCAGCACTAGTCCCGGTTCCGCACCACACCAAGTACGAAGTTTTTGCGCCTGCAATTTTCGCGGTACCCCGGGTTCCGGAGAATATGAGAATGCACACGAACTACCCGCTTGATTCCACCATCCGGGTTGTCATGCAAAATGCAAAAGAGCATCAGCGTCCTTCCACTTTACTGCATTTGCTGAGCACTGCTACGTCTAATATCACGCGGAAGCGGAACTTGCCAGCACAATTGTGTCTCTACTTGTTTTTATCGCTGCGGAGATGCCTTTATTTTGTAAATCAAATGAGGAAAAAGAGCAAGCACGGACAAGCAGGTTGTAGTGCGCTCGCATACAGACAGTTTTCGAAGCAAAACGGTTCGTAAGGAGGTGGAGGACGTCGTTGCGGTGATTCAGTTTCTAACCGAAACTCTCCCCCACTTCTCCGGCGTGCACGTCGTTGGAATCTCCACCGGCGCCATCATTGCTTCGTTGCTCCGCGGTCCGCTGGGCGAAGCGGTGCGGGAGAAGATTCTCACCCTGACCGCCATCGCCGGCTGCGGGTGCAGTGGCATGGACACGGCGCTGCGGTACGATTTCGACGAGGCGCAACTCTTAAGTTTCGAGGAAAACGGGTACTGTCTGAAGGACTACTGGCTCCCGCTGCGGGATGAAAGTAACCCGGGGGAGGCGGTTTTGGTGGCAGAGGAAATGCAAGTTGTAGAACAAACAACAGAGCAGGCCGACGAGAAGAGCCGGCAAGCGGCACAGAACGCCCTGGACAACCCGAAGTATTACAAACACCAGCTGAAACTCGATAAGAGTTACATGGACGACTTCTTGTCTTTGGATGTCAAAGCCAGCGTTTCATCGCCTGCTGGTAGTAGTTGCGCCGTGGTCGCGCAAGGAGTAGATACTGCACTATTTCCGGGGCGGGACGATGATGCTGAAAAAGATCCAGAGCAGCACTTTACCCCCGCGGCCACTCCGCTGTTAATAATCCACGGAAAAGAGGACCGCGCGGTGCCGTTTTCCGAGGGCGAGCTCTTGTTCCAGACGGCTTGCGAGCCCAAGCGCTTTTGCGGCATCAACAAGGGCAATCATCTTTTGACGAACAGCAAAGACATGAAAAAAGCGCTGAATGAAATTGCGGACTTTATCAAAACGTATAATTCTCGTAGTATGCATTCGAAGCCATTGTTTTCAAATATTCGCAACGTCATCGGAACCGATGAGGCTGCGAAAGCGAAAGGAGCGTAGGAAGGTTACAGAAAAGTTGCGGGTCCATTTTTTTCGGGAGTGCTTCTGTTCGTGAATAATTCTTGCGGGTTCTCCAATATGTAGGCCGTAGTGCGTGGCTTCCGCAGCCGTGCGCTGTCGTCAAAGAGTTGGCTCTAAGTGCTTCGTACCGCTTAACGGCGTTGCGCGCTCAAGTCATTCGCACGACTGAACCGCGGCGGACCTCCTCAGTCGTTCGCACGACTTAAGCAAGGCTTTCGCACGACTTAAGCAAGGCTTTCGCACGACGTAAGGCTTTCGCACGACTTAAGCCTTTCGCACGACTTAAGCCTTTCGCACGACTTAAGCCTTTCGCACGACTTAAGTCTTTCGCACGACTATAAGCCTTTCGCACGACTTAAAGCTTTCGCACGAGTTAAGGCTTTCGCACGACTTAAGGCTTTCGCACGACTTAAGGCTTTCGCACGACTTAAGGCTTTCGCACGACTTAAGCCTTTCGCACGACTTAAGGCTTTCGCACGACTTAAGTTCGTAGGGTTTCTTTCGCACGACTTAAGTGCGTAGGATTAGAAGTCTTTCGCACTACTTAACTGTGTAGGGCATGAGTCTTTCGCACGACTCAACTGCGTGCGGCTTCTTGCGCATGAGAAAAGATGCGCAGGACTGAAGCCTTTCGCCCGACTGTACGCAAGGCCGTGATCTGTACGTCCCGCGTGGATCTTGGTTGCTATCGGTTTCGTTCTACTGAATCGCGCGAAAATTTTAAACTGATCGCTCCGTTTGGAAAGATTAAAAAGAATCAGAAGAATCTCGTGCGATCTAGTACTGCTGCGGCGAGAATATGCTCCGCGGGGTGGTCATGGTCAATAGAGAAAAGCTCATCAGGTGGATCCCCGAGATCATTCCAAGAACCACACGACAGAGATCAAGGAGGGGAACGAAAAATAATGATGAGCAGGAAGCACTGATGTTCATGTTGCTGATCTACAACGCTTTGTGTAGATCAAAGTTTCAACGCAAAACTGAATTTCCAGGCCGCCAGTGTCAGAAGAATTATTGGAAATAGCGGCGAAGCATAAAGTTTTTGTATCAGTAGTTTCTCCTTATGAGTCGGCCTGTTCTTCTGAAGTTGAGTTCCCACCTAATAACATCTCATCACTAAGCTGCAAAATCATGATGTCGCAAACGCAGAAAAGCGGGACCAAGCTCAAGAAGAAGAAAAAGGTCAAGAAGAATACCTCGACGGCTCCGGTTGGAGTTAGGATTTCGGAGGATCCTCCACCCGGTCCACGATCGGACGACCCAAAGACAAACGTAGTACCGCACACGGCTGTGGCCGCCGCTGGCGAGGAGCAGGACGAACAGACGACAAAAAATCCAAAGCACCGGAAGAAAAAAACCAAAAGCAAAACGCACCCCTTCGTGAAAACCATTCTCGACCGTCGCAACCTGAATGTCTGCGCGCCGATGGTGGGTGGGTCCGAGCTCGCGTTCCGCTTGCTGGTCCGAGAATACAACGCGGACCTCTGCTACACCCCGATGCTGTACTCGGACAAGTTTGTGTATGGAAGCGTCAGGTTTGAAATCGACAAAGTCGAGATGATTTGTGATGCATAAAACGGATGCCAGTTGTAACCCAGCTTTCAAGTGGCGCATGACAAATTTGGGTAGAGCCGAAATTCAGTTTGTCATGCTGTTTGGGTAAGGAAGACGCCTTTTGTCATGCTACTATAGCAGCTCTATCGCAGACCGCAAACAGGCTGACAGTCGGCCTCACTTGCCACCCCTGCAACAGAGGCACTTCATGCCAGGCAATTTATGCATGACAAAGCATTTCAACTTTGACGATTTCAATCCTGACACATCCATATTGTGGGGGGGCATCAAGCGGGTCTCCTTGGTAACAATTGTGAGCCTGAATATAGTACAACAGGAATAAGAACCGCCTACGCCGAGGAGCAGTTTTTCCAGCAGTTGCACAAACAAGACCGCCCGCTAGTCGCGCACTTCTGCGGCAACAATCCTCAGACACTGCTCAAAGCGTGCAAGCTGGTGGAAAACCACTGTGATGCGGTAGATTTAAACCTGGGCTGTCCGCAGCGGGTGGCACACGCCGGGCACTTCGGGGCGTACTTGTTGGGCGCGGAAGATCGACCTCTGTTGAAGGAGATCGTGGAAACTCTCGCGAAAAACCTGTCCGTGCCCGTTTTCTGCAAGATTCGGCTGCTGGAAAGTTACGAGGAAACGCTAGAGCTGTGCAAAGACCTGAAAACCGCCGGCTGCGCCCTGATCGCCATCCACGCGCGCCAGCGGGGCACCGCGACGCGGAGACGCGAGGGGCCGGCGAACTTGGACTGGGTGAAACGAATAGTGGAGGACATGAGTTCTGGGGGCGGAGCGAGCACATGTTGTTCCTCTGGCGGAGGTGGAGAAAAGGCGAAAACAAAACGGCCTTTTCCAATTTTTGCTAACGGGAACGTGCAAAATGGAAATGACGTGGAAAAAAACCTGAAATTCACCAACGCCCACGGCATCATGAGCGCGGAGGGTTTGTTGGACAACCCGCGGATTTTTTTCAAAGCGACACGACAAAACGACGACACAGAGACGAAACTAAGGAGAGTAGAAGGAGTTCTTGGCCACGAGGACGCAGCAGCAGATCCGCACAATTTACTTCTCGCGGAGGAATACCTGCAGCTCGCAGCTTTGTACCCGCCGCCCGAGTCCGAGAAGGGCAACGGGTTCTCCACTGTCAGGTTTCACGTGCGGCGAATGTGTAAGGGGATTTTAACGGAGACGAAGTTGCTTGAAGCCGCGAGTACCGCGGAGTCGGTGGCGGAGATCCGGGAAATTCTGGCGGCGTGTGGTCGTGAGGCGAATAAGAAACTCCTTTCCTTGACGACGGCAAGCTGTAGTGGGACTACTGCGGAGAGCAAGGCGTCCAGTTCCAAGAGTTCTTCATGTAGTAGTACCCAAAAGCCTGTGAAGATTCCAACGAAGAAAAACGTGCATCCGGGGAAAAAACTACACGTTTCAGCGGTAGCTACTACGGCTGCCGCGCGAGGTGATGAAGACGTTCCAGCAAAAGACGCGGCCGCCCAGAGTACTAGAACCCCACAGCAAATCGCCGCGGAGAAGGCAGCGCAAAACAAGAAAGCGAAGGAAGAAAAACGGTTTTTAGACCGGATGGCGCGGAAAGCGAAAAGAGAGGGCCGAAACGTCGAAGAGGTGGTGGCGGAACACCGGCGGAAGAGCGCTTTTTTTCAAGGATAAAGAAGTGGAATGGAATTATGTTGACCATCAAGAAAATAACAGGATTGTCTTCCTTTTCAGTTGACACGACCAGATTGTTAGTTGTAGCGACCCAAATTTTTTTCAAACCGATGTTGAGACCAAATGCGTATCAAGAGGCAAGGAAATTTGCCTGCTGTAAATGCGACACAGCCAGCAGGGCTCCGGGCGTTTTTTGTACACTGCGTTTTTTTTTCTTTTGCTTTTCTCTGAGCTTCACTACCAGAGTGGAGCACGAGATTGTGCTTTCCTGAGGGAGCATCGCGTCTGTCAGACTTTTTTCTCGTTCTTTTTCTGATGCAAGCGTTGTTTTTTGTGAATCCCGCCACTGTAGCGTTTTTTTTTGCTGGTTGGGCACGAGAGAGGGTAGTGGTTCTTGAGTGTTGTCTGTTGCAACGGCTAAGATGCTAAGTGTGTCGTCTTCGACTCATGAAGCAAGTAGCCCTTTCATCCTTCTCATACAACCCAGCAGAGCTTTTTCTTGCACGCCTTTGCGCCGTCAGATTTGTAACAACAAAATCCTCCATCCTGTAGGTCCGAGCTTTTAGTGAGCGCGGCCTGGTTTCGCACGAGAATTTAGTGACGGCTTCCTTTTTTCATCCGAGTGTGAGCGATAATTCTGCTCATGTATTGCAACATTTCATCTTCTGTACTCGATTTTACTGTATCTTCTCCGCTTTACTCATTTGCTAATACCAAATGATTTCCCGACTGACATCTCATGATGCAGCAAGAAAAGAACGATTTTCGTATACCTTTGTATACCTGCTACAAGAACTCATGTGGGTAAAATGAAAACCTATCACCGCAATTATTTGACGTGGATCATGATTTGTAGCCTACAAAACTAACAGAGAAAGAAGCTTCACCACCATGCTGCTTTCGAGTACTTCCCCGCGGGCCCCGTCCGCCCCCCGCGACAAGTACGAGCTCGAGTTGCGGTGGCGTCCCGCGGGCAGTGGAGTATGGAACAACGAGAAGTCCGTGGTGGTCCCGGGCAAGGACGAACTCGACAGGGTCCTCGGCTGCTGCTTCAGCATCTGCGAAAGTTCGTCCAGTCCCAGAGCGGCTACTGCTTCGAGAACTGCGCACTTGCTGCAACCCGTTGATGCGGAAAACCTTGCTGGGATGAGAGGAAACGAAGATAATTTTGACGTCCAAGGTGGGATCAATCATTTGATTCCGGTGTTTCGCTCCTCTGCGTCGAGAGAAAACTCCGCCCGCGAGCCGCAGGAACAGGAGTTCATTCTCGAAGACGTTGAAAGCGCCGACGGTCGTAGGGATCAGGAACAAGTAGAGGACATCAAGAACTCGGTGCGTGGAGGCCCACCAGCTGCAGGAGCCGGGTCATCGTCCAGCAGTGGTGGTATTAATATTTTGCGACAGGACGTCGACCAGGAGCAGCTAGATAGACACGATCCTCCGGAGGCGGCAAATGCGGAGATACTAGAGGGTGGTGAGGCAGCAGGAACAACATCCGCAAATGAACATCACCAGAATAATTATTTCAACCGCAGCGAACAAAGTCAAAGTGTGACCCTGTCAACAGAGCAGGAAATAATAGCCGCGCACGAGAACAACAATAGTAACAGACAGATCGCTGCGCACAACTCCGCCTCCAGCAATTTTCTCGTCTCCACGACAAATTCCGTGAACACCGCGGAGACCCCGCCGCAAGCTGTACAGCTAGCCGGCGGAATCACCGCGAACAACGATAATAACGCCCAAAATAACACGACGGCGACATCATCGATGTATCCGCAGCAGCCGCAACAATTCCTGCAACAAACCACGAACCTGCACGGCAGCACGCTGACGGCCTTCACCCAGCGCACCGTGCTGCTGAACCAAAACAACTCGCCTACGGGCGACAGCACTTCCGCGCTATCCCCGTCAAGAGGGACGACGTTGTTTTCCCCGCCCGCGCGGTATCTGACGGGAATTAATGTTTTCCTGCACACGTCGCGACCTCTAACTTTTTCCTTGCATGACATCAAGACCACTTTCCCCTACCTGTGATCCAGCATTTAGAACTCGTTATAGATTTTTTTGCTTCCGAGAATTTATCTTTATGCACTTTGTGTTTCTTTGTATGACATGGACGTGTGCTGCGCCGTTGAAATTCGTCTTTCATAAAATGCGCGAGAACCGCCTCGACCCAAATTCAAGCTGCCCGCCAACCGCGTCACCGCCGGCGCGACCAGCGAGCGACTACTTCTGCTCCGAAAATACCATTCCGGTTAAAAGATACAACGTAACATCTTCTTGAGCGAAATTCATTTTTTGTGACGCCACTTACTTCTTCTTGTTAAGGTTGACATGCTCGTTCTCGTTATAGCATGAAGTCCGACAATCGCTGAGAAGTGGCACATTGAAACAGATCCAGCCCGTGATGCTGCGAATGCAAAGCCAGGAGCCAGATTTCGTCACTGCGGGGACTGCGGCCTCCAACACGAGCGACGGGCAAACGAACTCAACGACGGCAAAAATGCCCCACGTGCCGCAGCGCACAAAGAGCACCGAGGCGGGCAGCAGTGGGTCGACGGAAGACATTCTCCCCGCGGGCTTGGACAGCGATCACCAAAACAACGCAATATACGGGGAAGCTCCGAGTGAAAGTGGGGGCAGCAATGTGGTATACTTATTTTTGATGAGCAGCTGCGTGGTTTTTCATTTTCTTTTTCAAAGTACACTGAAGTAAACCACTCCACCCTCCGTTAATTAATTCGTATTCTTGTTGGCACGAAGATGCAGGATTTGTTGCGAAAATTTTTCTTTATGTTGTGCACAGAACAAAAACGACCGTCTTTGCAGGTAAGCGCCTTGGATGAACCAGGAAGGTTTGGTGCGCCGATTCATTTATACCACTCGAGTAACGTAAGTAGCTCGCTGACCGTAGAAAAAGCGCAACGGACGCAGTCGGCCACCAGCTCCAAGAGCCTGATTTCGGTGCCCGGCGGGGAAGGAGCAGCGTCTGCGCATGCTGCGGCCGTGAACGCGCGCGACGGTGGAGTCGTGACAGGAAGTGGTACTTAGTAAAGATTCATTTCTGACGAGATGACTTTCTGCAGAGGTTATATGAATGAAGCAGAGGAGAATAACAAATGATAAGCGTACAAGCCTGTATGGATAGTTTTGGTTCACTTGTTGCACATCCTTTTGTCGAGTTTCCAAGCATAATTTCTTTCACGTGATTTGTCCAGCTGAAACACAACCTCGAGCGTCTACTGCACCGCATGGACTGCAACCAGGTTTAGATAATCGCCCGAGCACCAGCCACCAGCACCACCTGCTTGATAACGATGCTCCTTCAAGTAGTGCCACGAGCTCCATCGTTCTCGTGCACAGCCAGCGCGGCGGTCAGACGTCGTTGACTTCTCCCGAAACGTCGGACAGTGTCGACTTGTTTATTCCCGAGGAAAAATCCAGCCAGAGCACCAACTCCGTATGCGAGTGCACAAACTCCCGCTCTTTCTCATTTGTCATGCAAAATATCAAATGCGATCTTTGCTTCTTGGCACCTGTTGCAAGACAGGGTCTGACGGCCCAAACAGCACTGGACTCCTGTGTGAATTCGTCATGCAAAACGTGGACGAGGGATCATCTGTGCACAACTCGCATACTCGGACCGCCGGGTGTACAGCCTGAGCGTGAACGGGGTTCCGGCGGTGCTACTCGCGGGCGCGGGGGGAACAAGGAATCACAGAACTTCGTCACACAACAAGCATGTGGCGACGACAACGACCGCGGTATCGGCGTCCGTCGTACCCGCAGAGCAGCGCTACCGACTCCGTGCGGGCCGGCAGCAAACGCCCTTTTCTCTCTCCGCAACTTCTTCTGCGGATTTGAACGGTGACTTTTCAACATCTCACAACCGGAGGGCGGGAACGACGAACAGCTCCTCGTCGAACAAAGCCACACAGATTATGACACTGAACAACATTTTTGTAGTTCCCCGCCTGCGCATTTGTGACGCAAAGCGCCAAATTCATTATTCCCACCCGGCTTTTAAGTAGTTTTTGCATGTCAAGTTGTTCCAGAAGCGGCTATAAAGTTGAATTGCAGTTCCTAAGTAGAAGTTTGTCATGCCGCATTCACATTTCTCGGTTGGATGTGTTTTGTGCTGCCGACGCGTTTCAAAGCAGGAGACGGGAAAGTTGTCCGCTACCATACGAACCCCCACCAGCACGGAGAATGACCACTCGTTGGAGCTGCCATTAAATTCGCGTAAGCACCACACGAACAGCGGGCAGATGCTTGCGGCAGCAGCAGCAACATCCGGGAGGGCGGCCGCGGGCCCAACTACCTCTTCTTCGCAGCACAAGAGAGGGAGCACGGCCACGACCGTGAAGAGCGCGTACACTACGATAGAGAACGAAACGGTCGGAGCGGCAGGAGGGTTGTACTACAACAACTCTGGAACAACGACAAGCCCGAGCAAACCCACTCTGCGCGGTATCATCAGCAAAACGAGGTCCGAGTTCAAGCCCACAGCGGGGTTGTTCGGCACCGACGGAGCAGGAGGTGCCCTTGGCGGTCCAGAACAACTACCGCAGCAACAAAACACTACCTCGGCCACCCGCGCTGCGAGCCACTCCAACGTCGCTACCATCTCTGGCACAACGGTAACAAACACGGAGAAGCATTCGCTGGCTACGCTGCGTGCCGCAGCGGCAAAGCGGAGTCAGAGCCATAACAGGAACAACAATGCTCGGAATAGTGAGCAGATGACTTCGAGCAAGGAGGAGGAGTGTGGGTCTCGGAATTCTTCGACCAACACCTCGCGTGGGGGCCGGATTTTCCCGGCAGACAGTGCCAGTAATATCCCAGAGTCCTCCGACGACCAGGAACAGAACTATTTGAGTAGCAAGGAGAAAACGAACAGTTACGACGAGCTCGGGGAAAACCAACTGTGGAAAGACGCACGGGCACGAATGGAGCGGAGGGATTTGGAGTTGCAGTTGTTTCACCCACCAAGCTCCTCCTCTGTCGGGGAGAAGACGCATACGGTGACCACCGTGTCCAAACCGGAGTTGCGAGCGGTTCCTGCGACTGGCGAGGACGACGTGCAAAATGCTGAACACGAGAGAAGTGTTTCTCTTGCTGTTGTGCGGGGGCAACAGGAGGGGGCACATCAGCCACGCGGGAACAACGAGCCGAGCCTCGTGCCGAGAAAAAGCCAGAACTACCTCATCAATCCTGACCGTTTGCAAGTGCAAGACCCGCTCCTCGATTGGCACCAGCGCTGGGAGGCCGTGGAGCAGGAAGAGCTGCGCTTGCCCCTGGAGGCGGTAGCGCAGATATTGCGAGCAAAAATCCCCCCTCCCCATATCAAAGCGAAATTTCTGATGCTGGGTTTGCGTACACAAATCAGCCTTGTCTTGCAGTAGGGGAGTGCAGGCCCATGGCAAGCCTGAGCGGAGAGGTTTTGGCGTAGGCGCTCACCATGACAAAAGTCTATGCTGTAGGCCCAACAGCATCACAAACCGCTGGCATAATGCGGGAAGTCTCCTGGGCTTGCCTTCTTGCAAGACAGACGCGATTTGTGACCACAAATAAGCATCACAAATTTCCAAAAATATACCTTTTCAATGTGGGGAGGGGGGATTTTTCCTTTCGATAGCAGAGAAGAGACCTTCATGCTCATCATCTGGAGCAACGAGACGTTTTGCAGCACAAGGCCGCGCCTTACCCTCGACAGCACGCCACGCCAGCTGGTCATGATTCTCATCACGGCGCCGCGCCTGCGAACAATGTGAACTACTCGGGTCGTGAGCAGCCGCAGCAGCAGAGACAGGAACACAGCAAGCACAAAAACTTTGAACAGAACAAGCACTATCGCCCGCCGATGGATGGAGAGAACTACCCGGTTGTGATGGTGTCTTCATCATCTTCACGGGGGAAAACCAGCAGCGGAAATGGTACAACTGTTAAACACCCTGCTCCGCATCCAGGTACGGTGACCACCCCGAAATTCTCTATGCGGCTGGACGATTACAAGCCGGGCGGACCCCTGAATCCCTCTCCGCGGGCCATGTTTTTCGGGGAAGTGGCAGGTCCTCGGACGAACAGGGTGGAAGAGGTACTTTAGTAGAGCCTCCTCAGCAGTTACACTCTCAACTGTTACTCCACGTTGTCATGCAAAATTTGCGCCACATTTTCTTTTTCATCAAGCAACGCATCACAATGTTTGCAGGTGGCACCTCCTCCGACCAACATCGTCGAAGTGGAAATTCAAAGTGCAACCTTTTCGACTTCCCGGCCAGTACCTGCAAGTAGCCATGCCAAACACCACCACAGTACAACCAGCCGTGGCGCGGCTACTAGTGCAACAGCGTCGATGAAAGAGAAGCCAAAGGGGGACAAATTTGGCAAAGCATCTGCACAACACGCCGTTGTTGCAGGGCAAGGACAGCAGCAGCTGCATTCGCGCGTTCCCTCGTCCGACGTCGGGACGCCGAAGGCTTTGGAGCTCATTGAGGATTTTCGCTTTCGATTTTCTATTCCGGCGTCACCAGCGGCACGGGGTAGCAACAATGGGGGCCTGCCGTAAGAGCAGGATGTATGGTCGTTTCGCAAGAACTACAGGCTGTATGGAGAAAATGTGTCGCGCTGTATCGTGTTGAATCTCGTCGCGTAGGTACTAGTAGTTTCCTTGAACTTTGCAGAAGATTCTGAGTCGTTATAAATTGCCGGTAGTAACTTTGGTCTGTATAGATTCATCAACGTTAAAGATCAAAATCACTCTTGGTTCATGAGCAATGTTGAGCCTCTACTTCTTGCCGCCGTCGTGGCTGGCGCATTTTTCGCGTCGTCGTGCTTCTGGGTTTGATAGAAGCAGGCAGAAGCTGCAAAAACCGCCTCTGGGGCTTGATGGCGTAGTTTCTGTGCGGTGTACTAGTAGAGCAGTGGCGCCGCCGCCAGAGCGCTACAAGTTTCATCCAGCTTCCGCTGTGTGCTTTGTTGGTTCCTCGGATCCTCCCACGCGCATGCAATTTTTCCAGATGGTCTCCCGACGACGCTGTCCGTGTAACATTCGATTCCAGGTTGTACTGCTTCAACCAATAGTATTATACCTTTGTGCTACGAAAATTATGTGATGCGTGCCCTGCTGTGCAGGTTTTTCTATCCTCAGGGTAAGTACGCAAATAAAACTTTTAAGACCTTGATATATTTCGACTCTGTAAATATAGTAATGGCTCGACGAGATCACGCGATCAATGAAGAAACCACTGTGCTAGCTAGCCGCCGTTGGGTGGAGTGCCTTAATTTTTGTTTTGAAGGTGCAGGTGTGAAGTGGGTGTAAAATTTTTTTGTAGTAATCCTTCAACCATTCATTTTTCAGTTTCAAATCCGAGAAGATCCTATAGAGACACTTTATCGCAATAAACAAAACTTATATAGCCCCGTGTGATCACGATCATTACTTGCAGGACGACGCGCTAGCTGACGGCGAAGCGGTGACGGTTTTTTCTCCCTCTGGAAGGTAAACTAATAGTTTCGCATCTGATTCTTGATCGATAGCAAGCAGAGGCGGAGCTTGATCTTGACAATGTTATCTATCAATTTCTACAAGAACACATCATGGTCTACTGTTTTTTCATGCATAATTTCTTCTCTAACATGTCGACGTCTCATCCCAAATCGACGCTGGCTGCCCAAGTTGATGTAGTGACCCACAACAAGTCCGAGTGTCATTATGCCTCTTGCCGCCCTATCGCGCTGCAGGGCAGGGAGTTGCAGGCGTACCCAACCCGTGTAGTAGTTTAACGTATACGTACGGCTGCAGCTGCCCAACATGTTGTAGGGCGTTGTTTATTTACTTTAGAAAAATCATTCTTTTTTTTTTATCCATAAGAGGAATTTATTTTGTCGCCATCGCAGAGGGGGTATCATTCTCATATCGTCTTATCATTTTCGTGTCGTCGTCGCAATTCGTATGATGAGTTTGGCTTTCTTTTTCCGCTACGCTACAGTAAAAAATTTTCTGGGCGAAATATTGTGCTATTTCGCCGGGTAGAACAAACATCAGGACGATATTGTTCAGAAAAAAACCTTAACAGCGCTTTCCATCGCAATAAATCTAGCCGCATTCGAGACACAGTAGTTGCCATAAACTTCTATTGGATTTTTTGGCGACCACTTCGTTGCTCCGCGCTTTTTGCTTTTCTATACTGAGCTGCGGTTCTGGAATTTCTTTCTCCTAAGATCTTCACTATCGAATTTTGAGCAAATCTTCACGATCTTTCAACGAGATGATCTCGTGCACAGCAGTAGTTTGGATCAATTTCAAGAAGGCATCAAGCCGAACGATCGACAAAGAAAGGATCTTCCGATCTGAAGATGCAAAAGATCTGTCTCGCTAAGGATCCACGAAGACTGTGATCCACTAATTTTTGGAGGTAATCCGATAAAACTGGACCTTTTCTAAGTATTGCACGGTGTATTTTCTAAATGATCAAAACTTCCACCACGAGAAACTGTTCAATTTTTTTCCAGTGACCAAAAAGGCAAAAAAAAAAAATATCGAAGACCCTAGTCGCCTCGTTTAGTTGCTTTCAGAAAGGCTCGAACTACGTTGATAGCGGATAATTCCCAGGCAACATGGGTAGCAACTTCTAAGTAAGTGAGAAGACGATTTATTTTTTGCCAAGACTTCTTCTCTCCCAATCAGCGAAAAGGAAAAATGCTTCCCAACCACGAGCAAGAGAGGAAGGTCGTCGTCGACGCGGGCGCGGCCATCAAATTGCAACGGATCGAGCAGTTTGGTTCGGAGTTTTTTACCACAGAAGAAGTACACAACGAGATCAAGGACACGCAGGCTCGGAGACATCTGCAAACTTTGCCGTTCGAACTGCAGCAGAAACAGCCTTTCAAGGACGACTATTTATTCGTATTTGATATTTTGCGCTGTGTGCTGCTGTTTCCAGCTCATTATTGATGTTGTTGCATACCAGAATCTTTACACAACATGTACATGCAGCTTGTGGTCGCGATTTTAATATTTCTACAGCAATGACATGAAAATTTCTAAACGTTATTCACATTTTTTCGAACCAAATAGTACATCTCGTTCTTCTACTTCCCAGGTGAAGAAGTTTGCCACCGCGACGGGTGATGTGGGTTTCTTGTCGCAGAACGATATGGGGCTGCTGGCGCTCGCGGTACGGTTGCACCGGGAATCCGGAAGCGAGATTCAGCTTCGGGACGAGCCGGAGATGGCGCAGGTGAGCAACCGAAGGGTGGCGTTCTCCTGGGCGCCGAGCGAGCAGCATTTCCGCAGCAACCCGCGGCTGAACAGTGTAGAAGGTGGAACTACCGGATTTAGTTGTTCCAGCTCTTTGTTGGACTCGACAACGGAGGTCGATGGGGAAGAGGATCATGATGACCGGTTCGACGACGAGGAGCCCGCGTTGTCAGAAATTGACGAGGAGGGGCGGGACGAGGACTCTGCGTCCGCCAGCCGGCCCTCTGAAGTTGCCGTGCCGGCGGAGGGCGAGGACGAGAGGGAAGATGACCTCAACAAGAAACCGCAACAAGAGCAGGCGTTTGCGGATGATGAGGAACAAGAGAACAAGGCGAATGAAAGAGTAGAAGACAGCAGCGAAACCTTGCTCGGGGTCCCACCAGCGAGGACAGACGACGCCACCGAAGCGACGCCTGCACCGAAACCAACACCACCGCCTAGTTCTACCCCCGCCGCGCCGCAGAAGCCGCTCTCCTGGGCGCAGCGGGCCGCCGCGGCAAGGGACATCGTAGCCCCGGCAGTGCTGGACAACGATCCGCAGAACAAGGCGGGTACAAAAACTCGGGTGTTTGTGACGCCCGAGGTGGTGAAGGAGGAAGAGCCTGAAGAGAATAAGCTGCCAATGAAGTTGCTGTGTGCGTCAGAAGAAGAACCACGCTCAACACCTTCGGTACTACTATCGACCGATGGCAAAGACCAAGACGAAGACCAAAAAGTAACCATCAAGCCGAAAATCGAGGAGGGCAAATCGCGGATTCTGACCACGGGCGCTGGCGTGCAGGATTTCATTATCAATCCTGATGAGGAATCGTCCGACTCGGATGACGATTGGAACAGTGGCTGGGTCACCTCAGAGAACATCAACCGACTCCAGAATACGGTGGACGCCAACCACAAAACGGCAAACACATTGGACTCGCCGATCTCGGTGCTTTCCGCCGATTACTCCGTGCAAAACGTGGCGATTCAGATGGGCCTGCAAGTAGTCTCGCTCGACGGACTGCGGATCCGGAGCGTCAAGCTGTGGGGTATGGAATTTGTTTTTGAACATAATTTCTTGAATAGTTTTGTCTGAAAGAATGCACACTCTTATATATAGTTCAACCGGCTTAACTTACGGCACAAGCAGGCTGCTAAAGAAGTCCCAGAAACATTCTTTTTCTACTTAGCGGAATAAATATCGTCGTGCCAACATTTATCTTCACAGGTAAGATCTGCCGCGGTTGCTTTGCGACGACGCGGGACACGACAAAAATGTACTGTCCGAAGTGCGGCAACCCGACCCTGGACCGGTGTCCGTACACTTTGGACGCCGAGGGACGGGTGGTGATGCACGACAACAGGCGGAGAAAACCGAACCTGCGCGGAACCGTTTACTCGATCCCGAAGCGACGGGGCGGGAGAGGTATACTATAACTTAAGTGTGGGTTATTTAACGTCGAGTTGATGTGCTGGATTTCCATTCGACAAGATGATCGTGATTTTTCTATAGAGCTAGCGTGTGATCGTGATGGAAATGAAAAATCCGAAGCTGCTATGATGAACCCTTTTCAATTCTCATAAGGTGGTCTGAAAAACAGATTCTGTTCTCGAATCGCCTTGTGTAGAACCTTCGTCTGCAATTCTGACATGCTGCACAAATGTTGTTTAAGTACATGCAAAAAGAACTCTGCAGCCATATTTATCATCCCTTGTTTGTGTGCAAAATTTTCGTTTGTGCCTCTACCTCGCAATAAAGCGGTAGCCTCTGTTGCAGCAAAAGCTATACGAATCTTCAAACCTGTCTCGCAGCTGCCGACCTGCTCTTACGTGAGGACGAGCAAGTGATGGGGGGTCGTGACCGGCAGATCCGATACGAACAGCGTTTGGCGGAAAAGCAGCAGCAGAAACGCGAAAAAGACGGGATTGACATTGTCGACGGGTGGTGCGCCCGGCACATCACCGGGACGGGCAACGCCGTGAACCGGGGGCCGGGCAGCTTCAAGCACGGCTACGGGGGGAGAAGGAATCCCAACGCGAACAATTTCAAAACGCAGCGATTTAAGAAGTGATGGAATTTCACTTCATTTTATTGCAAGTGACGTTTATTTTGTGCTTGACGATAAGATGTGATGTGAGGACATGAAGCTTCTTCCAAACGCTTACCTAACTGACAACGACGCAACGAAAGATTGAGCACCGGCACGTAAAAGCACCTGCGACTTCTGAAGGTCGTGTTTGCAACTGGCAGTGAGCTGTTAAGAAGTGTTCCGACCAGCGCGTGGAAGTCTGAATCCACTTGAGGATCAAGAAATTAATTCAAAACCACCGATCTGCTTGCCAAAGCCCAATAAAAGGAAAAGAAGCATGTGGTAATGGTTAGTAAAGCCAAGTAGTAACGATTTTCGTCGCTGCAGATCTAGCTATTTCGGCACTGAATGCACTTCAGTACCAGAGCGCAAGACAGCGACACTCTTCAGAGATAGAAATACTTAGATTATGTCATTTTTCATGACAGAATAGTACTTAGTAAAGTTCTTTTCAGTCTTTCTCGCGTAAAAAGAAGAGGCCGCTCGGGAGCCCGACGCTCGTTCAACAACTGCGATACTAGTGCGAACACGACATCGATCTGAGTTCAGCTACACAACAGCACGAAAAATCATGACGTTTCGTCGCAGCGCCACGACTTTTGCCACCCTGAGCCGCCGGCTCTCAACCTCCTCCTCTCGAGGTGGAGCGACATCCGGTTTGGCTGCAGCAGTAGCCGGACGTGCAACTGCCGGGAGTTTGCATTCGCTTGCAAAGAACGTGGCAGTGGGGAGGTCCTTTCAGGCGACCTCGGCGGGACTTTCTCTCTTATCCAAAAACGACATCACGACTACACCAGCAGCCGTCCAGCAACGGTGCTTTTCCGCCGCCGCTTCCGGGAAAACGGAAGAGACGCTGCTCGACGCGGTGAGCAAACATCTGAAGGACCGAATCGAGGACGTGAAAAAGGAGATGGAGGAAACCAACGCCGTATGAATTGCAATAGCATCGCACTTTAGTAGTAGAAATCGCATGACAAATTTCCGCAGCATAAGAAATGAAATTTGTAATGCGTTCTTAATAGCTTCAGAGAAGAATTTTTGTCATGCGTGATTGCGATCACCCTACGAGTGCGATGCTTTGGCAATGCATACGTTCCGAAGGAGAAGCTCGCGGCGCAGTTGGAATCTTTGCAGAAGCCCGTCACGATCAGCACGACGTGGGATGCCCTCGGGTTTGACGAGTTCGACCGGGTGGAAGTGTTGCTAGAGGTGGAAGAGGCGTATGGATTGCAAATATGTGACGGTCTGGAAAGTTGCAACTTGTGCTGCAGTCTTTGGACTCGAAAAAAATCTGTATTGCATGACCACCAAGAGGAGACCAGTTTGTGCTACGCGGAGAGGGCCGCGTTTGTCATGCGGAATGGGCAGCAGAAAGCCCGAAAAAAATCTGTGATGCTCGGTCATGCACATTACAGGCATCATGGGTCACGGAAGACCTGCATGGTAAAGTCTTGCATTTCTCCAGAACGCCACACATGTTTGCAGTGGATAAAGCGTTTGGGGTCACGATTCCGGACGAGGAGGCGGACGCGATCGGGTCGGTGAAAGAGACACTGGACTGGCTGGAAAAAATATCCTGAGAAAAAAGTGTTACAGTTACACATTGTGTTGCAGGCCAAGCAAGACAGACGAGCTCTGTGATGCCGGATGTGCATAGGAGCCTCCTTTCATAGCTGTTTTCCCGTAGGATTTCTGCATCGCAAGTTTTCTCTCTCATGCAGAGAAATTTGTGTTGCTGAATTGACAACAAATGTGTAACTGTAACACTTTTTTCGTGCGATAAAAAAACTTGGAAACCAAAGAATGAGCAACTTTATTCATTCTACTCGTGGAGCAGCGCTCATCTAGAAGCTACTTTGAATAAATAAGTCCGCGAAAATCATGTAGAGTTCGTTTATTTATTGTACCAGGCGACTGACTTTGAAGAGTTCTTCATGAAAAAGACCACCTGTAGTTCTTACAAGGTAAAGGTTGCCCCTACCACTTACAGCGACGATGTGCTGGTTTCCTCGGAAAACTATAAATCTGCACTTCGCACGAAACCATTTTCCTTGTTGCGCCGTAGCAAAAATTCTGGTCTTGTGGTCGTGTGAGGGCCACTTATGTGATGTTGTTAACCAGCAGGAATTCATAATAATCTGACTTTCATTGTTCCACTCACAGCGACTGTCAGTCCGTTATCGCCAGTGGGAAATGTGGTCTTCATCTTCTGTATCATGTGAAGATGCTTCGGTTCACATAAGATAGATGCCGCCTGTGCTTTTACCCCGCATGATCCCCGAGTGGCTGTTTCGTAAAATCATTTGAGTGCCGGCCGGTGCCTTCTGAATTATTCGAAGAATTTGCCTATACGAAAAGATCAGTGTTCGCAAGACATCCTTGTGACGATCCTATTCAAAGAAACAGTACTGCGCGTTGACCAAGATCACGATGAGGTGTTGGTGACGAAAAAGTTTCTTTTCTTCCATCAGAAGACCGTCAAGATTTTACAATTTTAATGCTACAAAGAAACAAATGAGCATCAACCCCACCCTGGCGGAGGACCAGGTCACCAAGGAGCTCTTCCCCCTCCCCCGTCCCGGCGAGGTTTTCATCCTCAAACGCGAGAACATTTTTTTCGAGTCCGCGTCCAGGAAAGCAAGATGCAAGGCACTGGGGCTGTTCATGCTGTCCTCCCAGCGGTTTGTGTTTGTTGCCCAGAAGGACAAAAATAACGAGGATATAACCCTCTCAGGTGTTACAATCTCAAACGTTGCAATAGAATCTGGAAATCTGTAATGCAAGAACTGCATGATCTAGCCTACGCCAATAAGATTGCGCATGACAAGTTTCGGAGTCCCAAACCCACCTGAAATCTGGCGAAATTTGTATTGCGAAAAGCTCAGTTCTCTATACGTTCCTCATGCTCTTCATGCAATACAAAATCCAGATTCTATCGTAACGTTCGAGATTGTAACGTTTGAGCGGGCCATAGAGGATTTTGGCAGTTTCGAGATTCCGATGGACAGTATTCTGAAGCAGGAATTTATGCAAGAAAAAAACTGTGTAAGTGTAACTCTGTAATGCACAAAGTGCAAAACTGTTACACCTGTCATGCCAGACAACCACGCAGTCCTCTTTTCATGTGTGTTTTCTCTTGTAAGCCACGCATGACAGGATTTCTCTGTCATGTAGAGCAAATTTGTGATGCTGTCAGCCAAAGAAAGTTACACTAACACAGTTTTTTTCTCGGATAGAATTCCAGCAGCCCATCTTCGGCTGCAACTACCTCGAACTGCAGGTCACCAGCACGGACCCGAGCATCACGGGCGACACCAATTTCCCGATTTACCTCTACTTCTACGAGGGTGGTGCGGGCACCTTTCTGCAGGTGTTTTTCAAGTTCTTCGTGGAGGTACAGCGGCGGCGCGGCGAGGCGAACAGCCAAAACGGGTTAGCGCAGGTGGCCGTGCAGTTAGTGAATAACCGGCACGCCTACGTCGACCGGAGCGACCCGTCGACCTTCTACCTGCAGCAGCCACAGACTGCTGGCGCGGCGGGAGAGAATGTCGATCGGTCAACAGCGACGGAGCAGGAGGGCACAGACATCGGGCATGTAGGCGGTGGTGGTCCGAGTGGTTCGGGGGGAGAGCAAGAAGTGCCTAATACTGCGTTTCCCGGGACAACAAGTGGAGCGTTTCCCGGGCGAGGACATGTGTTGGGGGACAGTTGACAGAGATGGAGGAGGGAGAATTTAATAGCAGCTAAAGAAACAGTAACAGACAATGAACAAAGCACATCTTCTTCGCCTTCGGCACATATCATAGCAATCCGCAGGACGACCTCCCGGAGGTGGCGCATGAAAAAGGTGCGAGGATTTGCACACAAGAGCAAGTGTGTGACACCGTCTTGTTTAAAGGCTCCAGCGCGTGTTCACCCTTGCATTACAGTTCTTTTACGTTTTCTCTCGCTCGACCCATCCTACCGCCCGTGTGTTTTGAAGGCGTAGGAATTATTACGTAAGGACCCGAGCTCGTGATTTTTATGGATATTGTCCGTCAGAAATACTCCGCTAAACATGCTGATTTAGAATAAGTACCCAACGTATTTTGACGTTTTGGCAGAACAAGATGGAACGAGTTTTCACCACCAAACCGCAGCAAGCAGGTAGATCGGCCGTCGGATTGGCGGCTATTTGGGACAGGATAAACATGATTTCTTTTTCCAACTAGGGACCACGCACACTAGATCTTCAATGATGAGCAGCACAAGTTCAACGTCCGCCCTTGCCCGCCGCCGCATCGGCGAGATTTTCCAACAAAGCGCATTGGCCCCCGCCACGTCCTCTTCTTCTTCCTCCTCAACAACTAAACCCGCCGCAGTTTTCGGCGTGGAGTTCGTTCCCGCGGACGACAAAACCGTCTATCAACTGTAAAAATGTTTGGGTCTGGAAGATTCTGACAGTTGTCATGCACGTTTTGCATGAGCCCTGATGTCTGTGATGCATGCCCTAGCATCACAGATTTTTTGAGAGCTTCTCGATGCCTATTCCGCATGATAAATGCCCTCTTCGCGTAGCAAAAATTACATTCCCTTTGGTACTCATGCAAGACAGATTTTTTTGGAATCCAAATGCAGCATCTCAAATTGCATTCTTCCAGACCCAGACATTTTTACATTTGATACCGTCGTGGCGCAGCGGATTTCCCGAACGCAGAAATGGCAGCCCGCCTGGGTCGGGGTCACGTGGCACGTGACGCAGGCGGACCAGAGCAGAAAAACGCTGCAGTTGGTGCAGAATTTGACGCAAAACACGGAGTTGAACTGCATGATGCACCTGACCTGCCGCGACATGACCAAAACCCAAATCCGCGAGGTGCTCGACCAGTGCAAAGCGCTGGGCGTGCGAAACATTCTGGCCTTGCGGGGCGACGGCATGACGGCGGGAACCCCGAAGGGGGATCATGGGGGTGCCACTACCAGTACCTCCTCTTCGCCGGTCACGACCGAGGCAGCGGTGGAGGGAACAGGTTGTGAAGTAGACGATAAAAATGTAGTGAACAAAAACCACTCCGACCAGCAGTTTCAATACGCGATCGAATTGATTCAGTTCATCCGCACGGAATACGGCGATTTTTTCGGCATTGCGTGTGCGGGGTACCCGGAGATGCACCCAGATTCCAAGCAGGATTTGGAAAAGGACATTTTCTTTTTGAAGCAAAAAGTAGCCGCCGGCGCGGACGTGATCATTACCCAGTTTTTCTACGACGTGGGGAAATTTTTCGAGTTCAAAATACAGTGTCGGAAGAGTGGGATCGAGTGTCCGATAATACCGGGCATCATGCCGATTACGAGTTACGCCCGGCTGGGAAAGATCAACCGGTGGAACCCCACGGCGGCGGTTCCGGCGGCCTTGCGAGAGGAACTGGAGAAGCGGAAGGAGGATGGTGCTGCGTTGCGCGCGTTTGGCATCGAGGAGTGTGTGAGAAGTTGTAGATTGCTGTTGGAAGAGGAGTATGGGGCTGCAGAGGGGGAAAAGTTCTTGCCAGGGTTGTACTTCTTCACGTTGAATCAAGATGATGTGATACATGAAATTTTGAAAGCTTTGAAGCTGGTGGAATGAAGAGTGTGGCTCGAAGGATTAGACGTTGGTCGGCACAGTGCTGATTTCACTTGATACGAAGGCGCTATCTGAAAAGCGCGCACTGAACTAAGGCAATAGCGACAAGTATGGTCGCGTCTGCATTGTGTTCCATGCGGTCTCGTAGCTCCGGTGAATGTAAGAAGGGCCTGGAAGCTGCTGCGCACCTTGATACAAGAAGCACAACGCGCTCCAAAGGATGCAGCGGCCGGATGCAGCGCGCCCCCTCGGTGTTTTTTGGTAGATCCCGGGGCGGAACTAGAGCCGGCCGCCAAAACGGAGAAGATGACGAGGCTGCCCCGGGCGCGATTCGTAGGCAGATGGGAGGAGCTCTCGCCATCAGAAACTCTGACGACTCGGAGGAGGTCTTGCGGCGCATCTCCGAAGGCTACGAACCTCCGGGGCAGGGGCCAGTGGCTGCGGACCACGGGCGCGCGGCGCGGGGCGTGCCCGAAGAGGGGGGGCCGGCGCGGCCCAGGCCGCGCAGCCAGCAAGAGCGCGGCGGTGGGGGTGTTGCAGTTCATCAAGCACTGCCGGGGCGCGATCAGTGTACGCGGCGCGGCGCGCCATGCGATGCCAGCCGCAGAAGCCATCAGCGCGATCAAGTTGGCCGCCGGGAGCGAGTGGACCGAGGACTGCCCCCCGCCTGCCTGGGGGGGGGCCAGGGCGCCGCCAGGTGGATCCTCCGCGGCACGAAAAGAGCCCGGGGGCCTGGCGGATTAATAGGCGCAGGCCCAATGCCGCGCGCGGCGTGTCTCGGGGCTGGCTGTGCTCGGGGCGCGCAGCAGGGCGGGCAAGGCCAAAGCCACAGCAGCGCGCAAGGCCGGCGCGGCGGACGGGCGACGATTCGGGTGCTGGCCCCTGGCGAAAGTTAAAAAAGCCAGCCCCGAGCTACATCAGGCCCTGGCGCTTTGTGTTTTTTGGATCTTTGCCCGCGGGCGCGGCCGGCCTGGGTCATGTTGGTTTGTAGGTGGGCACGGTTTGCGCCGTATCTCGAGGCTACAGAAACGGCTCCAGGTTGGGCGCGCACAAAGTCCAACATCTGGCGCGGGGGCTGCGGGAGAAAGTGCCGGCGCGCCCCATGTCGCGCGGGCTTCATGTCCGGAGCTGTGGCGTCTTCAGGCGCCGGCGGGCGCGTTGTGGCGGGAGGACGAGTGGAAGCGTCAGCTGCGGCCCATTGATGACTTGGGGCCCTTCGCTGGGCCGCCTGCGTTTTCGCGTCGTGTGGCAGAGCCAAACCATAGCGGGGAACTATCCGCCGCCCTGGGGCGCGGCGAAGGCCGGGCGCATAGCCAGGGGCCGGCCGTCGGTGCCGCGGCGTGCGGGGCTGTTCAGCAAAGTGCCGCGGAAAAACGAATCCGCCGCGGCAGCGCGTGCAAGGGCCGCCGGAACAAGAAGCATGCCGCGCCGGGCGCTCCTCCCCTCGCGCGGAAAAGAGCGCCAGCGCTGCGGCGGGCCTTCTGTTTCTTTTTTGAGGCCCGCGGCGCCCTCTTGCTGCCCGCCTCACTGGTCCGCCTTCGTGGCGGCGGGGCCCTTGCAGTGCTGGCAGGGCGAAATCAATTTGCGGCCGTTTCCGGCCTTTCCTCCACTCGCTGCCACTTCTGGATAGGGGCCCGCCGGTGGCGGCCAGGTTCGCTACGCCGGCGCCACTTCGGGCACGGCTCCCGCCGCCTGTTGGGCGCGCGCTTGCCTCTTGTTGTCCTCCGCGCAACGCCCTGTATTCGTGCCAGGTATCAGAAATTCAGCTTGTTTTCCTGGATGCGTTTTCGCTATGTTATGTGTTGGGCCATTTGGCACCGAGTGTTCAAGCAGTACGGATTTTGGTCAGGCTTGTGTGTGTGTGGGTAAGGGCTGCGGAGACTCTGGCTACGTGGGTAATTACGTCTCGCCTGAGCTTATTCCTAGCTGTTCACTATCTGCACCGTCGTGCAGTCTGCAAAAAAGCGATGACAACTCAGCCCGAGCACGTCGCCGCCGCAGCAAGGGAAAAGTTCAAGGAGCAGGCCACCGCGGGGAGGCGCAGTGCCTACGGTGCCGTCGGCGACCACGACTACGTCATCGAGGCCTTCCTCTGGTCCGACGTGAAAGAAGACTCCAAAGCGCCCATTTACCAAAACCGGGCGCCGTATCTTTCTGTTTGCCAAGACATTCTGGATCCGATTATACTCGGCCGCGCCCAAGCGGACAACCAAGAACCCGGGGCAGCAGCATCTCTTCCAACTACCCCCGCCGCTGCTCCCCCAAGTACAACATTCTCTCTCCGTCCTCGACCTTGGTACCGGCGATGGCAAATTTCTCGCGACGCTGCACAACAAGTACGACCTCCCATGGGCCAACGTCTGCGGTGTCACCGCCGAGGACATGCGAAACCAGGAAAATTTTTCCAGCGGCGGGGAAATTTTTGACCCGAAGTGTCCGGAGTCCAGCTACTTCGTCGGGAACATCGAAGACCAAAACCTTCCAGCAAAGCTCGGAAAGAACAGGAGGTTTGATGTCATCGTCTCCTTTGTCACTTTCTGCTGGCTGACCGACCCGTTGCGAGCGGTGGTACTGTGCTGCAACGAGTTGCTGAAGCCGAACGGGATTTTCCTCGCCGGAGGGATCCAGTTGTTGACGGACGCAGAAGAAGCAAAGAACACCGACGGCACAACATTAACAACCACAACGACGATGAGCGCCGAGGAAGAACAGAAGTGGCTGTTCGCACTGGCGAAGTACTGGCAGGAGGAACAAAGCGCGGGTCAAGTGCGGATTGAGCTGGTCGTGGATGCCTCCACCGGAGCATACGTCTACTGGCTGATGCAGCGCAAAGCACATGATCATGATCACACCCCCGCGAGGACGAGCAGTACTTCTCCTACCCAGGCGGTGACCACAACGGACGCAAAAAGAAAGCTGCTCTCTTTGTCTCCGGCACTGGAATATGGCCAGATCGATACAGAGTCGTCGAAGGTGTGCTACAAAGTGAACGAAACCCTGCTCCGGCCCTACTTGCCAGCATGCGATGGTGCCTCACAACTACCGTCGACGCGGGTGCGGAGGAAAGGCGTTGAGGGAAAGATTTCTGATTCGGTGAAACGGGAAAAACTTCTTTCTGAATTCGCAGAGACTGTCGAAGAAAATCAGTTTCGGACAGCACTGACACAGATGGTTGAGGAACTGGAGCGGGGTAGACGGCAGAAAAAGGCGTAGCTGGTGTCAACAGCATATTTTGTCCATGTGCGGGGCTTTGTCCATATTCCGCATGAAGAGTGTTCGTGCGCTGTGTCACAAATAAAGATCAATGAAGAACACGAGAGTTTGCTTCGAGGATGAACGCAGGATGGATCGAACACGCTCTACTTGCACAATCATCAAAAGAGCCACTGAGTGGTGACGCATATGATGCGCCTCGGCTGATCAACATTCTCAGGTAAAAACATAGACACTCGACCGCCGCAGTTGTAGCTGCACTTTTGTAGGAACCACGAGCAGAAATGGTGAATCCTTGAAGTAGCCACTGTGTCAGTGGGCTGCTGCAGCTCCTACGCTTGTTTCTCCTGGTCGACGAGGGAACTAGTGCAAACCACTCCCAGAAGTGTGCATGGCCTCTACCGCGTCGTCAATCCATTTTTACGTCGACCTGCTTCCGCTTTACGTCGTCTGGCTGGTGTACCTGGCCCTGGGGCTGGGCTACCTGCTCACCACGCGGGTCTACGGGCACACCGTGTTGGAGCACCGGCTGACCGCGTTTCTGGAGCGGTGGGTCCCGGTCGGGTAGGATTGTACTTCACACCTTTGTTTCTCTACTTTTGTCTTTCGGGAGTATGAAAATGGTGCCTCGTCTACTACTACTCACGAAGCCGGTTTATCCGGTAGTTCTCGTCGCGGCCGCCCTATTCCTAGACCAGATTGGCTACGTTGCCGCGGGGCCGAACCCGATCCGCAAGGTTGTCACGTTACTCGAGGACCTCGCGAAGGAGATTGAAGCCGAGTCGGCGGAACAGGCCAAACTGCACGAGAAGATGCAGTGCGCGTGCAAAAAAGCCGTGCCGGATATGGAGCAGGAAATCGAAGACGCGAAAAACTCCATCTCCGCGCTCCAAGCCTCCATCCAGGAGAAAAGCGGCGCCGCGGAGCAGCTCGGCGCCGAGGTGGCGGCCTTGGACAAGGATATTGCCGAGAACAAACAGTCGCTCGCCGAGGCACAGTCCGTGCGGAAGAAGGAGGGGGATGAATACCAGGCGGAGTCGGCGGTGACAAGAACCAACATCGCCGCCATGGACCAGGCGATCCCGGCCTTGCGGAAGGGCATGGGGGGCGAGGACCCCGACGCGTTTCTGCAGGTGAAGGGCAAGACGGAGGAGAAGAAGATGAAGAAGAATTTGCTACTCCTGCTCCAGAACGGCGCGTTTTCCTCGGAAGCAGATCGGGAGCTGGTGTACGAGCACGCCACGAGCAACAGCAAAACGGAGTCTTCGGGCGAGATCGTCGGGATTCTGGAGCAGATGCGGGAGTCCATGCGAGACAACCTTATCGCCGCGACGAAGCAGGAGGAGCAGGCGCGGGCCACTTTTTTGAAGCTGGAGCAGAGCAAGAAGGGCGAAATTTCCGCGGCGGAAAAGGAGCGAACGGAGAAGGCAAACCGGCAGGCCAAGCAGGACTCGGAAAAAGCGACGGCGGAAGAAAACTTGTCCGACACGGAGGCGGCTTTGACGGACACAACGCAGGAATTGGACGACAAAAAACGCGAGTGCGCGGACGAGGAAAAGTTGTATGACGAGATATCAAAAGGAAAAATCCCCCCTCCACCCCATATAAAAACGGAGATTTGTGTAGCATGATTTGTGATCACAAATCTTCACGTTGTCATGCTAGAACGGAAGAGAAGATGCGGACTGTAGTGTGCTGGCTCGTGTTCTTGGAAGGCCTTGTAGTGTCTTTAGCATGACAGAAAGCACCTGGAACCGGGAAACAGCATCACAGACTGGCCGCAAGTGAGGCCGCAGCTGCCTCTCTTTGCCTTTTAGCAATACAAGTCGATTTGTGTTGTACTCAAATACTTTCGTTTCGATATGGGGAGGGGGGATGTTTCCTCGCAATACGAGAACGAAAAGGCGAGGCAGGCCGAGGTCATCGGCGTGCAGGAAGCCATCAAGATTTTGAACAGCGACGACGCGCTGAAGACCTTCGACAAAACCATGCAGAAAGGCGAACCGGAACAACCAGCGTCCTTTTTGCAGCTGAGTTATGAATTGCAAAAATGTCTGGGTCTGGAAGATTGCAACTTGTCATGGTAAATCTGAAGCATGCAAAAATCTGTGTTGCATGAGTGCCAAAAGCTGTCCACTTTTGACCAAGTTGGAACGGAGTTTCTCATGCAGAATAGGCATGGCAGAGGCCTCGCAGAGTCTGTCATGCTACGTCCCGCATTCCAGACCTCATGGGTCATGGAAAATCTGCATGACAAGTCTACACTCTTCCAGACCCAGACATTTTTACATTTGATACGAGTTTGACCTCGCACGGAAAATTCGACGCGCTCTTGGGGAAATGCGGAGAGTACTAAATATTAGATACTGGCGCTGCTGGTCTTATTCAGTCACCTACTTGAAGAGCCGTGTTTGTGCAATGCGCAATAAACTCGCGTTTTTTATGCTATACAAATATACAACCTGACCAAAACACAACAGCATGATTACGCTTTTGAAGCAGGAACAGAAAACGGAGGACGAAGAAAACGACAAGTGCAAAGCGGATCTCGCCCAGTCCGCACTGGATGTCCAGGAAGCTGGGAACACAGAGACCAACGCCGCGCAGGCGGTGGAGCAGAAGAAGGCAGAAGTGGCGGCCGTAAAGGACGAAGTAGCGGCGGTCAAGTCTGTGCTCGCGGAAATTGAGGCGACGGTGAGTGAAGAGTCGGAAAACCGGAAGAAGGAAAACGCGGCGTTTATCGCGGAGCAGAGTGAGCTCTCCCAGGCGGTGAAGTTGCTGCAGAAGGCGGGGAAGAAACTGAAAGAGACCTACGCGGCAAAAGAGTTGCTGTTGCAAGAGGAAGGTGGAGCCTCTACTTCTTCCGCTATTACTGACGCGGATAGCAGTACAACGACCACTTCTGGTGCCAATGATAATTCTGGCGCGGTTGTTGACTCTACTCAAGAGGAATCTACTTCAACCTCCGCTAATGAAGACGGCGAGAATTATCAAGAAGAAGTCTCCCCCGCCACTACCGCTGAGTCGGTCGACCAGGTTTTTGACTCCTTCCTCAGCTTCACGCAAGTAAAACAGGAGCAGCCAGCGGGGCAGGACAACCGCGCCCGGAAAGGCGGGAACATCGTGATCATCCTTACCAACATGGCCGCAGACGTGAAGAAGGACATTGCGCTGTTGGAGCAGCAGGAAAACCAGGAGCAGAGCGACTACGAAAAGTTGATGAAGGACTTAGCGGCCACGAAAAAGCAGCGGAAAGACGAGTTGACGACGAAAAAGTCCACGTTTGCGAAATTGTCCCAGGAGCAAGAGGAGCTGGAGGAGGATTTGAGCCTCGCGCAGGACGAGAACGCGGGGCAGCAGAGCGAGGACAAGATATGCATTGCAAATATGTCTGGGTCTGGAAGGGTGCAACTTGTGATGCATTTTTTGGATTCTAAAAAAATCTGTATTGCATGACCCCCCGCAATATGAGTTCAGTTTATGCTATGCGGCGAGTGCATTTCTCATGCGGAATAGGCATCAGGAAGCTCTCTAAAAATCTGTTATGCTACCGGTCATGCATGCATAACGGGCGTCATGAGTCATGCAAATTATGCATGACAAGCCGGGCAATCTTCCACACCCGGACTACATATTTGCAGTTGATACAAGGCACTGCACGAGAACTGCGACTACCTGCTGAAGAACTATTCCGCGAGGAAGGAGGAACGCGCCGGGGCGGTGGACGGACTATATCCTGAGTAAAAACGTACCCACACCAGAGTTGTAATGCAAATCTGCATGCTGAAAATGTTTCTCATGCGGAGCCCCATGAGAAGCATTTTCTAGTCGTGTTTTGCAATTTGTCATGCTCCAATCAGCATGGTATGCTAGATCTGTGATGCTGCTGAGCTAGCTCAAACAGCACTACACTACGAGTCCAAATTTGTCATGCAAAACAGCCAAAACTTGTGGATTTGTCTAGCCGATTCCCCATCTTGACTATGGTGTGGGTACGTTTTTACTCAGGATAGACTACAGCAGGCCATCGCGATTCTGCGGGGCATGAAAGACCCCAGTCTGTTGCAGAAGGGGGGAAGCTATGGATTGTAAATATGTCTGGGTCTGGAAACTTGTAATGCCAAAAGTGAATGGTAGACGCACTGCAATACGCAGCTATGCATGACAAATTTTTTGGCTGCCATGTCTTACGTGTTCCGCATGGCAAACTGCGTTTTTCCATGACAGGTAAGAGGGCCTTTTCGCGCCTATGCAACACAGATTCTCGAGTCATGCCAGACAAGCATGACACACTTGCATTCTTCCAGACCCAGACATTTTTGCATTTGATAGAAGCGGCGTTGTGCGGGTGGAAAAACTGATGTCCCGGGCGGGGGCGGCCCTGCAACACCGGGGGAATTGAGTTGATACAGATTGAAGGTTTCGTTTTCGTTTGCGTTGGCGCAGCCACTTCAAGTGGATCACGAAGAGCGCTGCGCTTGTATGATTTTTGGCCCGCAGCAACAGCATTGGTTGGCGCTTTATTTTTTCCGGACAGTTTAGAGAAGCTGAAGTTCAAGTGTATGAGTTGCGGTAGCCCTAGCGCTATTTCTCACTGGCAGAAGTAAAGTGAAGATTCTAGCCTGCCGTCGCGAGACTAGCCGCGAAGGTGCTTCGATTTTTTGAGTGAATCTGGTGTTCCAAATTTGAGTGCGACTGCTGAGATTGTTGAGAACGCAGAATACATCGCGATTCTGCGGGGCAAGCGCCAGCAGGAATACATTGCAGAATACATTGTCTGAACGCAGAATACATTGCGAGAGCAACCTCCAGCAGGCCATCGCGATTCTGCGGGGCATGAAAGAGCCCAGTCTGTTGCAGAAACGTGCGCCGGGCGCTCCTGCCGCCAGCCAGGTACCTAGGTTAACGCATTTAGGTCATCACATTCTAGGTTACGCAGTCAGCATGCGGGCGCGCAACCTCGTGAGGACCGAGATGGGGGGACTGACCACCATCTGTGGCCCCATCTTTGTACAAAAGGCCCCGACAACAATCGGGGCCTGTCCGTGACCAAGCCCAAGCGGTGGTCAGCGAGAGCGAGCGGGGAGGCGGCCACCCTCCCGCGGCCGCCATGCGCGCGCCCGCCAAAGCCACGTACCGTAAGGTGAAACCGTCGGCGCCGATCGCTATGTACAGGATCCGCCCTGAGCGACCGGAGCGCGGGTCAAGCCGACTCACAACCAGGACGAAAGTCTACAGAGGGACACCTCTGTGCGCCCGCACCATACCGCCCCGCACCTCTGTGCGACGGTCACAGCCCGAAACCCCCGGCTTCGGCGGGGGGCTAGTAGGGATTTAGGATGGAAGGCTGCGAAGTGCGTCTAGTGCATGAATCTGAGAACACTAATCCGTGACAGATACAAGGATGGCCACACAGAGTGACACACAATGCGCAAGCACTATACACGAACGACACACACCAGCCGACCGTGTGCCACCTCTGTGGCACGGCTAGCTAGGGACTGCGTAGCCACCTGTTCGCACAGTTTACAAGCACGGCGATAGAGATCTAAACTGATGCAGCGACACCATACTTGCTTGCCTTCAAAATCAGGCTAGCTGCAGCGAACCTATACACTAGATGGAATGCGAATGATGTCTCACCTGTTGCAACACCCATCGAATGCACATGCTCTACTGATGCTTTTGGTCTTATTAATTTCCAAATGAGTATTTTGGTTTTGCTTTGGACCTCCGTTGGCTCTATTTGCAAAAAACGGAATGATGTTGCAAGCTATTTGCCTCCCTGCCTGCACCTGCTCGAGTGAATGACTGTTGATGGTTCTGACTTTAGACTTGTCTGTCTTACTTGTGTTTTCGCTCTCATTTGGAATGCTATCAGTGCCCTCTCGTGTGCTTATAGACTTTCTGGCCTCTACACCAGGCCATCGCGATTCTGCGGGGCATGAAAGACCCCAGTCTGTTTATCAAAAGGAAAAATCCCCCCTCCCCATATCAAAGCGGGATACTTCTGAAAATTTGTGATGCTGATTTGAGACCTCAAATCGTCTCTGTATTGCAAGAAGGCCAAGAGACGAAGCTGCGGCCTGAATTGCAGGGAATCTGTCATGCTGTTTCCCACTTCCTGTTGCCTCCTGTCATCCTGGAGCTGCAAGGCTTTCCCACGCTAGGCAGCACTACAGTCCGCATCTTTTGCCTTCTAGCATCACAAAGCTGATTTGTGACCACAAATCTGCATCACAGATTTCCGTTTTGATATGGGGAGGGGGCATTTTTCACTGTAATACTGTTGCAGAAGGGGGGCAGCGGCGCTGCGCGGGTGGAAAAACTGATGTCCCGGGCGGGGGCGGCCCTGCAACATCGGGGGAATTGAGGTGATAAAGATTGAAGGTCAAGGTTTTAATATCGTTTTCGTTTGCAGCGTTGGCGCAGCCACAAGGGGATCACGAAAAGCGCTGCGCTTGTATGATTTCTTGTCCGCAGCGATGGTCGTTGGTGTGTTATTTTTTCCGGACAGTATACCAGAAGTTGAAGTTCAAGTCTATGAGTTGCGATAGCCGTAGCGCTATTTCTCAATGGCAAATAAAGTGAAGATTCTAACCTGCCGTCGCGACACTAGCCACGAAGGTGCTTCGAATTTTTGAGTGAATCTGGTGTTCCAAATTTGAGTGCGACTACTGAGATTGTTGAGAACGCAGAATACATTCGGTTTGTTGCAGAAGCGAAATTCTACCGCCGTCGGTCTTGCATTTTCTTTCCTCAAATTTTAATTTTTGGAGTTGATGTCGTGCAGGCTCACATAAATCACAGTTCGCTGTTGAGATGATGTGGTAATTTGCATTGCAAGAACGCAGTCAGCTTTTCAACGACAACAACCATCTTTACGGCAAAAAACTTTTCAACAGGTGCGATATCCTCATTCTCATTTATCATATAAGTACAGTACAGTAGACCCAACTCACGCATTCTTTGTGCAGTCAGAGTCAATCTTCATTTCATTTTTTTCCTCATCTTTCTCGTCATAACGCATTTGCCAAATCATGAAAACACCCAACCGCAGTTGTTTGGCTCCACCTAGTGAGAGGTCTACCTTTCGCAGAACCTAGTAGATAGCACCCATAGGTGGAAATAGAACCTGATATAAGCAGGCCAGAAAGTCTCGCCCCGTACAAGTAGTAGTACTATGGCCTCCCTGGTCTCGTCGCGTGCGCGTTCCATGTCGCGCTTCGTGCGACAGACAACGACAAGGAGCAGCAGAAATCCACTAGCAGTGCCACCCGTGGTGCCAGTTGTTCCTGGAGCAATCCATAGAGCCTTCAGCACCGCGACACAAACTACTACACATGGCGAAAACACAGCGGGCAGGGTCGTACTTACGGGCAACTCGCCGGCCTCGAGCAGCACCGCGCCGAGACGGATAGTAGCTGGCTCAACGACATCCGCGGGAGCAGGCCACCAACAGGGCCCGACCGCCATTCCCATAACGCCGAAACTACTGGAGGAGCTGGGTCTCACATCGTCGAACTCGTCGGGTCTGAATACGCAAAACCTCGCAAAGCAGGCAAACCAGCTGGCCGAGCGGATTTTCTCCAAGATACCGAAGGGGTTCGGTGCTTTCTATCCCAAGAAGTCTTCAAGCGGAGAAAAGGGGGATGGAAAGGTACAGGGTTTGTTCATGTTTTATGCATGGGGAAGGGGTTGTGATCATTTCGGATGAGAAGTTCTTTGGCTCTTGTTTTTTGCGTTTTTGAAATAGGATATTGCCAGAGCATTGCGTAGCGAAGCAAAGCGATCTGTCAGCAGTGCCAACTACATCCACGGAGACGAAGTTAACTAAAAATACAACACCACAGGAATCCTCTTCCAACACCACCGAAACTTCGGAAGACAAGAAGGACGACAAGGAAGGCAGTGGCGGCGACAATGGGGGCAAACCCGACCCGCCCACCGCGATACTGCAAATTGCGGTCCTGACCTACTTTCTCTACTACGTCCTCCGCCCGGACACGACTCCAGAGATAACGTTCCAAGAGCTGGTCAACGATTTTCTCCGCTATGGCTACATCGACCGCCTCCAGGTGGTCAACAAAGAAACCTGTCGAGTGTTGCTGCGGAACGATGTCACACTGCCACAGAATCTAGGTACAGGACATTTTTTGATCATTTCAATAATTCATTATTCATAATTGCATCTTCGAAAGTACAGAAATGATCGCACGGCGGTACAACTATCCTGCTCAGCCGGGTACTGCTATCATGGAATGTACTTACTTTCTCATGAAACTCTAAATAAGCCACGAAAAAAATTTTGCAGTGAAACGCGTCGGCGAGGGCAAGGAATTCCTGGTCCAACTGGGCAGCCCGGAATCCTTCGAGTCCAAGGTCGAGGCCTACCAGCATTCCCTTGGTATCCACCCGCAGGACTTCATTCCCATTCAGTACGTGTCCGAACGCGACTACTGGGACGACGCGCTGCGGGCGCTCCCCTCGCTCCTTATCCTACTCCCCGCCCTGTTCCTCGCCTACTCCTACACGCGGGGCGCGGGCGGCGGCCGGTCGGGCAGCTCCGGCATGGGTGGGTTCGGCGGGGGCGGGGGGTTTGGGGGGTCGGCGCGAAACATGTTCAACATGGGCAAGGTGTTGGAAAAGGAATATCAAATGTAAAAATGTCTGGGTCTGGAAGATTGCCAGGTTTGTCATGCATATTTTGCATGACTCCTGATGTCTGTGATGCATGCCCTAGCGTCACAGATTTTGTGAGGGCTTCCTGATGCCTATACCGCATGACAAATGCTCTTTCCGTGTAGCAAAACTTGGACTCTCTTTGCTGCTCATGCAATACAGATTTTTAGAATCCAAAATCAGCATGACCAGACCCAGACATTTTTACAGTTGATAAGGAAACCAAATCCACGACAAAATTCACGGACGTGGCGGGGTTGAGCCAGGCGAAGATTGAGGTCACGGAATTCGTGGACTTTCTGAAGAACCCGAAAAAATACGAGCACCTCGGGGCCAAGATACCGAAGGGCGGGCTGCTGGTCGGACCCCCCGGGACGGGGAAAACTTTGCTCGCGAAAGCGATTGCGGGCGAAGCCGACAGGCCATTTTTCGCCATGAGCGGCTCCGACTTCATTGAGATGTTTGTCGGTGTGGGGCCCAGTCGCGTGCGCGACTTGTTTGCGCAAGGTACTTTTTGATCTTGGTTGCTATAGAAATAAATTGATGTTGTAGTATTCGCTGCGTGCTGTCCTCCCATCTTACTTATGGAAGTTCTTCCGGAACATCAACCATTTTTTGTGAATTACCAAAAACACAACCATTCACGACTAACCCACACAGCCCGCGAGAAAGCCCCCGCGATTATCTGGATCGACGAAATCGACGCGGTGGGTCGCAAGCGCAACAAGGGCGGGTGGGGCGGGGGAGGGAACGACGAGAGGGAATCCACCCTGAATCAGCTCTTGGTCGAGATGGACGGATTCAACCACAAGACCGGGGTCATCGTGCTCGCGGGAACCAACCGCGCCGATATTCTGGACAACGCGCTGACCAGGGCGGGGCGCTTCGACCGGCACATTTCGATCGACATTCCGGACATCAAGGAGCGACAGGAAATCTTCATGGTCCATTTGAAACCATTGAAACTGACTGAGGGCATGAGCCAGGAAGACGTCGCGCGACGGTTGGCAGCGCTCACGCCAGGGTTTTCTGGTACTTAGAGACAGACTATGCTATAGATACGTTAGTTTGTGGTCACTTTAAGGATTTGCTGTGAAATTCGTCGCATCTTTTGTGTGAAGATCTCTCGTCTTGTGATGCAATTGCAAAGTATACAATCATGTAATCGTCGGACATCAACAACATTGTGCCCTTCGCACTTCTTTCTTTAAACCTAAAATCAGGCGCCGACATCGCGAACTTGTGCAACGAGTCCGCGATTCTGGCGGCTCGGCGCAGTTCCGCCACCGTCGAGCAGGAAGATTTCGAAACCGCGACGGAACGCACCCTGGGCGGGCACGCGAAGAGCAACGCCATGATGTCGCTGCAACAGAAGCGGGTAATTGCCAAACACGAGTCCGGCCACGCGGTCACGGGCTGGTTCTTGGAAAACGCCGACCCGCTGCTGAAGGTTTCAATTGTCCCACGGAGCAACGGGGCGCTGGGGTAGATGATTTGGAAATTCGTTGCTGGAATGATAGAATGAATTTTAACAATGCTACGACGATCATTTTTCACAGGATGAAAATTCATTTTTGTTGACTACGATGCCACTGGACACTTGTTCTGATTCTCAAACCGTATTCAGGTTCGCGCAATACCTCCCCGACGACACACAGCTCCACAGCAAGGAAAGCCTGCTGGACCGCATGGCGATGACGCTGGGCGGGCGCGCCGCGGAGGAGCTTTTCATCGGGTCCATCACCACTGGCGCCAGCGACGACCTGAAAAAGGTCACCAACATTGCCTACCGCATGGTCACGCAGTTGGGAATGAGCGAAAAGGTATGTGCTATAAATAGTTTTCTCCTAGTTTTAGGTCTTGCAGTTGCTCTTCGTTGGTTCTTCGTGCCATGAGATGTGATGATTTTTTTGGGTTGATCAATTTTTCAGGACGATCCTCATCACCAGCTGTTACTTGCTAAAAACATAAAAATCAAAGCGAAGTACACGACTACATCAGGTCGGCCTGTTCAATTACCACGACAATCAGAGCAGCGAGGGGAATTTCACGAAGCCCTACAGCGAAGAGACTGCGCAGACGATTGACGTGGAAGTGAAGAAAATTGTCGACGCGCAGTACGACCGCGTGAAAACCCTGCTGAAGGAAAAGGAGCACCTCATCCACGCCCTGTCCGATAAGCTTTTCGAAAAGGAAACCTTGGTCTACCAAGACCTGGTCGAGGTGCTCGGGCCCAGGCCCGGCGGGTTGAAAGCCGGATACGAGGAATTTATCACGGCAACCTCGCAAGCCAGCGAGGACATAAAGAAGGCCAAGGCATCTGCAGAGGCTGCCGCAGCGGCCTCCTCGGGTGGGGATCCTGGCGCGTCAGGGGGATCATCTGGTGGGGAGAAAGAACTGAAGCCAGACCTGGAAAAAGAAGTCCTGAAAGAGGACCCCCCTCTCAGTGCGACGCCTAGTGGCGCATAGAGGAATTATGGTGATCTTCACTTCAGGATATGGATCTTCATCTTCACAACTTCAGCATTGTGATCTACAACTCTGGGAAAAAATTTTATCTACCTTCTTGAAACAATGAATCTGATATACCGTACAACTCGTTTATTAGTCTGAAACCTGGCAACCTTGATCGCACAGTAGTGCTTTCGCTTTTCGTTTTCTATCTGGTATAGCGTATAAGATTTTGTGGCAAAGAAAGTACTAAATGTGCAGACATAATCGAGATCAAATTCTCGAAATAACCATACGTGTCGTCGTGAAGATTGTATGTATTGATATGATAAGTTGTACCCAATAACATATCTGTGTGGAACTAGTTAGTCGAAGATGTCTAACCGCATTTTTTAGTCCACGTCTACCCCCTTTTTGCTCTTTTGATTTCTGAAACTATACCCACGACTACCCGACAGATTGATACGGCATCTCGCTTCCCAATCCCAAATAATGGCCCTGCGACTTTTATCGTCGATACAAGATTAGTACGCTAAACACGCGACAACATAATGGCAGCGATCTTTTCTTGGTTAGTACCTCCCGCACGAGGCCAATGGGCGCGTTGAAACGCGCTGGCGCGTCGTAAACAGAATTACTTCTGCGGAGTAGATTTTTTTGGTTAAGGTCAAGGAAAAGCAGCCCTGCTTTCACCTAGTACCCCGTGTGACAGACCACAACTGGTGCGCACCAGCTCCCATTATCTATCTATCAGTGCGAAACGTAAACCCTACCCTTTGATTTGCCAGTGAGAGGACGATCAGCATAAAGAAAGTATCTATCCGAAAAAACGAGCAGTATAAGAAAGGCGACAACAAAAGCGACAAAGAAGTAGTACCGTTCTACAGAGCGAAGCGTGGCCACAAGGTCGTGCATTTTTGGATCGATTAAGGATCTGCTCTGGAAGGTGGTGTGTTCGTCGCAACTACTCGTGGTGGGCAGATTAAATCGGAAATAAGTGTCGATCGACTCCTCGTGGAGAACTTTTGGCAAATACAAACAAATGAATCAATGCTGTTCGTTTTCTTTTTTTCCTTTTCGTTCGTGAGGGATCGTTAAGCACTTCGTCGGGGGGCAGTTTAGTACGCAGGGGTACAATTTCAAGGATGAAAATTGCTATACATTTACTGATCTACTGGCTCGTCTGCTTTTATGTACTATCGACGTGCTTATCATGATCTTCGAAGACACCAGGGTGTCTGTCGTATTCGTTGCATGCGTTTGTATCGTTTCTTGCAAGAACACCTATTCGCCTTCGCAGCTTTCCCAAATCGCGTGCATTGTCGTCGTCGCGTTGCATTTACGGTTTGTTCACATCAAAAGATTCTGAAAGCACAAAAGAACGGCAGGAGGGGCTACAGGGGGTGGTGTTTTTTGAAAGAAGATGAGGGATTGATAGAAGGACCTCCGTATTTCTACTCTAGACTATTCGTTCCTCATCCTTGTACACAGGAGGAAAACAAAAGAAAGCTATGTCGATCCGGAATATCGTAGCCCAGTATTCCTCCGGACAGCTGTCCCGCGAGGAGTACTATGCTGCGCTGGCCGAGGCAGTTGAAGTGCGAGGCGGGGGGGAAGAAGAACAACAGCCGAGGAGAGGACCGTCGTCCTCCTCCAGTAGTTCCTCGTCATCGTCCGCCGGCAGAACAGGACCACTACGCGGCCCCGGGGGCTCTGAAAGAACGAAGAAGCAGGACCACGACATTTCGTCGCCGGACGAGAATATAGTTGCAAATTATAACGGGGGACGACCCGGCGGACCACACGCCTCCTCGTCTTCCGGCAGTACAAGTTCGAACAAATTTCTCTTTTCTGCGGAGCCCGACGGGAGTTCTCCTGCGCCACAGGCCGCGATACCGAGGAAGACCGCGCAGGAGTCCGAGTTGGGGACTACAGCAAGACAGGGTTTCCGGCGGCAAGTGGAGTACGATGCGTCGGGGAAGCGCGTCAAGGTCAAGTCTTCGTATGACGATCAAGGGTCTTTCCGCAATTTCGGCGAGGGGTCGGGGGCAGGCCAAAGTGTTCAGGCGGAGGGAAGCATGGGCTCGTTCAACGAGGATTTGGAACAAAGATCGCAGTCGCGACAAGAAACAACCTCAAAAACGTCTAGGACCGACAGCCGCGGCGGGAGCGATATAAAGTCTTCTTCTAGTCGCGCGGATCAAACGAAAGCTAGTCGAGTAGAGAAGTCCAGCCGCAAAGAGCAGTCCAGCCGCACAGAGCAGTCCAGCCGCAAAGAGCAGTCAAGCCGCAAAGAGCAGTCCAGCCGCACAGAGCAGTCCAGCCGCAAAGAGCAGTCCAGTCGCGCGGAGCAGTCCAGCCGCAAAGAGCAGTCTTCAGCAATAGCGGATAAAGAGCAAAAATCTCGTAGAAGCAGTGCCTCTATGCGTAGTTCCGGTTCTGGTGAAATAAGGGCGCCGTCGAGTAAAAATTCGTCACATCAAGATGAAAACCTGCAGAGCAGTTTTCAGGAACCGCGGAGCAGTGCGGCCATGCGTTCGGTCGTACAAGGATCCAAAAGTATGCAAGAGGAGGAGGAAATAAACAGATATTCATCGCAACAGCAGGGGAAGTTTTCAGCGAACGCATTTTCAACATCCGCAGGCGAGCCACCCCGGGGAGCTACAACAACCGGGGGTAACAGTAGATTCTCGTCCCCTTTTGCAGGAGGAGGTCAGGGAGAAGATGAAGATAGTGCGAATGACAACAACTTCTACAGAGGCACGACAGCTTCAAGAGGTGGTGGCCCCACCGCCGCCACCGGATCTCTTTCCGCCGCGCGGTTCGAGAAAAGCAGCAGACAGCTATCCGAGAATGAACTGCAGCAGAGTCGTGGTTCATTTGCTGGTGATGTTCAACAACATCCGAAAGTTGGCGACTCGGCGTCCGCGCCATCGCGGAGCAGGAGCAATGGGACAGCGGGTGGAAGCAGTGGAAATAGTACAACAAAGAAAAAACAAGCTTCTAAACCGCAGCCGAAATCGAAGCAGCCGATCAATTACGAGCACAACCACGAGCGGCCGGAGGGCGGGCGGAGAACGCAGGGTTACAAGCACAAAAAGCAAATGATTGGTCGCGACAGCGACTTCACGTTTCAGCCGAAGCACCGAGTCACCCCACCAAGTAGGAGTAACAGTCCACCCTACGAGAGGGAAAAAGAGAAACCCAAGTGGATGATGCTGTCGGAGGAAGAAAATTGCTCCTTTTCCCCACGGTTGATGACAGCTGCACACCGGTCCAGATCGCACTCCCCACAGTTCAAACTGTCTACATCTCCGAAGCGGATCGAGAAAAACCCGGAATACTGGGGCGGCGGCCCCCCGCAGTACATGCTGCAGAGTGAGGACCGCAATTGCACCTTTACGCCGAAAATCTCCACGCGGGCGCAGAAGTACCAGTTGCCAAACTTCCGCGATCGGCTGGAAGCCTGGGCCGCGAAGAGCCGGGAGAAGAGGAAACGATTAGTGGAGAAATCCATGGAAGCGGAGCTTGAACGTAAATAATTTTCGTACGTGTTTTTTGCTAATATGCTATCATGGCAAGAAGAGATGCTTTCAGCTTCATCAAAAAGAAACACCTGTACTATGCTAAAAAAACTTTTAAAGTCGCCAAGCAGCAGCCGGGGAACCGCGGCAGCGCTCCTTCCCAGTTTGACCCGGAGGCCATGGGGCGGTCCATGCACGATTCGCAGGTAGCGCACAAACAGAGGATCCTCGCCTACGTGTCGCAGAAGCACGGGCACAGCGAGAGCATGAAAAAAAAGGACGAGCAGCAGGAGTGCACCTTTCAGCCGGATCTGCGGTCCAGTAAAGACTCGTTTGAACGCGTCCGCGAGACGATGGCGCCGAGTACCCGAACGGGTGCGCGAGACCGAGTGCGGACACCGGACGCGAATAAAGTGGTCGCGGATATTCTGAAGCACGGAAGGAGGTATGAATCTGTTTTTCGGAAGCTACATGGCTCGTTTCTACTTTTGCGGGATTACTTGGTTCGAAAGTCATTGAATTTCCAGATTCCGAAAAAATGAAAAAATAAAAATCCAGCCACTACGAGGAGCCCGGTTTTTCTTTGTCTCCGACGGCGATCCGCACGCACCTTGACGGAGCGCGGCACGCGAAGTGTCGCGAGGAGCAGCCGACGTTTAAACCGCGAGTGAATTCCGTACGGCCGGAGATGACCGCCGCGAAGCTGTACCTCACCAGCGACGTTTTTACCCGACTCACCGAGGGGGTGCTGTACAGCCGGGATTTGAAGGACGACCAACAGTACGAGAAGGAGCACGGGATGGGCAGGTGGCACATCAAGGCGATGGAGAAGGAACTGCAGGACGAGGAGGAGGCTAAGTTTGCCGCCGTGATTGAAGCGCGGCACGGGGTGAAAAAGGAGGAGGGGCCGAACTGGTGGCGCATCCAGCGGTTTCTGTGGCACCAAAACCTGTGCGAGGAGCGGCGGTTGCTGAATTTGGACGACTTGGGCAAAACCTACACGGTGCAAATGAAGGGGAAGCCGCAGATCAGCGGGGGAAGCAGGTATTTGGCGGATAAATTGGTGACGAAGGACCTCTACATCCCCCCCGGCGGCAGTGGGCAGCAGGGCTACTCCTGGCGGCTCGAGGCCGCGCAAAAGGCGGAAAACAAGGAGTGCACCTTTCAACCCAAAATTTCACAACGGTACGATAAAAGTATTCCGTGCAGTTTATTGATGTTGCGTGATCCGATACACTTATGGTACTTCTTTTCGACAGCTTCTCTCTGCATGAGTATATGAAAATGAAGCAGTAGTTGTAGTAGAGTGCGCCTGCCGCGCCCGCACCGGAGAAAATAATCTTATCCGCTACAATTATCTTCTTCGATCCGACATTGTCAGCAGAAAAACCCGAACTATATGACTCACAGGTCCCGGTCTGTGGAGCGTGATTGGCGGATTCTGTATGAGGACGCTGCGAAGAGACGGGAGCGGAATAAGGAGCGGGAAAAACAGCAGGGCATGGACCAGCTGCAGGGGGCGACGTTTCACCCGAGAATATCCGAGTTTGCGAAGTCGCGCTCGGTATGCATTGCAAATATGTCTGGGTCTGGAAACTTGTGATGCTGGGCTGGGAACAGACTGAATGCTCTGTAATGCACAGCCGAGCATGAGAAATAATTTGCGCGGCTTAGTGTTGCCTTTTTCGAATGATAAGCTGCGCTTTGCATGACAAGTAAAAGAGTCTCTTCTTGGACACGCATCACAAACTCGTCAGTCATGCCAGACAAGCATGACAAACCTGGCAATCTTCCAGACCCAGACACATTTGCATTTGATACTCGGGGGTGATCAACTCCTCTGGGGCGCTGGACGACTACCTGGCGCACCTGCAGTATCCCAAGCAAAAACGTCCCCGCCCCATAGTCAAGTTGGGAATCTAGCAACACAAATCTCCAAGTTTTGGGAGCTGTGCATGACAAGTTTCCCTCTACTGCAGTGTCGTGCTGGTTGGCAAGGGAAGCCGCATGAGACAGCCACTCCTTCATCCTGTTTACAGCATTACAAATTCTAAAACGCGATTGGTAATACCTCGCATGCCGCTGCGCATTACAAATGTTCCTGTCATTGCACATTTGCATGACAACTCTGGGGTGGGGACGTTTTTACTCAGGATATGCAGAAGAAGGACGAGAGGCTGCTGCTGACAAGACAAAAGTACGTGGACCGAATGGAACAAGTGCAGCGGGAGCTGTGTCCCTTCAAGCCAAATCTGATGCACGCCGCGGGGCACGTACCTAAGGTGGAGTCCGCGTCCTTGGACACCTTTAAACTGTACAACGAACTGCGGCACGCCAGGGATGCAGAGGTGCAGGACAGAATTGGGGAGGAAAAAAACTACGCACGGGAACAGGCCCGGCTGGCCAGGAGCAGGAGTCGTACTTACTCTGAATTAGCTTGATGCAGCTGTTCTTGCTGGTTTTTTGGTTGTAGTCACTAGCGATAGGATTTTAAAGCGCGAGATTTGATTTCCACATTCGACGAGATAACAGACTCAGGAGACACGATCATGATTATCAATTTAAGACGAATGATCTGGGAAAGAAATCGATCAAACTTCCCGCAGCTGACGCCGCCAATTCGTCCGATGGTGGGAACAACAATACGGCGTCGAGGAGTCGATCGCAGTCCCAGCCGCCGTCCCAACCTCGCTCGCGCTCGCCCACAACGACGAACACCGGGGCTCCAAAAATGCTCTCCGAGAAAAAGAAGGATAATCAGCTGCAAAAATGTCTGGGTCTGGAAGATTGCCAGGTTTGTCATGCATATTTTGAATGACCCATGATGTCTGTGATGCATGCCGTAGCATCACAGATTTTTAGAGGACTTTGTGATGCCTCTACCGCATGAGAAATGCCCTCTCCACGTAGCACACACTGGAGTCCTTTTGCTGGTCATGCAATACAAATTTTTTTAGAATCCAGAGACAGCATTACAAGTTTATAATCTTCCAGACCCAGACACTTTTACATTTGATAAAGGAGATCTTGATGCAGAAGTTCGCCCACGACCAGGCTATCGACATTCCGAGCAAAACCGCGAAAGCCCACCCGAAACACACGCCGCTGACCAAGTGGGAACCGAGCCGGTGGAGGCCGATGAGCGGATCAAAAGGTGGTTCGAAGTCCCGTAGTTCCCCGGCGAGGGGCAGTCGCTCCGCTTCCCCGGACAATCTTCCGCGCGCACGACGTTCCCTCACTGCGGTTAAGAAGCCGGAAGCGACGACGAAACGGGAGCCGTCGCACAAGCACGGATCCGTGTTGTTCAACCACGTCCCGATCAACTTCGACCCGACGCGGCGGTCCGTGCGGTCCGACGCACATCTATCTTCGAGCACCGGAAATGATACAAGTAGTGTCGAACAGGGAGCGGTGAGCAAACTGATCCAGAATTTCTCGCGCGAAAACAAGCTTTTGTCATCAAACGCGGTGGAGAACTTCTCGTCGTCGGATAGAAGTCGCAGCAACAGTCCGAGTCCTGTTCCCGCACGACCTCCGTCTCGGAAAACAGCCCCGAATCTTCGCGAGACGAACAGCGGCTTGGCTTCCACTGCCGCGGGAACGAACTTTGGAAATTCCATGAATCAGACGGATTCCGGCGCTTCTGCCTCGCCGGTCATGTACCACCGGGGGGTTGCCATCCCGACCGCGACGTTTGTGCCGCGGAAAACGGCACCGATTGAGGAGGAAACACCAAAGAAGAGCCGCGTGACCAATCTGTACTATGCGGAGCCGGGAAGTGGTGATGAGGCCTTGAATGCGTTTTACAAAGGCGCTTCTTCTACACAAGCATTACAGATGAAAACGAACAACAACCCCAGCGCCGGTGTTCCAAAGTTACCCTTGAACAGTACCGGCGCGAGTCGGCAGTGGGCGCAGGCGAGACGGGAGAAAGAAGACGTGTGGGAGGAGCTCCTTGGCGCGAGCGAGTACAGTAACAGTGAAGATGTGATCTCGGACGTGTCGTCGGAAAAGCAGCAAGCCATAAAACCTTCTACTTCTCTCCAGTTTAACAAGAAGAACAGCAATCACCAGGCTCGCGACGACGCGGAACAAGAGCGTCGATTGCAACCAAAGATTCTCTATCAGCCGCGCAACCCGCAGGAGAAACACGAGTTGCAATCTGCGCAAGCGGCGGTGAGCTATGCGAAAGCGGTGGAGAATCTGGAGCGCATGACGAAACACATCTCGGCACGCAACCAGTTTTTGGAAGCGTCTTTAGAAGCTACCGAGGTAGCGGAGCTTGATAGGAAGTTCGGCAGAAATAACAACTACGCGGGCGGCAGTACTACTAGCGGCTCAGTGGGTCCACGGTGGGACACCTCGTGAGGAGGGCTGAGTGTAAGTAGCTTCTTCTGGCACCACCAGAAGACCGGGTAGATAAGTATCAGTGGTGGCAAAAATTGAAGTTGTATCTAATGAATGCAATAACGCACGAAAATCTAAAAACCGCGAACAGAATACTGTTCAGATTCACAAGGACAAAGCTAAGATTTCTCTCAGGTACTATGTGTTTATAGGTATTCGACAAGGTGAAAGATGGTATGATGCAGTGGAGCAATCTGTATGCATCGTGCGTATCCAACAGGTATTCTTCAGGTATTCAGGTAATTTAGAGAGTGTGAAAAAATACTATAAGCAGGACGTAGATGATTGAGCTTGAATGTTCTAGTCGCGGCAACTTAAGCAGATGAATTCAAAATAAATGTGCCGCGCAAGGTGGTGCACTCGAGGAGAGAAGGCCGTTCGGACTACATTCGTGTCGTCCGTTGTTGGTGGCGACAAGTAGATACAAGCAGTGTTCACACGACGAGGTGTCATTCAAATCACATTTGATTCATTAACACTCTTCCCACGCAGATTCTCTCATCTCACCGCTTCAACAGACAGCGCAGTTCTGCAGCGTTCTAGGCACAAGTTTCGAAGGCGCACAGCAGCATTTCTATCTCATTCATGAAGCAACGGCCCATTTTTATATGCGTGGTTTGATTGCAGATCATTAACATGACGCTAGTCCATTGAAGCGACGGATGGTTTTTTTCTGTTGAGTGGAGCTGCGTAATGTCCATTAACAAGATCATCCATTCTCAACAACACCTGCCCTCGACGTAGACAATAACAGCGAAGCAACGAGGTGGTACGTAGGAGATTTTGAATGCTCGAAAGATAAAGTGGTCGAATCACAACGAACTTCGTAGATGTACCATTCAACATCCTATTGTCGCAACAAGAACAGGGAGAGCAGCAGGTGGAGGTGATGTAGAAAGGTTCGGAGTGGTAGTAGCAGAGTAGTAGACAAGTTCAGTGTCCTCGTTTTGTATCGCTGTGGAGACCCACATCGGATCGCTCCACTTCGGACATTGCTCGGTCGTCGCTTGATGGCATAGCTTCGCGCAAGATGTCGCTGCTCCCTGCCTTTCGGAAAATAAAATCGGGAAAAATTGCCGACGTTTCTTTATGTGCACTGCACCAACTTCTGCATAATTTTTTATGTAGAGGTGGTGGGCGACTACCCCTACAGGAACAAACAGGACGCGGCTCTACTAGAAAAAGATGCAACCTGAGGAGAAACTTACTTCTACGGGGGCGGAAAAGGACGATGGTGTTGACATCAAGATTGATGCGAGTGCAGCTGCGTTTAGCAGCAGGAGGAGGAGCCTTAAGACGACGACCACATCTTTTACTGTTCTCAACAACCCCACCAGCTACTCCGGTGCAGCAGTCGTCGTTCCAGGTGCGTCGATCACATCAAATGGGAGCAAAAATATCAGCGCCGCAGGCGCAGGAGCCAATAACACGACCCAAGGGTACTACAACACCAACCCTCTTGGTGCTGTCCTCACCGGCGCCTCAGCCAGCTCCTCGTCGAGTCGGCCCCCGCCACATTTTTCAGCGCTATCTGGGAGAAAAGGAGGCTCACAGCCGAGTAGCAGCTCCAAGGCGGCGCGGCAGAATACGGAGGACCATGATGAAAGTGCTTTATTTATCCAAGCAGCGGCAGGAGGAGGAGCAGCAGCATCCAGTAGCCTCCACGCTGCACCGGGCGCGGCGCACAGTGCTTTCGGTACTGTTCTAGGGAAATGCATTGATTTCATGTTGACATTCGAGAAAATGATGAAATCAAATGCTAGCGCTTGCAACATGTATCATTTGTTATTACTTTTGGTCTGTGATGATCAAATCTATCTGTACATAACATAAGTGTTTTCGGAATGCGGCAATTTCACTGCCTGGCTTGCTTGAAAAGAAGTTGAACCTCGGGCGATTTATTGTTTATCACAGGTTCGAACCCGTTCCGATCGCCAGACGCCCCCGGTACTAGTTCTTCGTACAACTACAATGGGCTTTCCTCGCTCAAAAAATCCACCGCCCGCCGGTTCTCGCCCGAAGACCAGGCCTGGTGCGACGAGCAAACACAGCAGAAGCTGGACGTCTCGCAGTTACTCACTGCCTTGATGGACATTCACTCCTTGACGCCCGGGACGGAGGAGGCGGATGTGTACCAAGCCAGTTTCCAGCAGGCGTACGACGGGCGGATGCGGCTCTCTCTGTCCGCGTTGAAGACTGGGTTGAGCGAAAGCGAACGCGTGAAGGAGGAAAACAAAAAGTTGATTTCCCAGGAGTCCATCGATTCGAAGTTCAATAGAAATGATCGGTTGCAGCAGCAAGAAGGCAGTGGAAACGATAGTAGTCCAGAATACGACTTCGCACAGAATTCCGCTTCTGCCGCCTCTTCCGCCGCAAAGAAATCCTCATCCTGGGGCTCGGATTTCAAGGGGACCAGGCTCGATCGCGGGTCTTGCTTCGGCGAGAATTCCTTCGGGGAAGCTGCTTCTCCACCGGGGGTTGTTGCGCACAACAACCCTAGCTCACTCTTCGCCCGAAGCGTTTCTGCTAGTAGCGGCCGTGGTGCAGCACCTTCTTCACACGAAAAGCAGCATCAAATCGAAAATGAGGAGAGCGAACAGTTGCCGCTCGACATCGGTGGGCTGAACCACCTCAAGCAGATCGGGGGGAAAGACGCAGGAAATCTTAAACCCGCGTATTCCCCGCCCGGGCCAAGAACCCGACTACCGGCGTTTTCCGTTCTGCTTCGGCGGGGGTTGGACAGCTTAAAGGCCTCCCACCGGTCCAGATCAGGGTCTGCGTCGCCCGATTCTGGTGCGGTCTCCCCGCCCGCGTCCGAGCAGGACCACGGGTTCGATCCGCAGATCTATCGGGGTCCTCACAACGCGCGGGATGTGTTGCGCAGTCAGTATGGCGGTGATGGTGTTTCTTCTGTAGGGGCCAGCGCGCAATTTGGAGCCGGGGGTGCAGCATCTTCAAGTAGAACGGGGGCATTTTCCTCCTTTGGTGCTGGTGTGACGAGTTCGAGTTTTGGTCCTGCTGGAGCTCCTGCGTCCTCCTCGTCTGCCTCGCGACCTTTTTCGCAGACCTCGACTGGTCTTCTTGTACAACAAAACCGAGGACCAGCACCGCAAAATCTGCGTGACGAGCACGTGACATCCCTAGCTCCGTCGCTGAGCCGCACAAACGCGGTGGTTTTCAGTAGTGCCACGGAGACCGAGCCACAACATCAGCAGCTTCACCTTATTTCAACATCTAATGGTTCGGTAAAAAAGAAAAATGCATCCAGTACCTCTGTCAATAAGACCCCGAGTCCTCCGGCAAATAGGGGCTTCTTAGCTGCTGCAAAGTCGGGGTTCTCCCCCGAGAACCCGTGGCAGCAGGGCACACCGTACAGTGCGGACAAAAAGCTCCGGGAGGAGGAAGCTGCGAGAAAGGAGGCCGCGGAACGACAGGATAGAAAAGCTGCAGATCATAGAGAAAATAATCTTCTCCTAAGGCCCACAAACTTCAACGACTTGCTCGAGGAAGTGCCAGAAGCTCCTCCTGCAATGGAGGACCTGGATGAAGCAGCAGCAGAGTCCTCGCCTGAGCAAAAAGTGCATGATCATTCTGTTGATTTTTCGTTCGGAGGTCCAGAAGCAGTGCGGCAAGAACTTCTTCTACAACAACCCGCGCAAGGAGAAGTGCAGACAATAACGTCTCAACGGCACCGAATGGCTGGCTCTTCTCGTACAGAACACGAGGACACTTTCACGGCCACGGGTAAAGATGACTCCTCCCCCGACTTCGGAAATGGTCTGGTACCGAATCAGACGTTGAAAGTCGGGAGCGCGACGCGAACGGTCGTGTCACCCATGAGACGACGGGAGCTCGGCATGTCGAATTCCAACTACATCGACCTCACCAATTCGACGACGACGTCCAATTTTTACGGCAGTAAAACTTCCCTAGTGCCGCCTCCAGGTCGTCCAGGGATTGTGCAAAGACTATTGCAACATGCTGGAGGCCGTGGTATAACTGGGGGTGGCAGCAGCAGTAGCACCAGCAGGTTCCAGTTTCCTTCTATTCATCAACAGCTGCGGGGGCCACAAGAAGAGCTGCTAAAATCGTCTGCAACTTCCGTGGTACAACAGTACGACGCATCCGGACAGCCACTTGCGACGCCGACGCCCATATCAAATGTAAAAAAAATGTCTGGGTCTGGAAGAGGAGAAGCTTGTCATGCACATTATCCATGATCCATGATGTCTCTGATGTATGCAATAGCATCACAGATCTTTTGAGCGCCTATCGATGCGCGGCCTGCATGACAAATGCCCTCTCCGCGTAGCCAAATTTGACTCCTCTTGCTGCTCATGCAATACAGATTTTTTTAGCATCCAAATGCAGCATCACAAATTTGGCTCTACCAGACCCAGACATTTTTGCAATGCATAACCCAAGTCCGCGGCCATGCGCGCGACTTTCGCCAAGGCAGCTTCCGCGTCCGGAAATTTTGCGGCGGCCGCGCCGGGGACAAATGCTAATTTGATGAACAAGAATAATTATCTCCACCCGAGCAGTAGTTCCACAGCAGTTCGGAGTACTTCTTCTTTCCTCGCACCGACTAGCAAAGAGGATCCGGAAGATGATGTTGAGATGGTAGACGCCACGACAAGCACCACTGGAATCATCGCAGCAGGAGTTGGAAGTGCCGCAAGTTCAAGTTCTATGGCGCAAAGGCACCAACTTCCGAATAGCGCAATTCCACCGACGACACTGCAGATGAAAGCAACAAACTTATCGAACCAGCAGCAACCGCCGGGGACCATCTCGTCGTCGCAGCTGCCTCAGCTTCCCCCAGCTACGCGTGAACTGTCGTCGGGCACCAGTACGAGTTTGAAGCGGCCCACGCCGTCGGAAGTAGTAGATCTCAACTACGCCTCCAGCGCGATCGTCCCCTGCTCGGAAGAACAACCTGGGATGCAGTGGAGCAAGTCGGATCCCACGCACGACAAGTTGTTTGATCCGCGGAGCTTGATTGATCAATTCAAATTGAAGAACGCGCCGGTGGGCCTGCACAAAAATTCTAAACCGTTCTTGCAGAACAGCGAGACGGAGGACCAATCGGCCCGGGCGCGAAAGAAAGCGAAAGCGGCGGGCCTCAGCGCGAAGGACGTGAAGAAGCTCGAGGCGTCCCGCGCCAAAGCGGAGCTGTTTGGCAAGGCGACGCCGGGGCGGTCGACGAAGCTTGGCCACATCCCGCCCATCGTGGAAGCGAACCAGGAATTGTCCAGTTCAGTGTCACCGCAAGCAACACGACCCGCGGGGGCTCTTGCGAAGGTTAGTGCTGCGCCGGTAAAGACGATGGTGGTCGTTCCTCCAGAGGTAGTTTCTGCACAGCCTGGCTTAGTTGTCGGCGGTGGAGGTTCCTCCTCGTCGTCATCAGCGAAACAACCTGCATACAAAAACGAAAGCGCAGCAGTAGAACCGTCCAGGTCTGCGCCCCCGCCTGTACCGAAGAATAAACCGGACGAGAGACTGCTGCCTGAGGATGACAACTTGCACTATGGTACGATTGATTCGCGTAAAAATTCGCCAGAGGTGGATAAAAACAGCGATAAGAGAAATGCAGCTACGACGACCGCGGCGGCCGACACCATCGTGGCACCAGAAGTAGAGGCACATCAAGCGCATCGTGATCGTCGTGTAGGCGGAGGAAGGAATCAAGAAGTGGTAGTCCAACAAGAAGATGATAATAAACCACTCACAACGAGGACCACTCCGGTCCTCGCCCTCGCGAAGTACTACGAGCCCGACCGGGACTACATCGCGAACCCGCGGTGGTACAGCCCCACGGATCCGGTGGATGTCGCAATCGGCAAGATCCCACCCGGGAAAATCATGAGCTGGCGGTGCGAACAGTACGGGTACCCGATTCACTACCACATCTACCGCGATAAGATCGACGGCTCCTTGCGGGACTTCCACACCGGTCGGAAAGTCCACTTCATCGACAGTACCTCCGGGGAAAGGGTCCCGCTGAAAGACGCGCTCATGAGGCCAACAGAGGACTTTGTTCGGAAGTACCTGGAGGGCCGCGGGGGAGATGAAGTTGCCGGCGTGCTGGAAAACGGAGCGGAAAGTTCTGGTAAGCGAGGCGTTGGTGACCACGAAGAAGACAATTTGTACCAGCGAAGTAGCAACACCCGGCAGAACATCGCGAAGGCGGCGAGCACGCGGCTGTTTTCGAACGAGACTACTGGAGGTTCTTTTGCTGTGCAGCACTTGTCGTTCAACAACGTAGAACCAGCACCAGCAGGGGAACATCAAGCTTCTGCTTTCGCAAAGTCCCCGCCACCGAAGAGGCCATTTCTTGCAGCTGCTAATATCGGCGGCAACGGATCCTCGACCATCTCTCAGGCTGGCCTGCCCATCCCGTCGGGCGCCGCGGGCCTGCCGGTCCCCGGGGGATCCTCGTGTTCCTTCCGGAACGGGTTGCCGGACACGAGTGGCTCCAGTCCCGATTTGCCGAGGGAGCCCAGTCACGGAACGACCGTGGTGCATCTGCCGGCCGCGACCTCGAGTAGTCTCGTGCGGCCAGCGGGGATCGACATGACGCAGTCGTCTCCGCCCGAGAGGATGGTGGAGCCGGGCGGTGGGGCGAGTATGAGTAGCAACGGGGACTGTTTCCGAATTTTGCGGAAGCAGCCGGGCTTTAGCGGGGATCATGCGACGAGTCCTTCTCTAGCTGTGTTTAGTACTAACAATAAGTACGCAAGTGTTGAGACGAGTGGTGCGGTGAATGGTCCTCTTCCAATCGCAGGAGCTGCGACGGAGTCTAATGATACTAGCGGCAACCTCCACGCAGCGTCCTCGTCGAGTCTGGGTCGGCAACCTCCATCGGGAGGTGCGGAGCAAAGCAGAAGGGTTCCTCCGAGCGATTCGCTGGGCATCCTTTCGCGGCCAGGAGCGGCACTGCTTGGTGGAACCACGGCAAATTCCACCTCTGCTCTCGTGCCCATTGGAAGTACTATGAGAGAAGGAGATCCTAGCGCAGCGGTGGCTGGTGATGATCCACCAGGACCCGGGGCAGACCAAGGCAGTGCCGGCGCAGACCAGATAGTAGCGGCAGAACCGTTATCAGGGTCGATTGGCAGTCGAGAAATAAAGCAGCCGTCAGGAGGTGACGTGGAAATGAATCTTCGTGCAGCTTCTAGCAGTTCAACATCTGTGAACAATAATTTTTACACCGGACTGCCCTCGCTGTCGCTTCCCAATGCTAATGGAAGTGGTGCAGGTGCGAGAGTTCTTCCCGGGCAGCTGCTGGCACCGCTAAGTGGCGGGTCGGTAGCCTCGTCCTCCTCCAAGCCGCCCCTCGCCCCGCCAAACACAGCCGATCGAATGCCCTCCTCCGCTCTGGACGAAGTGTTGCACGAGCGGCCGCGGCGGATGTCCTCACTGCAACCAGTGGTCGCCGGCAACAACACGTCCGGCGCCTCCAGCAGCAGTGCGCCACTGGTAGCCGCGCGGTCGGCCTCCTACTCGCCCACGAGCCGGCGGAACCGGACGGACGCGGACACGAACAAGGAGGGCACCGCCTTTGACGCCCACGCGTTCCAACGAGGCTCCTCCCCGCCGCGACGGGCGCACGGCGAGCAGAACCAGGACGACGGGGTGCCCAATCAGCAGCCCACGACGGTCAACGAAAGCACGGACTTACCGCGTTCCGCGCACCTGCAGCGGACCAACATCGACCCCAACGACCCGAAGTATAAGGAAGCGTTCTTCGCCGGCGCTGTGTCAACCGGGGGCTGGGTGCCCGTCATCTACGAGGGCGCAGCGGCAAAGCTGCAGGGGGTACGGATTTGTATGTTCATTTCAACATTGTTATTTTAACCGACTGCTTAAGCGACCAATTTGAATTTCAATTTGGTGGAGTGAGATGAAGTTGTGTCCTGTTTTGCTACCATAAATAAGGAGGCTGCAGTATCTATTCTTTCTTCATCTTCCGCAAAAATCAACCTTCAAACTAACTGCAGGCTCCCGAGCAGAAGCAGATCCAGGGCCCCATCGTCGTTCGTCGACCTGGGTCTCGTGCCCTTCCGACCGAAGAGGAGGCAGGAGAGGGAGCGCAGAACAAACTGTTACCAAGCAGTGGGATTATCAAGACGGAAACAGCTACCTCCTCAACCGCGAATAACAGGGACAACAAGCGCGTGCGATTTTCCGAAATCTCCGACATTCGCGAGTTGGACAGCCACGAACTTCCAGACTTTTCCATCGAGGGCGAGCCCCTGGTACTTGTGCACAATAACAGCAACGGTTGTCGTGACACCAACTTTTCGAACCTTTCCGCGATCCCGCACCGGCGGTCTTCGGCCGCTCCGGATCAACATGCAAATCCAACAGCGTACGGAAACTGCAACCCGGTACCTGGCCTACCGGTCGGGACGTACTGGAAACAGAAGGAGGGTTATCGTAAGGAAAAATCCCCCCTCCCCATATCAAAAGGAAGTTTCTGATGCTGGATTTGCGTACACAAATCAGATCTGTCTTGCAGAAAGTGCTTGGCGGCCGCATTTTCTAAGCCTGTTTGGATATGCAGAAGGCTAGCAATTAGGCATGACAAACAGGTTTGCAGTAGTCAAAAGCGCATGACAGACTGTCTGCGGAATGCGCCACATTGCTCCCATTACCGTATAGGCAAGACAGAGGGTATTTGTGGCCACAAATCAGCATCACAAATTTCCTTTTCGATATGGGGAGGTGGGATTTTTACTTTTGATAAGGGCAGAGACACCATCCACCGGTTTGTCGGGTCCAACGTCGGCGCGTCGGAGGACATCAACGGAACGTACCCGGATAACGGGGACGTCTACCGGGACCGGATTTTCAACCCGAATTATCTCCCCCTGCCCTTCCGCGCGAGCTCGAAGAACGCGAGCACAAACTTCGCGCTAGTATCCGCCGGGCGGAAGATCAAGATACCCCGCGGCGCGGTGCGCGACCGGCTCTCCACGCAGATCCGACACGACCACCGGGAGAAGGTGCTGAAGAGCCGCCGAAATCGGCTGGACTCGGGCAGCGACAGCGAGCCTGCACAACAAGAACATCCGATGGACAGCAACAACCGGCGGCCGCGCATGAGTGACGTGCCCTGGATCCGCACGCCCCCGCATGATAAGGCCTACACCTGGGAGGAGGGCGACTGGCTCCAGACGCCGGAGGGAAAGAAGCCACCGGAAAAACCGGCTGACCAGGCGAAGTGGCTCGACAAACCGCCCAGGGCGGCGAGAAGGTACTTATGCTATGCAATTAATTGAATCGTCTTCGTCTTTTGTCGGCATCCATGAGGGTATGATTTCGATTTGCAACTTCATCGAGAGGAGATTCTGGTCGATTTACTTTCGTTTGCACTGTGTACTAAAATCCTTCCTGCGCGTACCACAGGCACCTCGCGGAGGCAGACGAGCTCGATTTTGAGTACGAGTACTTCGTCACACTAGCGTACACGAAGCCGGGCGATCCACAGCCCGTGCCGCACGCGTCGGTTCTGGCGGATAGCTTCCAGAGCTGTATCGACGTGTCGTCGTCCCATGTGCACCATCAGCAGTCTTTTGCGCAGCAGCAGCAGCAGCAGCAGCAGCAGCAAGCGCAAAACCAATCGGAGCGGCCGCCCCCGTTCGAAATGAATAACCAGCAGATTGTTCCCACGCCGCCAAGTATGGCGCCCTCGGACCCGAGAAACAACGCGATGATTATGTCAGCGTACATATCCTGAGTAAAAACGTACCCACACCAGAGTCAGGATGGGGATTTTGCAACACAAACCTAGGAGTTTTTAGAGTCACGCATGACAAATTTCAGTTCGTACTGTAGTGCAGATTAGCGTGGACAGCCGCATTACAAATCCATCTGCTTATCCTGTTTACAGCATTGCAAATTTTGGAACACGATGGGAAATGCCTACCATGTGTATGCGCATCACAAATGTTCCTGTCATTGGAAATCAGCATTGCAACTCTGGGGTGGGGACGTTTTTACACAGGATAGTACAGCGACCGGTCCGCCTCCGCTGCGGTCCTCAGCGGTAAGATCAGTCCGGTACGGAGTCTGGCGGACCGGGAGCGCGACGAAGCCGAGAAGGAGCAAAATAACAGTCAACATCAAAACGCGAGTCAGGACCAGCAACAGCAAGATGAAAATCAGCAGTCCTCTAGAGGTACAGATCTCCACGACCAAAGCAGCAACATGCAGCAACGGAGTAGGAACGAGGACGAAAGCGCGGCTTTTCATTCGATCGTGGAAGACCGTTCTTCGTTCCTCCGGATCAGCGAGGGGGAGCACAGGCCGAAAATTTCTCCGCCGACCTTTGGCATCGCAGGCGTGACCGCCGCGGAACTCCGGGCAAAGGAAGTGTCCTTTGGTGGGGACCATCAGGGGGCCTTCGACCCGCACCCGGGGAACAATTTGAATGGGGTATTGGTTTAGTTTCTAAGTTGTACTTATCTCCTACGATGTGTTTCAGTAGATTCGAAGAATGGTCAATATTACGAGTAGACGCACGAGGAAGAAATAGTGGCTGCATTTGTTCAGTAAGTCGCTGAAATAATAAATCTATCCCTGGAATCCCGTTTTTATTGTGTAATGGATTCTGTGTCGAATTCGTCATCTATCATGATGCTACTTCAAATCTTCAACAAATACAAAACAGCACACGCCACAGTTTGGCGCGCAGCATCCGACGCCGCAATTTGGCGGTCTGGTTCCCCGCGGTGGCCTGTTTGACCGCGAACACGAGCATTCGCCCGGCCCCAGCTTCGTACCGTCCCCGCGTGGGGGCCGGCTGCCCCACGTGACCTCGCCCGTGTTCGTGCCCAGTCCAAAGGGAGCGGACGGGGCGCGGGGACGGGACGCGGAAAATCGGGTAAGAAAGTTTTTTTACTTGTAGCGTGCTTATTGGGTTTAGGTTTTCTTGTTGTTACGTGATAAAGTGTAACAAGGTGAAACAACCTTCGCAATGTCAAAAAATCGCAAAAATATCTATCATGCCCTACAGGTTTTCACTCCTGAAGATCCGCGTGGTAGTTTCCCAGCACATCAGGCGCTGGATCCGGAAGCGCAGCGACGCCTTGACGCGATCCAGGATATTCTAGTGTCCAAGGGGCACGACGCAGAAGCCGCGCTGCCGCTGGCCAAGGAGCTGTTATCCGTGCTGAGATCGGAGGAAGAGGTCACGATTGAGAACCTGCAGGAAGCGGAGAGACGACTGCAGGAAGCGGCAGAGTACGATTCAAATAGATACAACTTTACAATGAGCTTACTGTTTGTGTAATGGATACTGTCTTCCTCTTCCGAGTTGTATGCCGAACAAAAAGAAAAATATGATCCAAAAAAAAAAGAAAGTCTATGAAGCACCAACATCCCGGTTGTACCACCTACAGCATTTTCACAGGCTTCGCAAGATCGCGGATTTTGCCTATCCGGTGATGACTTTGTCTGAGGAGCGAGACTTCCAAAAGCGCACGGAATCCAGGATTCGGGCCGCTGACTTGAATTACATGACCGAGGATCAGGTCGACATGCTGTTGTGGCAAATGTGCGTGCAGGAGGAAGTGCGCCGGTTGGACCGCCTCGGCGCGCAGCCCGGCGGGCCGGAGGGCGTGGCCGCAATGGCGGAGTACAATTAGATACACGCTGGCTAAAAGTTTTTCTTGATTTCGATATTTCTAAGATTTCACATCTGTTGCTTTCTCAGCGGCCAGTTTTGTCATACTTATGCAGGTGCTGCTTCTTGCTACATGAATTCCATGGCAAAATAAATGATTTTCAAACCACCAAACTCTGACGTGACTCTCACAGCGCCCTGGACGAAATGATCTCCATGTCGTTCGACCACTTCCAGGAGGAGGACGGTGATAGTAATTCGTTGCAGCTCGGAAAGCAAAGGCCGGCGAAGACCCGCGAGCAGATGCTGAAAGAGGCCCAGAGTCTGCAGCAGTCCGCTGTTAACATCGAGAGGGAGACCGAGTTTTGGCGCAAGGGCAAGGCAGACACGTCGAAGCACCGACTGCCGCCGTCGATTCTGGAGGACATGCGGAGGGTGGTGGCGGAAAACCTGGACACGCGGAATGTGGTATGCTATTTAAAAGCGTTCCCACCCCATAGTTGTCATGCAGATTTGCATCGACAGAAAAATCTGTAATGCACATCCGCAAGAGAGGAATTTGTAGTCGCGTTTTGGGATTTGTAATGCTGTAAACAGGATGAGCAGGCGTCTTTGTGATGCGGCTGTCCTTACTAAACAGCACTACACTACAGATGGAAACTTGGCATGCAGAACTCCCAAAACTTGGAGATTTGTGTTGCAGATTTACCAACTTGACTACGGGGTGGGGATGTTTTTCCTCAGGATATGTGGACATGGAGGCGCTGGTCGGGGCGGAGTCCGCGGAGGGGGAATTTTCCCTGCACCTGCTCGAGCAGTTTTGCCTCGACCACCAGCAGCTCACTGCGGAGATGGACCACGCGCAAAAGGTGCGGGAGGAGGGAATCCGCCGGTGGGAGGAGACGTTCGACTCGAAAAAGAGGTGGAACGCAAGAAGAAGCATCCTCGGAAGCCCGGGACCGGGGGGAGCTGCTGGGTCGGGTGGTCAGCAAGGGTCCTCGCCGCCCGGGGCGGGGAGTGCGGGGTCGTAGATGTATGAACAAGCGCGATTCAACATCTTCCCGCGGGTACTATCCTGTGTCTGAGATTTGTAAGCAGTGTGGGTGGTGCTTTACTCTTGTCAATAGAGGGCCGGCTCTTCGAGGTACTATAGAGGTCACGAGAACTACGTGCTCCAAAGCTGGATTTCAGGAGATTCGGAAACAAACAGCAGACTAGCAAAAAATGTAAAGCGAAAGAGTTCACGACTTACTGAACGGTTTGCAAGACGAGCCGTGGTTTGCGAGAAAGAACGAAATAAACAAGCAAAAATCAGCAGTAGAATACTAGAGTTTTTACCCTTACATCGTATGAAAATCAAGTAGGAGTCTGTCTCAGAGGGAAACAAAGATTTTCCGTCGCGAGCGGACCTACTGCGAATCGCAATTATCAAGTTAAACAGTTCATTACATCATAGGAGCGAGCAACTGGCTCGGCCGAAACCGAAGTATTATAATCAAGTTCTTCTTGCGCGAAAATTTTATAAACAGACTCGTTACAAGATGCATATCGAAAAGAAACCCACTGGAGGGATCCAAGCACAAACGTCGTGGCATTACCCGTAAAAATGGACTTAGTAGAATTTTATCGAGCGAAACCGCATCAGCAGTTGTTATCAAGTTACTATAGCAGACCCGTAATATTGAAAAGAGTTGAGTTTTTACCTTTGTAGCCAATCAGAGTAGACTCGTCGTAATTGGTGAGTACTAGACCTGTTGTAATGTCATTATCGCAACAAAACGAAGCAGGAGAAGCTGCTGGACGATGATTTCCCGTTCTTGACGTTTTCAGTTTTCTTTGCGTAGTGAAGCTACTACGTAAGCGAGGCGAATGGAAGGAAGTAAGCAGAAGAAAGAGATTTAGAAGAAGAAGGGATGATGTTCCTGAGCGCACTACTAGTGGCGCTTTGAAAATAAACATGAAGTAAAGACAGCAAGTGTTCGATGGCGGGTGCGTCGATGTGAAAAGAACTTTCCGCTGCTACAACTACTAGAGATCCGCGTTTTCGATTTCGATCGAGCCTTTTTAGGATCAGACTTTTGCGACATGCGTTTAAGTATGATGCGGAAGATTCTGCGTGCGTGCGGCGGAAGCGGATCCCTGTTGCAATGCATTTCTTCTGCGGTTTTTTTTTTGCCACATTTTGATTTTTCCGCGTTGGATTCTTGCGGCCCTCTCTTTCCATTCAAGGCCAATAATTTTTGTAAAGAAGTTTGAAGAAAAATTAAGATTGGGAATATCTAGGTCGAACTTTTAATGAATAGTTTTCGAATCGTTTCAAAACCAAAAGAAATCTTGTGGAAACTAAATTGCGTAGCTGATTTGCAACTAAGTTCTATGTTTTTGCTTTTTTGGAAAAATTAAGCTTCAACTACAATTTCAACGCTTTATAACAATCTTTACCCCGCCTGCACTGGACATCTTTCACGGTCTCGTAACGTGAAATTGAGGTCCAATTTAATAAATCTACGTTGTTCAACAGCATCTTTGCAAAAACCACACAAATGGTTCGTTTCTCACTAACTCTTTGCGCGGCGGCGGGTGCTGCTGTGTTGATTTCTCGAAGCACCATTATCGCCAGTGCAAAAGACATCTCCGACCCGGCAATCAAATGGGAAGGCAGGACAGCCAGCGCCGCCCGGGCGGCCCGAAGATGGGAGCAGGCATTCAGTACATTTTTGAAGGATGTAGTATTTGAAGCAGAGCCCTTGCATGTATGTCAATTGTGTGAAGCAACTATATCTATAACCAGTCTTGCAATTCGAAAAACAAAAACAAAAATTGACTTGCAGCTCCCCCCGGACCCGCGAAAAAATCCCCCGGGGTCGCCGCACCCGCGGGAAAGAGATCCAATTCAGCAGCGCGAGATCAAGCGCGGCCGGGGAGCAAAATCTCAGCAGCATCACCGTCTGATATGGAGGTGGACGCAGCAGGAGTACCCGCAATGGAGGTAGGGAGGAATATCACCAAAGGTAGCAAGAAATCCGTGGCTGGTGCAGCATCATCTGCGGCATCAGGGCCAGGCAGAACAAGTAAGGCAAAAGGTAAGGCTGTGTCAGCACCAGCAGCCGCGTCGCAGACCGCTGTAGCTCCTGTCTCTTCTTCACCTGTTGAGCCAGCTCTCGGCGGCATTCTGCATAACCTCCCGAACGTGAAGCAAAAACGGTACATCCGGCTGTGCTACCTGGACACCGAGAACACCGGCTTCGACGCCTACAAGAGGACGGCCTACAAGGGAGAACCTGGAACGCACAAACTGGCCCACGCGGTGGCCCCGGACTTCCTGCTAGAAATCGCGGTCCGGGTCGTAGAGGTGGACACGAAAACCGGAAAAGTCGTGCCGATTCAGCTCAGTAAAGCGGAAAAGGAGCTGTTCGCCCTGCACAAGGAAGCGGTCGGCCCGCAGTTCTATCAAATGCAAAAATGTCTGGGTCTGGAAACTTGTGATGCAAGTCCGTGAACAATAAGTGCTCTGTAATGCGCCGCCAAGCATGACAAGTGTTTTCGTGCTTCTGTGATGCGTATCTCGCATGAGAAACTGCGTTTTTGCATGACAGGCAAGCGGACCTCTTGGTGGCCGCGCAATACAGAGCGCAGAGTCATGCCAGAGTAGCATGACAATCTTCCAGGCCCAGACATTTTTGCATTTGATAAGTTCACAAAAGCAACAAAACTACCCGCTGAAGTTTTGCAGACGATTTCCGAGCAGCAAGGCGGTTCTTCGTGCGGTCCATCTGGACAGAGCAACAGTTTGACGAGAACAAATAAGGCGTCCAAAGTGGCTGGTAAGAATAAATGTAGTTCAACTACAGCGTCGTCAAACGTTCCGCATAACGACGATTACTCGAAAGCGTTCCACGCATGGTTGATGCAGCAGACCTATCACTCGTCTCCAGAAGGAGACAGCAAGAAAGCCGCTGGAAGTGGAGCAGATGATGATGACAAGCGAGGAAGATCTATCCTAATGAAAAACGTCCCCACCCCAGAGTCAAGATGGGGATTTTGCGAACACAAACCTTGAAGCTTTGGGAGCCACGCATGACAAATTGCTAGCTGTATTGTAGTGCAGTTTAGAAAGGAAAGTCGCATTACAAATCCATCTGCTTATCCTGTTTACAGCATTACAAGTTCCAAAACACGATCGGAAATGCCTATCATAGGGATGCGCACTACAAATGCTCTTGCGCTTGCAGATCTGCGTGACAACTCTGGGATGGGGATGCTTTTACACAGGATAAGATCAACAGCCTCGTCTTTCCTTGCTGGAATTACAACAGCCTCGAAAACAAGTAGTAGATCTTCTTCCCTCACCCGAGCAACGGGCACTTCTCCTTTGCCGGCTCCGAAGGTCGTTGTAAACCTCCCAAATGACAGCGAGCTGTTTTCCTACCTGTCTCTCGAGGAGCCCAATCCCCAGCGCTTCACGGAGAAGTTTGGCGGGTGGGAACATTACGAGGTGGAGTCGAACGCCGCTTACGCGGTGAATCTGATCGGCTACGAGGACGACCCGGAGCGGAAAGTAAAAGACCGGGTGGGGATCCGCGGCGTGAAGGGGAAAAAGATCGATTGGGCGTACGTCGGGAAGCTGATTGAAATCTCTGATTTTATCGTCGCTCACATATCAAATGCGAAAATGTCTGGGTCTGGAAGAAAATGGATACTTGTCATGCAGTTTTTGCATTTGCGAGAAGGTGTGGAATGCTCACAGAGCATGAGAAATTCTGCGAAGGCTTTTCCATGCCTAGTCTGCATGAGAAATGCCCTCTCCATAATGCACGAATCGGCGATCTTTTGCTCACTAAGCGACACAGATTTTTGCCTACTGCAGAATCTTCCGCATCACAAGTTGGCATCCCTCCAGACCCAGACATATTTGCAATGCATATCACAACGCCGACTACGACTTCCGATTCGTTGCGCGCGACTTCCCGCCGTCGGCCTTCAAACCCTGGCTGTGTTCGCAGAAGGACATCGTGTGGGAGAATTTCGTGCCGGCGGAAAAGAAGCCGCTGTTGATCAATTTAAAAGCGGAAACTTTGTCCGCTGTCTTTGACATCGCGGCCGGGCAGCACGTATGGATTGCAAAAATGTCTGGGTCTGGAAGATTGCAACTTGTCACGCTAAATCCGAATCATGCAGAAATCTGTGTTGCATGAGTTCCAAAAGCTGTCCACTTTCGACCAAGTTTGGAGGGAGTTTCTCATGCTGCAGGATAGGCATGGTAGAGGACTCACAGACTCTGTCATGCTAGGTCCCGCATTCCAGACCTGATGGGTCATGGATAACCTGCATGACAAGCTTACACTCTTCCAGACCCAGACATATTTGCACTTGATAGCACGACGCGCTGTCCGACATTACCGCGTGCATCCAGGTGTTGGAGAATATGGAAGCGTCAGGATCGAAATTGACAAAATCGAAAAATTTGTGATGCACAAAATCGATGTCAGTTGGAGACTCACTTTCCAAGTGCCGCATGACAAATTTCGGGAGTACCCAAATCCAGTCCGTGATGCTGTTTGGACAAAGAAGACTCCTCCTGTAATGCCACTCTGGCAGCACATTGTATACCCCTAAACAGGCTTACAATCGGCCTCATTTGCTTGCTCCCCAATACAGGCCTTCAGTGCCCTACATTTTATGCATCACAAATTTTTAGATTTTGTCGATTTCGATCCTGACTCATCCATAGAGAAGGCGCGAGCGTTTCAGCCCCTGATCGCCACCGGGATCAACCGGATTGAAAAGCAGTGGTTCTACGAGATTGGCACCACGGAGACGGAAGAACACCCCGCGACGCGGCAGATGATGACCTGGCGGGGGAAGTTTAAGGAGGAGGAAGCCTGGCTCGGGAAAAACAAGGACTACGGGCCCAGACCCTTTAAAGCAGTATAGCACTTATTGATTGTTCATCGTGGTCTCTCAGAAAGGTCGAAGCATGGTGCAGTGCCGTCGACTGTGGATTTGATATATATAGGAAAAATCAGATTTGCGTGAAGATATTCATCACGGATAGTTGCGCTTAGTTATTTTAATATCAAAGCCCCCCTCCGAAAAACGACAGGTCTTCATGCACGCGCCCGGCCCCAAACCGTGGGAGAAGGAAAAGCAGGACTGGCTGAGTGATGCGCAAAAGCATGAGTGGTTGGACAACGCGGCGGGTATCGTCAGCAAGATCGGGTTCCAAACCCGCAAGTATACCGATCCAGAGGGGGTGAAAAAGCCTTTTCTTCTCGTCACAAAATACCTCTCGAAAGAGACCGCGGAAACAACGATGCAGCAGTTTTACTACGAATTTTACGCCAAACCCTTCTTCAAGCTTTCGGGGCGGCCGGGCCTGGGCCATTTCTACTTCGAGCCGTATTTTCCGGTGCTGAATCGACGATTGAAGGCTGGGTGCGAAGTGTTTGCGGGAGCAGGGGATTTGGCCCGCTTTGCGCAGGGCGGAGATGGTGCGGAGGCGGAGGTTGCGGCCACGATGCAGAAATAAGTTTTGATTTACACAGATATAGATTGTTGGGTCGTGAGAAAAATAGAACTCCACAACAAACCAGGTTGTAGCTCTTGTCATTGATTCGTATCAAAAAGGGATAAGCGGCCAACAACTACTGCTCTTTGGAAAATGTAATGTAGAGCACTATTTCATTTTGATGAATTCTTGAGTGTGCTCATTTTGTCGAGAAAAAACGGACGTTGTATTCGAAGATGCACGAGGAATAAATCTAGCGAAAATGAATACGATGATCACGACCATATGTTGCCCGAAGAACTTTTCAAAGTAGAACCTTCACGCGAGCAAGTGTATAGTTGCACTTCTTTGATGCTGTAAGGTAAACGTCGCAAAAATTGGAATGATCGCTAATATACTGCATTCGCATGCCTATAATTTCGTTAGTAGACACGTCGTAGTCCTCCTCGTCCTAGGGATGCTGCTGTTTTTCTCTTTTCCTGTCGGATGGAGGACAAATGCAGATAAAACTGGTGACACCTCTTTGATCATGTTCCTGCTTGTCATCGTGCGGAAGTTCTAGACTGCTAATTGCGGGGTCGTGGCTGCGAATCGATGGGGGTAGCATGAGAGTTCGGACGAGTGAAAACTCGCAAAGCGAGGGATACTACGCATACAAATCCTTGCGCAGCGTCTCACTTTTCGGGAGACAGAGAGAGGGTTCCTTCTTCGATATCACAACATGCATCTGAGCACAAAGGATCGCTGAGCCGTCGCTGTGCTTGAGGGCAACAGCTATTTGTTAGTGACGATGAGAAGATCTTCATGCGGCCTACCGGTCAGAAGCAGAAGTGGTCTCCCGTAGAATACGGTTGTGAAACCAGTGTCTGCATCTCCTTCATAAAGATGGTTATAATCTTCGGAAAGGGCCGGCGTACCTGCCGAGATGAAATGCCGCGACACGACGACACGGGCGCTTCTGTTACACGACGTTGTCCAGCAGAGGTGCTGGAACAACGAGGCAATGCTAATGACATCCACCCGAGTAGTGCAACTACAACTACAAGTTCGAGGGAGAATCTGATAAAGCAGGAAAGTCGGGAAGGTAACGCTCCGCTTGCAGGAGCATTGATAACGCTGCACAACTCCATGAAGATGATCATACCCGGTAGTGGAGGTACTACAGCCAGAGCGTTTAGGACGTCAGGAGCCAACATCAAGAAAAGCACCACATCAAAGAATAAGTCGGCCCAACTACAAGTAGAACGCAAGGAAACTACTACTGCAAGGAACGCCACGGGTGCGACGTCCGCATTTTCATCGTGCAGAAATGCAAGATTATCGACTTATTTTCGACTTGCGACACGGAATTCTAAACGAGCTTTTTCACCATGGAACGGCTTCAGGTCGTCAACATCGTCTCCCGCAATGAAGAACCACATCGGTGCTCCTGCGCGGCAACACTACTTCCTCCTGTGGATTTGTGGGCTGGTACTGTTGGTGCAGCACCTTGCCGGAATGATTTTGCTGTCGCGTGTGTGCGAGCAGGAGCAACAGGTAGAAATAAATCTCTCTCCTCCACAACAACTACAACGCACCGGCTCGAGGACATCGCATGATCTACTCCGGGAAGATGATGATGATGAAAACACCACAATGTGGTTCATTTTTGTCCGGGCGGTACGACAAGACCCGCCTAACATCAATCATCAGAGCGTTGTCGAGGCCGGTGGGGGCGTCCTCGTCGCGGAGGAGCAAAGCGCAGCAGCAGAAGGAGAGGAATCTTCACCCGCTTTTTATGACCAGATCGCGGAAGATCAGAGGTTCTCACCAGTGTCAACAACATCGCCGTCTGTTTATTCGGTTAACACCTTGACGCACGAGGTCGACGAGACAGATCAAGATGTGCTCGTGGGCGGAGGTGGGGAAAAAATTACAGTACTCGCCAGCAGCAGCAGTGTTCTGCAGGAAGAGAGAACCTCCAAACCGGAGTCAACAACATCTCCACAATACGAACAGCAAAAATGTCTGGGTCTGGAAGGATATAACCTGTCATGCTAATTCTGGATACTTAGTGCAAAAATCTGTGTTGCGTGATTACCAAAAGCTGCCTACTTGTTTTGACCAAGTTGAGAGGCAATTTCTCATGCAGGCGAGGCATGATAGAGGTCGCGCAGAATCTGTCATGCTAGATCATGCATGACAGACCTCATGCGTCTTGGAAAACCTGCATGACAAGTCTTGCAACCCTTCAGACCCAAACATTTTTGCAATTCATACACAACTACATGAAGAGGACGAAGTTCATCTTCTGTCGCCCAGCGGGACGAGAACTGATGCAACGAAGAACTTGGAAAAGGTCCACGAAGATGACCTCGGATCTTCAACTGCTGCTGGCGCAGGAGCCCAGAATGCGACAGTAGTGCAGATCATCTCGCCCCTCTTCCAGAATGGTGTCACGTCCATGCTACAGCTGATAGAGGAAGGTCCAGTCTTCTTCCCAGGGGCTGCGGAGGGAAAATCTATCCTGGAATTGATGCAGCAGCCACCGGGTACCACAAAGAACAAGCAAAAGCGTACAAATACTCCCAAAAAAAGTCACCGGAATAGTAAAAGAGAAGAGAAGAAACGGGCGCAGCATCATCATCACCATCATCATCATCATCATAAATCGCAAACAGAAGGAGCATCTACATCTGGGACAGCGATGGAGACAAGTACAAAGGACACAAGCCAGTCCCCCGAACAAAAACCGGAGGGAGACATCAAAGCGGACCAGCAGGGGGGAAGGGAGAGCGGAGAAGAAGTGTATCTTAGACAAAAACGTCCCCGCGTTATAGTCAAAATAAGGAATCTGCTAGTACACACATTGACTCAACACAAGATTTGGCAGCTGTCGCGCATGACAAGTTTTGGCACGTAGTGTAGTTGTCCTGTTTAGCTCTGGCGCAGCCGCATGACAAATCGACTACTTTATGCCGTCGATTCCAGCATGACAACCTCTCCAATAGCATGAAAAAATGGTCCTCGTGGGGGTGCGCATGAGAAACGTTTCAGGCTTGCAGATTTGCATGACAAGTCTCCGCAGGTGGGGACGTTTTATTTTGCACAGGATAAAGCGAACAAAGACAAACCGGAGGAGAACGGCGCGGACAACGTTCACCATGACGGGCACGCTGAATCCTTTGTACCAAATGTAAAAATGTCTGGGTCTGGAAGAATTCATGTTTGTCATGCTTGTCTGGCATGACTCTTAAATCTGTCATGCACGTTTCCCAAGAGCTCCGCTTTTCTGTGGTGCAGCGGCGCAGTTTGTCATGCAGAATAGGCAACACCTAGGAGCTCAGAAACTTGTCATGCTGAGCCAGCATTTGTAGCCTCATCATGAGACGCCACCCAGCATCACAAGTTCCCAGACCCAGACATTTTTACATTTGATCCTTTGCGGTCACGTACGAAAAGCTGCAGAAAGGGTGCTTATTGAGAGGAAAAATCCCCCCTCCCCATATTGAAAGAGTTTGTTTCCAAAGATTTGTGTTGCGGATTTGAGGTCACAAATCACATCTGTCTTGCAAGAAGACAAGGGCAGAAGCTTCCGCCCCATTATGGAGGCGGTTTGTCATGCTGTTGGGCCTAAAGGGTGGCCGTTTGCCATGCTGAACTACTAGACCCATACGCCCCTACCTAGCCTGGGGATCTGGCCGCAGTGCCTCTCTGCAATACAAAGCTGATTTGTGGTCACGAATCTGCATCACAAATTTCCGTTTTGATATGGGGAGGGGGGATTTTTCATTTTGATAGTGCTACACGATAAACGATGACGTAGGACGCCTCTCTCGAGCCCGGGAAATGATCGCGACCGCACGCGTATGCATTGCAAATATGATGTCTGGGTGTCTGAAAAATTGGAACTTGTTTTGCATGTTTTGCATGGCTGACAAATCTGCATTGCACAGCCAGCAAAGGCGCCACTTTTTCGTCATGCAAAAACTCAGTTTGTCATGCGTGCTATGCATCAGACTGCGTCACGTAAAAAACCCGTCGTGTTTATTGGCTGCGCCTGCACTTCAGAGCGCCAGACTTATCCATGCTTTAGCATCAGAAGTTTCCTCCAAAGGACCCAGATCGATGTTTGCACTGCATAACGCGTGCGAGTGTCCGCGGCGAGCGACTGCGAGGAAGGCAAGGATTGTATGGAGGGAATGGGTGAAAATCTTACGTGCAATTGGGTGTTTGACAACATTGCGTGGACCAATCACCACAATTGGGAGAAGTGTGCGAAGCTGTCCGATCGGGTTTCGCACGAGATCGGGTGCGAGCCCGTGCCCGCCGGAAAAGGCGCCATTACCCGGCCGGGGTTCATCCGTCTGCCCGTGCACGCGCTGAACTTCGGGGGACTGGTGCGGGACCTGATGAAGCCGCTCCTGGCGATATTACAGTTAAAGATGCCCCCACCCCCACAGTTGCAAAAATTTGTGATGCGAAGTTCCCAAAGGTAAACTTTTTGTCATGCGTGAAAGGAGTATGAATCTTTCTGATGCAGCAGGGTCTAGGCGTATATCGCAACGCTTGCATGACGAGCGCCGCTCGTGCTGGGATCTTTTGCAATGCAAATTTTTGCTATTCGCGATTGGAAATCGATGCAAGAGGGCGAATGTTTCTTTTGGAAAGGTTTGCAATACAAATGCTCCCGAGTTCGGGAAAGGGGGCATTTTTGATTGTAATAGGCGAGAATGGGCGCGGCGATGTCCGAGGGCAGCAGCAGCAGCGCTTCCTCCTTCGTGGCAGTCACGCAGGGAGAGCAGATGCAGCAGGGCGAGAAAAAATTTGTCGGGTGGGTGACCGAAAAGTGGCGCAACGCGACCAGTTCGGTGGGCTTTTCGTGGTATCCCTCCTCGATCTGGAGAGCGGCGGCCGAGTTTTTTTCAAGACAAACGAAGCGAGTGCTGCACCCCATCGAGCACATCAAAGACGAAATGGGCAACTTTTTCAACCAGCGCATCCCGCCGTTAATTTCAGCGTTGCTGTCTTCCCATCTGGTGATGTTCATTGACATGTTGGACGTGGACGGCAGCGGCGAAGTGTGCCCGAACGAGATCAGTCAGATATCAAAACGAAAAATCCCCCCTCCCCATATCAAAAAGGAAATTTGTGATGCTGATTTGTGACCACAAATCTACTTGTATTGCTAGAAGGCCAAAAGACGCGGCTGTTCCTTCGTTTGCAGGAAATTTGTCATGCTGTTTCCCCCTTTCCAGTTGCTTCCTGTCATGCTGAAGACGCAAAGTTTTCCCACGCCAGCCAGCACTAAAATCTGGATCTCTTCCCTTCTAGCATGACAACGTGATTGGTGATCACAAATCATGCTATACAAATCTCCCTTTGAGTATGGGGTGGGGGGATTTTTCATTGTAATATCAGAAGGTCCTGGAAGAGTTCGAGGCCCGCGTGATCGACCCGCTGGTGGAGGCGTTCGGGGTACCAAATGTAAAAATGTCTGGGTCTGGAAGAGTGCCATTTTTAGCATGCATATTTTGCATGACACATTATGCCTGTAATGCATGGCCTAGCATCAGAGATCTTGAGAGGGCTTTCTGGTGCGTATTCCGCATGAGAAATGCCCTCTCGCCGTGGCAAAAACTGGGCCTCTTTTGCTGTTCATGCAATACAGATTTTTGTAACATCCAAATGCAGCATCACAAGTTGCATTCTTCCAGACCCAGACATTTTTGCATTTGATACGGGGCCGTGAAACTGGGGCCGCTTCCCGTCGGCGAACTAGTGGCGTCCCCCCTGCGTCGCTTGTGGAACGTGGCCGCGAGCCAGTTTGCGGTGTTCTTGGACACCCGCCTGGGCTACGTGTTGAACGAAGTCTCGCGCACGCTCGTCTTCTCCCTGGATCATGCCAAAAAAACTGGGACGAGCGCGGTGGCAGAACTGGAAGCGGGCACAACGGATATCATGCAGCTTATGGATGTGTCAGGATCGAAATCGTCAGAGTTGAAATAGTTTGTCATGCATAATATGCAACGCAGAAATTGCCTCTCTTGCAGAGGACGCAAGGGAGGCAGATTGTAGTACTGGTTAGGGTCGAGAATTGGGCTGCTGATTAGCATCACAGAGGGGAGCCCCTTTGCCCTAAACAGCATGACAAATAATTGGCCTCCCGTACGGACAAAATTTGTCATGCACCGACTACAAACTGTAGGTCTAAGTGGTATCCGTTGTATGCATCACAAATCATTTCAACTTTGACGATTTCAATCCTGACAGTTCCATAGAGCTCGTGCTCTTCGAGCTGCTTTTCCCGGACGCGGTGCACGGCAAGGAGGACGGGGGGAAGGCCGCGCTGGGACGGTTTCGCGATGGAACGCAGAAAATGTGGTGCATGACCACGCCGGCCGCGCTCATAGACAGAGCAAAGGACCTGGCTGCGAGCGCCAAGAAGATTCTGCGCACGCCGCTCAGCGAGCGGAAACTGGTGAAAAAGATGGATCCGCGGGTGTACGAAAAGATGGCTAAGATGGAGAGCACCGAGCTGTACGCGGTGATGATGCGAGTGAGAACGGTGCTGCGCCGCGCGATTGCCAACCCGAAACTGCTCACCGAGCTGCAGGAACTCGTGAAGGCGTCCTTTCACCGGGAGCAGGAGAAGGTCAAGGAGAGGGACAAAGCGGTCACGGTGCTGCAAATCGGCGACGAAGTGGTAGCGGGAAATATGTTGATGAAAGCAGGTACGAACGCTGCTGCTCTCTTTAATACTGGTCGTACTACAGGGGAGCAGCAGGTGGGGGTGAACCTCGGTGGCTGGTGGACGAGCAGCACACCAGCAGCAGAGGAGGAGCCAGAAGGCGAAGAACATGCTGTTGGTTTATCGACGCTGGAGCTGTTTGAAGATGCGACAGCACCCGCTGCGCCGGGTGTTGTGCCGGAATTTGTCACGGCCTATGACAAGCTGAAGCAATCCTGTTACAGTGTGGACGACGACGATCGGGTGGGGCGCGTGAAGCAGCTCCTGGCCACGGCGGAAGCGGCGCACTCGATCAAGGAGGGCATGCAAAAGGGCGAGGGGGGTGAGATGAAGCAGTGCGAGTGGGTGTTCGACAACGAAGCGTGGACAGTGGGGGATAACTTTGACGAGTGCGCAGAGTTGTCGGAACAGATCTCGGAAGCGCTCGGCTGCCCCCGACTGGCAGCGAAAGCGGAAATTATCGCAAACTCTGGCTTCATCCGCATGCCGGTGCTGGAGCTGAATTTCGCAGGTCTTGTCAACGACGTGCTGACGCCACTGTACATATCCCATAGAAAAAAGCAGGCAGGTCATGTTTGTCATGCAAAATAGATACGCAGAAAAAATTTTTCTGCGTATCTATTTTTTCATAAATCTGGGGCTACTACATAAATCTGGGGCCGCCCATGACAGATTTTTCAAAAATCTGTCATGGGCGGCCCCGTAGCGTTCTGTCTAGGATGCGCAATACAGATGTTTTATTTTTGCATTACAAATGATATGACCTACCTGCTTTTTTCGGTGGGATAGTACAAGTCGGTGAAAAAGAAGATTTACCAGGGCGCGGGGGAGCTGCTGAAGGTGGCGGAAACGTTTTTTGTGCGCAACGTCCCGCGCCTCGTGTCCGCACTTATGTCCTCGCACCTGGCGCTCTTCATCAGTCTGCTGGACGCGGACGAGAGCGGGGAGGTCTGCCCTAACGTATCAACTGCAAATATGTCTGGGTCTGGAAGAACGCCAGACTTGTCATGCAGGTTTTCCATGACCCATGAGGTCTGGTATGTAGGACCTAGCGTGACAGCTTTTGAGATAGTTCTATGATGCCTATTCTGCATGAGAAACTGTGTCTCGATTAGGTCACACGTGGACAGCTTTTGGTAATCATGCAACACAGATTTTTACATGATTCAGATTTAGCATGACAACTTCCAACCTCCGAGACCCAGACATATTTGCAATGCATACAACGAGGTGAGCGACAAGATCATCGAGGAGTTCGAGAAGCGTGTTATCCTGTGTGAAAACGTCCCCATCCCATAGTAAAGATAGGAAAGGTGCTGGACAAATCCGCCAGCTTAGGGTGTTGCGCATGACAAGTCTGGGCTCGGAATGTGCAACTAGTCGCATTTAGCTAGTGCAGCAGCATCACAAATTTAGTGTCCCATGCTGATCATAGCATTACGGCACTACGTAAAAAATGCCTCTCATGGGGCTCCGCATGAGAAACATTTTCAGCATGCAAATTTGCATATACAACTATGGGTTGGGGGGGTTTTAAACAGGACGCGCGTGATCACCCCCCTCCTGGCGTTGTTTTCCGGGATCAGCCTGGGGGGGATCGCTATCGGCGAGCTCGTTGTGGCGCCCCTGCGGTCCTTTTGGAAAGTCGCCGCCTCGGATATTACAATGAAAAATGCCCTCGCCCCAGAGCCAGAACTTGGGAGCATTTGTGTTGCAAGCCTTTATTCCAATGGAAACACTCGCCGTCTATTGCATGTATCAGCATCACAGATTTTCAATTGTGAATTATTGAAAAAATCTGTATTGCAAAAGATCCCAGCTGGAAGAGCGGCGCTATCATGCAAGCGATGCTGTATCCTCCTACGACTAGACTCTGCATTAGAAAGATTCACAGTCTTTTCATGCAAGACAAAAAGTTTTGATTTGGAAGCTTCGCATCACAAATTATTGCGGTGAGGTGCCCTTACAGGTTGTGTAGTGGTTTCGGTCAGTTTAGTATCACAAATTATTGCAACTTTCTGGGTGGGGGCGTTTTTCACTGTGATATCGGAGTTTGGCGTGTTTTTGGACATCCGGCTGGCGGACCTGATGAACGATGTGGCGTACGCGATTCTGGTCTCGTACAATCCTATGCACAGCGTGCAGCTGAAGCTGCAGGATCGTGGGCAACTGAATCTCCACTTGCCGACGAAAATGGACGCGGATAGTCGTGCCGTGCGGTTGGTTATCCAGAGAAAAAAGTGTTACAGTTACACATTGTATTGCAAGACCGGCAACACAGACAACCTTTCTCATGCAGGAAATCCTTAGGAGCCTCGTTTCCTTCCTGTTTAGCCTTATGATCTTCGCATTACAAGTTTTCTCTGACACACAGAGAAAATTTGTGATGCAGAAACTCCAACAAATGTGTAACTGTATACACTTTTTTCTCGTGATATTGGTGCTCCTGGAACTTTTGTTCCCGGATCACATTCGCGGCAAAGATTCCGACGCGCGCATGAAGGTGCTGAAGAGCTTTGAGGATCCGAGGAAAGGGACGAAAATGTGGTGTATGCCGACACCGACGGCGATCGCCCAAAGTGGGAAGAAATTGATAGAGGACGTCAAGTATCATTCTGCAAAATGTATATAGTGTAATATCGTAGCAAGCATGTATAGTACAAATGTAATTGTAAGAAAGTACAGCATGACATTACAGCATTACAAATTTTTCGGTGTCTCGTAGATGCATTGATTTCAACGACGATAAAATCCATTTTGCGGTGCATATCAAGGAGAAACTGGAGCACCCGGAAGAAATTACCGACGTGGAAAGAAAATTTCAGGAGAAGCTGCAATTCGTGCCCAATTACCTCTTCAAAGTGCTTGGCCAAGTGACCGCAACGATCCGGGAAAAGGTCGCCAGTGCGGAAAACCGCGCTCATATCCTGAGCAAAAGCGTCGCCATCCGACAGTTGAGATGGCGACATTGGTACAGAAAGCAGCAAGCTTTGGCTGTTGTTGCGCATGACAAGCTTGGGTTCGTAGAAGTGTACTTAGTCCTGTTTATTAGCTATTGGATCCGACTGAGAAATCGACTACCTTATCCTTATTCCAGAACGACTACAAATCCCTAATCAGCATTACAACATGCTCCTCAACATGGTGTTCTTGCGCATGAGAAACATGGTAGGCGTGCTACTTTGCATGACATCGATCTCTGCTGCTCTGGGGTCGACGTGGGGACGTTTTTGCTCTTGATCGCGGAGCTGAAGTGGATGCTGCGGAATGCGCTGAGCGCGGCAAACCCTAACATGGGGAAGAGCACGGATGAGGATTGAGTTGGACCTGATGATATATTCAAAAAATGTCGTGGTCGAATGCAAGGAAATGTGCCGATGAAAACACACGACGAGTCGCAATTTATAGAAATTTGGTGATTATGGCGGATTTCTAATTTTCAAGCGTAAAAGTAAAACGAAAATTCCGACGAAGTCTTCGAGGCTGTTAGTTTATCTAGATAGCTCGTCCACGACTGACAACGCAGTAGTCTTGATTAGGAGAGACTTCTGAGCTTATAGTATCACACTAAATCGTAATCGACAATGATCGAGGTGATATCAAGGATGTGAATCTGATTATATGTTTCATCCGCCAAAATAGAAATTGTCAGGAAAGAAAACCAGAAAGATCGACGAGTCAACATCTTCCATCCCCCCCATCTCGTTTTATTTCCGTGTGGAAAAATTATGCCGAAAATGTTGTTCCCGTGCGGGTGCGCGTGCATCACTCAAAAAAGTTGTTCACATATACTGAATCAATCAGCATAAAGCTACAAGCTCTTGTGCGGATCAGCTATGGACGGAAAGGTAAAGAAGTGATCAGTTCTCATCTTCAAGAATTTTTGCAATAGCAGCTACATCGATCGAATCTTTTTTACGTATTGATGACATGCCTTGTTTCATTTTCATGTACTTGCTTGTTCACAGGCGGCATCTAACTCGGGACATAGAAAATAAATTAATACACACATTGTAGTTTCACCTAACAGACATAGGCGAGACCTTGTTTGGCGACATTTTTGTATTGTACCGCGGTGGCAGTTAATATTTCCTTTTTTTTGTCGTCCTTATGTCCCACGATTTACTTCCCTATGTCGTATTTTTTCCCGCCCCCACCTGTGCCCCCCTACGCAGCAGCAGCTGCTATGGCAGCAGCCGCGCATGAACAGCACCAACAATCAATTCTAGCTTCCACTCATTTCTGGAATAAGTCTAAAGATAGTAGTACAGGAGCAACCATTTCTAGCGAGACTTTAACTTCGGGTAGTTCTTCGCAATTTCATTCCGCACTAAAAGGGAACCCTTTTAACTTCCCATACAACAAGAATAGTAATCCGCTCTCCCCATGGACAACAACAGCCTCTCCGCACAAAGGCAAAGGCAAACAGAAATCGTTTCCAGGTTCGGGAAAAAAGTCTTCTAAAGAGGCGAGCTGTAATATTGTTGAACATCCATTCGACAAAAACAACTTTGGCTCCAGCTCTTACAACAATTTCGATTTCCCGCCGCCTCCTTTCGGAGGCACGTTATCATCTAGCGCCGGCGCAGCACGACAAGAGCTGCAGCAACACCAGTCCTATAATCAGTATAATCACGAAAGGAGCCTACAATTTGTCAATAGTACCCAGCAGCTCTCTTCTTTCGACTCAGTTCGTAGTAGTGGGAGAAGTAGTAAAAGAAGCGCCGGCGCTGCACCCTCCGAAGTGGAGTTGGATAACAAGGGTTTACTACACGGGCGGAACTACCCGGGAACAAACAAGCGGAAAAACAAAATCAAAAATAAAGAGAAGCGAACGGGGAAAATAAATAAGACTTCAAGCATTTTTCCGACGCTGGAGTCTACCTTTCTCGGACCACACGGAGGGAAGCAGCAGGAGCAGTTTGGTGGTGGAAAAGGAAATAGTAAAGGAAGTCACAGTACAGCAAATCCACTTTTGCCAGGAAATATTATTAACATAGACGCCAGCATCAATACTAGTAGCACCTACAACTTCGACGGCTGTGCACAGCACAGTGCTGCAGCTGCTGCTGCACTACAGCACAGTACAGCAAGCAGACCTGGTGGGCATCTTCAGCCGGCGCATACGTCGTCGATCGTGGCGGCTGGTGTACAACTTCCGGATAGGTCTTCGGTGACGAACGTGAATCCGTATCAAAACATAGCCATTAGTGGAACAAGACCAGCAACGACATCAGCGCTTGTTCAAGATATTAGCGGCGGACCACCAGGTCATCTAGAAGGAGATTTTGCAGCTGGTGCGTCACAGCAGGACCACAATATTTTTACCACCGATACTGAGTATAATATTGAAAATTGTGGTAACAACATCAACGATATCACGACGCCTCTGCACAACTCCGACGACGAAAATCAAAATCTCGAGGAATTATACCAAGACGAGCAGGAGCTGCACCGAAGTACTTCTAGCAGCCACGAAGGAGTAGAAGTAGACCACAAGGAGGACGACGTCGTGGTCATCGAGGAGACATCAAATAACTTGTGCGAGGACGAGGAAGAGGACTACGAGTACCACCACCATCACCATCAGGAAGAAGAAGAGCTGAAAATATTAAACTATAGTGCGAACAACATCAAAATCGAGAACAACACCAGCGCGACCCGGAGAAGAACCACCGCCGGCACGTCTGCTTCCCAGCTGCGAGCAGACGACCAGGATACTATATTTAACTACGACCAGGAAGTGGAAGAACATCAAAGCGGAGAAGAAAACGCACCCATCCTGGGGGAAAACTTGATCCCCCAGTTCCGCGATCGAATCTCCTCCTCTTCGTCCGTTGAGGAAAAGACCATCGTTTTCCCTAGCCCCTTCAGTCCCGCGCTGCCACCGGAAGCTTTGTGGAATCATCTCGACACCAGGATGGCCGACCCCACGGACCACTTCCCCGCGCGGGCCTTCCGCTGCGTCATATGAGAGTGCACAACACTCCTTCCCCCTTATTTGTATGGCATGAACAGCAACACAAGTGCTGGCAGAGATGCAGGCTCTGCATGAGAAATTCACCACTGACTCTAGCGCTGTTTCGGCTTCGGGAGCCTGTCATGCAAGCAGTGCCAAAATGCAATGGGTGGACTTGGCATTTTGCATGACAAATAAGGAGGAGGGGGAGTTGTGCACTCTCATACGTCATCGAGTTTTTTGAGAAGGTGTGGGACGCAGACAAGGAAAAAGAGGGCGAGTGCGAGTTTTCGGTTGCGGTTGACATGATTAACAAGTACATTTTGACGGAGTGCGTCGACCTGCCATCCGAGTGGCAACTGCAGATCGAGAAGGTGCTGACGCTGCTGTTGCTTTCCCTGGACGTTTTGGACACGTTTCTGTTTGAGCGCATGGACGAGCAGGAACGCGGGCCGCCGGAGCTATCAACTGCAAAAGTGTCTGGGTCTGGAAGAGTGTAAACTTGTCATGCAGATTCGCCATGACAGCTGAGGTCTGGAATGCGGGACCTAGCATGACAGACTCTGTGAGGTCTCTGCCATGCCTATCTTGCATGAGAAACTTCCTCCCAACTTGGTCAAAAGTGGACAGCTTTTGGCAGTCATGCAACACAGATTTTTACATGCTTCAGATTTACCATGACAAGAAGTTGCCACCTTCCAGACCCAGACATTTTTACACTTGATAGGAGCTCACCCCCGTACGACTCGCGATGCTCAGGTAGATTTGGACGTTTTTGCATATCCTGAGTAAAAACGTACCCACACCAGAGTCAGGATGGGGATTTTGCAACACAAACCTAGGAGTTTTGTGAGTCACGCATGACAAGTTGCACTCTGCAGTGTAGTGCAGGTTAGCAAGTGCAGCCGCGTCACAGATTCATCTGCTCATCCTGTTCACAGCATCACAAATTCCAAAACGCGATTGGAAATGGTCCTCATGCGGATGCACATTACAAGTCTTCCTGTCTTTGCAAATCCGCATGACAACTCTGGTGTGGATTTTTGTTGTGAAAAAATTCTGTTCATCTTCCAGGTCGGACCATATGATCTTTTCTAAAACTGGTAACGCTAACGCATGATAGTGCTGCGATTGTTCTTCACTGGTGATTAAGATGAAGTCAGAATTCTACTGGTTGTCTACTTGTATTACGAGAAGGTGATAATGACATAGATGATAACTGCCAACAGGTTTGCTGCGTTTTGGGTTGCCGCCGAGGAAAAAGGCGACGGGCAAGCGCACATCCGCGCTGCGCAGACGATTTGCAAGATTGCCGCCCTGTTTTTCGATGAGGACGTGGATTTCGTGAAGACCGTAACGGCCCGGTTTCAGCCGGGAGCGTTCGCCGAGTTCCAGCGCCGCCACGAGATGCAGAACTTGCCCCCGTTACTGCCCCCCCTCTCCACGAACGCCCCAGCCAATAACACGCCCGGCGGACAGCAGGGCGGGCAACATCAACCCCCCACGCCCGCGGGCGCGCAGACGATGGCGCACGCGCAACAGCAGCTGCAGCAGGTGGGTGCAGCAGCAGTTTCGATGCAGCTCCAACAACAACAGCAGCAGCAGAATATGGATAAGGACCGGTCCCCCGTCACGCCCGGCACCACGACGAACGTGGCTGCGGGGAACATGATCGTTCCCCCTGGGATGACACCCGGAGGCACGATGAACAGCAAGGGCGGACTCCCGGGTAACGCCGGCGCGAAGTTTCTGATGCCGATGCAGCCGGGGATGCCGATGCCACCGCAGGTGGTGGGTGGGTTCACGCCCACGGGCCCGCAAAGTGGGAAGAACTTGTTGCACTTTCCCGGACAGCAGCACCCGCCGGGGGTTGGCGCTCCCGGAGGACCTCCTGGAGGTTTCCCGCAGTACGGGCAGTTGCCGCCCCCCTACGGCACGCCGAACGCCGGAACGGGACCTCCCGGGTTTCCCCACCCGGGCACGCCGGGCGGATTCCCGGGCAACCCGGGGGGCCCCACGCCGCCAGGCGGATTGCCACCGCAGCTGCAGGTACAGCCACCACCCGGGACAAAGGGGCCCGCGCTGAAGCCCGGTGCTATGCCGCCCATGTTCCCGCCGGGGCTGGTGCCGCCCCCCGGAGTGCCGATGCCGGCCAACTACAGTCCGTTCAAGGGGAATCACTTGCAGCTGATGCAGCTGCAAAGCCCGCGGGGCGCCGGAACCATGCCGCCGGTATCTGGGCCGGGGGGACCACAGCAACCACAACTTCCTCCAGGGGTTTTAGTACAACAACCTCCTCCAGGAGGACCCGGTGGACCACCGCAGCTTTTACCCATCGGAGCGGCAGGAGTTGCACTGGACCCCGCAGCTGCACAACAGATGGCCACCACGACATCCTCCCCGAATGCAGGTGGAGCACCCGCAGCTTCGGCTGCACCAGATTCGCTGCCGTTGCCTGTCACTGAAAACAACGAGGATGAGATGGACGTTGACGATGATGACAAAATGGGCGTCGATAGTATTATTGCGAATAAAAAGTCTTCGTCAAAACGGCGGTCGAGCAAGCGCTCGTCCAAGCGGGACCGCAGCAAAAGCAGTTCTTCCTCCGAGCTGTCCGATGAAGCTTCCGGTGCCGCGCGGAAGAAGAATATTAAACAGCGCCGTGGGTCGTCCTCATCGGCTAGTAAGAACAATTCCAGTGATAATAACGAGGAGGAAAACGTCGAAAATGAAGATAAAAAGAGCGGCAAAAAATCAACAAACATTGAAACCAGAAGTCGGCGCAGAAGGAGCAAAGAGAAAAAGACGACTCGAAAAAGCAAGAGCAGTAAACGAAGCAAGAGTAAAAACACCTCCCGAAGCGGGTCGAATAAATCGAAGAGCAGCAACAGGTCGAAAAGCAGCAAAAGTAACAGCAGCAAGAGCGCCAGAGACCGCTCCAAGTCATCGAGTAGGAGCTCGCGAAGTCGAAGATCCAGCTCGCGCGGCTCTTCTAAGTCCTCGCGGTCCAAGTCTAAAAATTCCGACCGCTCTTCTGACAGCGATGAGGAGTCCAGTGAGGTGCAGGGACCGCTGTTGGAAACCCCGCTGGAACTGAAGCAAATGGCCAGCACGTTGCATTCCGGAACGAGCGCGGACGGGTTGCAGAGTGCTGGGCAGGGTGCCGGCGACCGAAACAACACCACGGATCATCCGTTGGATGAAAACCTTTCCAAATCTTTGCAAAAAGCGAAGAACAAGCAGAAGCAGAAGAAGGACATGCTGACGGGGATTAAGCAATTAAACGTTTCCAACACGTTGTCCGACCTGCGGGACCGCCGGGCGGAGGAGCAGGTTCGCATCGTGAAGACCTACGCCAGTGAAGGCTGCCAGACCGAGCAGGCGCCGGACTTGTATGATCGGAAGAACCTCGTGAAGATCATGACGGCCCGCGCGGACCGGTTCGTGTCGTCCCGGACAAAAGAGGAAATTGACGCCGACGAGGAAAAAGGAGTCTCTATCCCAAGTAAAAACGTCCCGACCCCATAGTTGTAATGCAAATCTGCACGCTGGAAATGCAAATGTTTCTCATGCGGAGCCCCATGAGAGGCGTTTTCTACCCTAGTGCTGATTTGAGATTTGTCATGCTCGAATCAGAATGACAAACTGGATCTGTGATGCTGCTGTACGAGCTAAACACGACTAAATTGCGAGCCCAAATTTGTCATGCGCAACAGCCAAAGCTTAGGGATTTGTGTAGCAGATTTCCCATCTTGACTCCGGGGTGCTAGGGACGTTTTTACACAGGATAGTCTCTCACTGTCCCGACATTATGCCCGACTTCTCGTTTGATCAAGCCTCATCTCAGCCGGAGGTGACAAACAAAGCGAGCGGACTCTCCACGATCATGGAGGAGTGATTAGAGTATGTTGATCTTTGGTGGGAGCAAAATGATTAAATTACGACTGCTGGGCATACTACTAAAAGTACTTCTGATTGTCCTGGCAAATACTAAACGACTGATGTGAGCAGGAGGTATCCCCTCTGAATCAATTTGATGAAAAGGAAAAATCGAGGGCGAAGGCAAGCGCTTTGGTGAAGTTCTTTTTGCAGGCTGGTAGTATTCGACAGTAATACTAATATTGCTGGGAAAAAATGCTGCTTTCGTTACAAATCGCAAGATGATGGATGAAGAAGGCAAAGAGCCCTTTTCACCGTTTCGTATGCTACAGATTTCAGTTGTGTCACTCAAACGAACGACGGCACAGTGAGAAACGTACACTGCAAAAATGTTGCTGAATTCTTGCAATCAACAGAACATCAAGGGTCTTCTCTATAATGCGTCTGCATTTTTTGGTGGGATTTTGAAAAAACGAGTCGCTCGCGGGGGCCCTCGTGTGCAACTGGAGGCCATGGCAATTTTGATGTCTGCCAATACAGATGCTGATGTTCCGGTCGTCCAGTACGTGTAAGTAGCATGTCTGGTCATTTGGTCGTGTGTTAAAATTGTTCTACGTTGGTCGTAAGAGTTCTTCCTGGAATTATTTCCGAGCCCAGCAGCTCCGTGACACGCTGTTTTGGTCCCAAAAATCGTAGCGGTCGTTGGTCGGGTGAATGAATGCTTCGTGTTTATTCGTGGGACACAATTTCGTTGTATAGATACGGTCGCCTAGCTGAAGCGTTGTAATCGTGAAGGCCCCGCGAAATTGTAGGAGTTTTTTTAGGATCTTGTATGCTAACCGCGGTCGCAAATTTGTTCTCGGCTTCAGCACTATGGTAGGTGCCCCAAAAAATTATAACCTCTTTTACGATCGCAGCAGAGTCTTCACAGCCATGCAGACAAGTTTTTGAATAAATACAACACCGAAAAATGCTTTTTCGCGCAATCTTGGAATCTTTGTGTGAGCAGCTGCAGCTCCCCGACTTTTCACAGACAGCAACCACTCCACAAGCGCCACTTGTTCAACATTCGCATGCCGCTGCACCACGACTATCCGGAACGAATAAAGATCTTCTAGTTGCCATGCGCATGCCGCACCACCCCCGCCACCGCGCAAGAACCAGTTTCGCCGAGGGTGCCATCTGCGGGGTGCGCGGCGATGGACAGATGACCTGCGGCGTGCCGGTGGCGACGGATGCCGTAACCGGGGCGCCCATGATCATCGAGTTTGCACACGTCCAATCGCAGCAGGAACAGGCTGGCTGTGCCAACAGTGCGGCGGGAGACAACAAAGCCATTACGCAAGGGCTGGCGCAGTTGCTCGAGACGGTGAATTCGGCACCATAATTGAATACAAGAGCAGTACGCGTTCACTTTGCACGTTTGTTCTTTCATGGACAGGATTAGGAAGATTCTCGACCTGAAAGCTTTTTTGTACCAAACCAGATCATATTTGCACGCGCTCTCACTGATTTGTCCTCATGCCGGACCTCCACATACCATGTAGCAGAAGTCGGACACACACACAGCGTTGATTTTTTTATAAAACACCCGATCGTAAAAAGATCCAATTATATCTTGGCTGTCTTAGCTGATGAGGCCATCACTTCCGATCATGGCCTTAGTCCAGCTGACGCCAGATGAGGAGGATGCACAAAGTGTCAGTGGTTCCAGATGGCGTGGAAGCTCGCATGTTGATCAGAGATTGTTAGTGCCCGTTTTTTGGAACACGGATCCCGAAGAGTGCCATAGGTCGTGATATCTTTTGTCTCTGTTGTTGAAGATCCTGCGATGATTTCATCTTGCAAGCTGATGTAGATGTTTCTTTTACTTGCGTGCGGCGGCGAAGTTTCATATTGACAAAAGAAGGGAAGAAGTAGAATCATGCGCTGTAATGTGCTCCTCTCTCAAGTAGATCTTAATCTTTATCCTCTGCAAGGACTAACGAAGGTCGTGGATATCTATGAGGTTCTTTTTGCCCTGATCAGATTCAGTCTTCGTGCCAACGCAAGCGAAAAGCGCGGAGCACTTCGTGTTGATATTTTTCGAGGTTTCATCATTTCATTCTTAATCTTCGGAGTTAGCAACGCACGAACTCGAGAACAAGCAAAAATGCGCAAACTCTCAAAGCGGTGCATCTTCTTGTCGGCGGCCATAAGTGCCGGCGGCATGAGCATGATGCTGCACCAAGCCAGTGCGAGCACGGCGGCCGCGTTTGCAGCACCGGCTGCGGTGGCCATTTCCGAAAGTGGTCGTGGCTCCAGTGGTCAAGATCCTCGCGCCGGCCAGGGAACTACTGCGGAAGCAGGAGCGCATAATAATTCCCTGGTAGTTCCAGACACCGAATTCCAACTGGTTTCGTCACAAGATCTGAAAGACTTATCTTCCGACAAGAAGGCACCGGGTGGGTTTCAGTTGATTTCCCCTCGAAAAACCAGAACGGTCAAGCTTCCCGGCAAGGAAGGACAGCAGCAGCAACCTCTACACGGAGGTGGGAAGAGTAATAAGCACAAAGGTTCTCGTGGTGAGAAAATCAATCTCGGCCCATCAGACCCAACCGAGGTACACCCGCAAGCGGAAGCGCTCTTGCGGATCTTAAACCAGAGTAGCAAAGTTGAAGAGGAACAACACCAAAGGCAGCGGTTTCTCGAGGATCAGATTTTGCCGAAACTGCAGCAACGACTGCGGCCGATTCTGGAGCAAGATTCATCGCCTTCTTCCACGCCGAAGAAAGTTGGAAGTTTGGATAGCCTAGACGATGAGAGTGATGGAACAAAAATCGAGGAGATGATAATGTTGAAGTGGCAGAAAAACAAAAACGTCGGCAAGAAGATACTTGACATCACGAAGAGCCCTCCTACAACTACATCAACTTCCCACTACTACACCGCCGAGTTGAAAAAGCTCGGTGGCTTTGCACTGGGCCTCGCCTCGGACCGCGCGTTCGATTTGCAGATCTCGCTCCATTTCGATTTCGCGCCAGACACGCCGGAAATGTCGCGACAAGTGTCGAACAAGAAATCGTTCCTGTTCCCGAACGGCGCGCCGCGGATCAAGCTGTTACTGGCTCTCGAGAACAACTCTCCAGGCTATCGGATGAGTGCTGAGGATAAAGAAGAGCTCGCGCACTGGCGCACGCACGTCTTGAGTCACGCTGCCCGAACGCTGTTCGGCTCAGCAGGTTTTGAAGATACGGAGGTTGCGCGGCAGAAGAAGACGAACCAACATTTACCACTATTTGGGGCATGCCCCTCGGAGAACATCGGTAGCTCGGCGTACGGGGTGCTGGAGCAGCTGCACCAGGAAGGGATTTTGCCCTCCAACATGACTATGCATTGCAAATATGTCTGGGTCTGGAAGGTTGGAACTTGTGATGCTAACTTTGGACTCTAAAAAAATCTGTATTGCATGACCAGCAAGAGCAGGCGCCCGGTTTGTGTTACGCGGGGAGGGTATTTGTCATGCGGGATAGGCATCAGGAAGGCCTCTAAAAATATGTGATGCTAGATCGTGCATTACAGACATCCTGAGTCATGCAAAATGGGCACGACAAACTAACCTGGCAACCTTCCAGACCCAGACACTTTTGCCCTCCAACATGACCACCGATTTGCTACCCGCAGTTAGCGCAGCAAGCTGCATTGGCAGTAGTTTTTCGCGTTCTTCGCCTGGCAAGAAAAGCTGCGCGTCAGACACAGCAGGTGAAGATGACCAGGAACTACAGAGCAAGGCCTTTCTGTACATTCGTTACGGCGATTCCGTTCGCATTCGTCTGACCGTGGCAGATTACCGACGGGCTGCTGAGACGGATTTCTTGAAGAATACATTGGCTAAGTTTAGCTTGAAAGGGGAAGCGGTGCTGTTTCGGATCGTGCGACAGGTACACCTAACATAGAAACAAACCATGCAGAAGATAAAGATTCTTCCTTTGCAAAGTCGTGATATCAAGTATTCGTTCATTCTTGCTAGTAAAGGGTCGAGTTGGATGAAAGAGGGATTGTGTTCTAGTACTTCGCAATCATCGCAATTAAATCCCAATTCCCAGTTGAAATTCTGGGCCGAAGCCAGCGGCAAAGATTGGCTGCGCGCGGCGGACCACCTGGCGCTCGGACTGGCTCTTGCGTATTTGAAAGACGAAAGAACGGATTTTGGCTCCGCAACCCTGCAGGGATTTTTCGAATTCTACACGACGATTCTTTCTTCGCACAGCGGCCGCCGCTGCTGGCCCCGACGTGGAGTCGTTGCTGTTCCGGCGTCCTCCTCTGGGGCAAGTCGAGAAGATCCTACGGTGGGAAGTACAACAGGAGAGAAGAATTTTTCCAGCCAGATAACACCACCAGCAGCACGTCAGGATTCCAGTGAAGATTGGATTATGCTGGACGGTAAGGAGGACGTTGAGGGTCATGCCGCTGCCGAGTCCGCTGGTCATGTCCGCCTGGTAGCAGCTCCTGCGGATCACGGCGTATCCAGCTCTTTTGGTGGAAAAAGTTCCGCCTACTGTCCGTCTCCGTCCGTTAGTTCATCCCCCTACGTGTTCAACAACAAGAACCCCCACGAAATTACCCTGCCCAGGCACCAGCCGAGGACGCCAACGCAGCAACTTGTCAAGCCGTTTCTGGTGATGGCGAAAAGCATGCACGACATCGTGCCACCGACCCTTGTTGCCTCGGTGTTTAGTACTATGACCACTCCTGCGGCAGCTGCCACTGCTTGTTCAACAACATCTTCTGCCGGTCTAGTATCCTACGAAGGAAGTTGTACACGACATCAAGAACATCCGCAACAGACGAGTGTGACCACGAATGTCCTTGAAGACATTGTGGCAGCAGACTCGGCCTGCACGCCTGTGCCGGACATGTGTCGTGGAAATAAGAAAGACGATGAAGAAGAAGAGCTCATCCTGTACTGCAAAACACAGGACAGCGAGTTTTACGTGAAGCCGAGTACCGCGAAGCAGAAAAAGTCGTCGAAGGGAAACAAAAAGATAGCACCAAACAAGCAGTCTTGCACCTCCTCGCCCGAGTTAAGTCCCGCCAGTTCTACTTCCTATTTCCCGCCAAGCAAGACAACTTTGGCGCCGACTGGCGGTATTAGCGGACAGAAAAAGAACAAATTCCTCGGACGAGAGGAAGAAGAGACCACTAGCGGCTCTTGCTGCAAGCACCGAAATGGCAGCCAACACCAGCCTACGCGGGCCAGCTCCCCGCCCGCGAGCGCGGCGCTGCTTTGCAACAACATCTGCCGTGGGGTCTTGCCTTGGGCGACGAGTGGTTCTGCGGGTCGCGACGGTCGTGGTGCCACGGATCATGCGGGCGGGAGACGCACGAAGGTCGAGACATCAAAATCCGCTATGATAGGCAGTCCCATCCTGGCAGGGAGTGTGAAGACAAGGGAAGAAGGACAAGCAAGCAACCAGGAGGTGAAAAAAGGTGACTCAGTCCTCTCAGGTCGTGCAGCGGTTCCCTTGCAGGAGACAATGCGATGGGAGCACGTTGGAGAACACCGGCCGCAGCAACCGCAGCGGCAGCAATGTGAGGATGACGAGTGCGATGGTTGGGAACAACTTGAAGTAGACGCAGACATGATGCAGTCATCTTCTACCCCCGCAAAGCAAGACCAAGACGATGAAAATGAAGCAGCACCAGCGCCAGCAGTCCCTGATGAAGACAAAAACAGGAAGTCAACATCTGCTGCGATGAAACTGCTTGAGCGCCTATTGTAAGGAAAAATCCCCCCTCCCCATACCTCCAAAGCGGGATACGTATGAAAATTTGTGATGCTGATTCGAGGCCACAAATCGTCTCTGTATTGCCAGAAGGCAAATCCCAAGACCTGGCCGCGTTCTGCAGGCAATTGGTGATGCTGTAGGACCTACGGAAAGAGGATGTGCCTGCCTTGCTAGGCGCCTACACCAAAACGCCCCTACTCCGGCTTTGCATCTGTTTGCAGTCCTCTACTGCAAGACGAATCCGATTTGGGTACACAAGTCTCGCATCAGAGATTTCCATTTCGATGTGGGGAGGGGGGATTTTTCCTTTTGATAGTCCCTGCAACCCGCGATGCAGATCCAACTCCTCGATGACTTCGAGTACGCCGCCCGCTTGCTGTATGGGAGTGTCAGAATTGAAATCGTCAAAGTTGAAACGATTTGTCATGCATAAAATGCAGCCCACAAAGTGCTTGTCTTGCAGAGTAGGCAAGTGAGGCAGATTGTAAGCCTGTTGAGGGGTAGCATCTGAGCTGCTAAAATAGCATGACAGAAGGCGTCTTCCTTACCCAAACAGCATGACAAACTGGATTTCGGCTCTACCCAAATTTGTCATGCGCCACTTAGAAACTGGGTTGCAACTGGTATCCATTTTATGCATGACAAACCATTATTTCAACTTTGACGATTGCGATCCTGACGCTTCCATATGCTGCGAAATCTGACCGCGTCGGAGAAGAAATAGAATTACGGCGGTGTGCGAAGGAACAGCAACATCTGGGTGGATGATCGACTTGTAGTTGTTATTTCGATTCTCTATACAAGTTGTTGCTTGGGTTACCGTTACGGTTGCCACCTGCAGCTCAACATCTACCAGGAGAAAAGCTGGAGAAAAGTTATATTAAACCGTGTAAACAAATCCCGCCCAGCACATTGACATGCTGATGCGAAATCCACTGGGACGAGTGGTCTGAAGATGTCGTGTATGAAAGCACTTTTTATTACTTCTGAATCGCGCAGACAAATGAGAATGACGAACTGACTGTTGTCAAACGACAGCCGCGTCATAATCTTGATCTTCACACATAAAGAGTGTCTGGTCTCTTACTCTAAGAAGGAACATAATCGAGACCACAGAACCTGCAGTTTCTTTCAGCTCTTCGGATTATCTACGCCTCATAGCAACGCTAGCGCACTTTAGCAGCTTTATCAAATTTTTGGCACGTATAGGATGTTGCCCGGTTCATCTTCGCATCTCATTTTGTTTGGGAAAATGTAGCTCCACCTCACCCAGGGACGTTGTTCGACCTGTGTCTCCTTCTTGCATAGGCTTTGCCATTCGAAAAGTCGTCTCTCGAAGCCCGCAAAGAGTTTCGTCGTTAATGAAAAGCTGATCTCGATGGGTGGTAATTATATCGTTCCTCTTCCGTGGCCGTGGGAGATCGAAGTGATCTTCGTGGGGATTGCGATTGCAAGACAGGTATAATAATTTCGTCTTGTCAAGGAAATCGAAAATCAAACTTGCTTCTGCGAAGTCCTGAAATTTTTCGGTACAACCTCTACGTCTGCCTCCTCGTTTCACCGTTTCGAACAAAATCGTTTTCATAAGATTCCTCTAGAGCAAGAAGAGAGCATGGAGGTGCAATGATGGAGTATTTTTACTTGACGCCTATCGCAGCATCGTTTTTTTGAAACGACGAGGACACTATCGAAGGGGAATGATCGCATGTATTTGAAGATATCGGGAACTTCTTGACTTTCACACTGTATCTACTGTTTTGGATATTTTTAACTACGTCTGATTTTCACTATCTGGGCGGGTTTGTTGTAGAAGTGATCGCTAAAAATTACCTTGACTTCTCGGAGGTAAAATAGAAGCAGCTTGATATTGCATTTAGCAACTTCACAAAGAACAAGTTGCTTCTGTTGTATTATTCGTAGCTGGTACAACATATTTCACGAAAGGAACGTACAGATAAGCCACCATTACTATGCCGGAATCCAGCAGTTCTTCCAGTACGCGTCCGCTGGACAAGTCCGAGTCGCAGCCAGCTCTGGTGGTGACGAAGGATTTTTCCACGAACCCAAACTACTGGAATAAGTACGTCACCCCCTACGTGGCAGACAGGACAGAGGAGTACGCTTTCAACCCGCTGCACGTCCCGGAAAAGGACAACTTCGATCTAAAATGGCGGTTTGTCAACAAGGGCCCGTACATGATGAAAAAATACGGAAGATTTCCACGACCAGAGAAGGAAAGAACCATTGGCGACATAAGGGAAGAAGTGGGGCGGATTGAGGAGCAGAAGGCCATGGTATATAGTGAAAAAAGTACTTATTTTTATTTCGCGTGCGTGCATATTAAAGTGCATGTGATGTTCTACTTCAGCCCTGCTCATGCGCGTACTAGTAGTTCTTCACACATTTCTATGTCGTTTCAAAAAATCAAAAACAGCAACCACTAGTATCACCAAAGTCCCGTGCGGTCTTCTCACCTCGTGGCGGGGAATCCAGGACGACATCCCCTGGGGGAACGAAAAAAGCCTCGAACTACGAAAACCAAAAGCCCGGGCCGGAAATTTTCAGGGAAAAGGGGGATTACCAGGGATTGAAAAATATCGACAACTTCGAATTGGCGCAAATGAAGTTGAAGGAAGGTAGAGCAGACAAATTTTTACAGGACTGGTCACTACTCATGGTGCTGCGTGTAGTTTTTTCTGTAGTACCTTGTTGTTCAGGATAAGAATTGATCTCTCCATTTCCATGTGACCCGATTGATGACTGTGTCGTGTACTATAATTTCGAAAACTACATTCTATCAGATACGATGTACGTGCCACCCGGGAGTAAGTATCAAGCCCCGCACCCGATGTCAAACACGCGAAAACACTTCCATGACGACGCGACGGTAGATATGAAGAAGGTGATGGCGTTAAGGAAACTCGGTGGGGCAGTCATTCCAACAAGCAAGAGCTTGACCAATGTATAGGAATTTCTCATGAATGTAGGTCTAGTCGCAGCTTTGACAACGTGAGATTTATGGTCGCGTCTGTATCACACAATCCGATCTTTGTAAAATGCAATGAATTATGCGCGAACCAACCAATATATAGAAAAACAAAAACGACACCAGCTCCCGCTTGCGACCGACAAGGCTGCCACGGAATTTGGCAGTGTCAAGCAGCTGCACAAATGCAGAAGTACTGATGTGTTTTTTTTTGTTTCATTCATCCTGATTCATCTGAGTAGATAGCGCTGCATCATGCAACGAGATGTGATGTATGTATGACTATGATTTCGAAACCGCAAAGACAAATATAAAAAAAATCAGATAAGCACATGCGATCGATCCACAACCCCTGCGAGCGATTCTCCGGGAAAATGATGTTGGGCTCACAAGCGGTCGGTTGGGCGCAGGATGATGACAGGTGCGCGAGGGCGGTGCACTACAAGGGCCCAACGCACGGGATCACTGACTCGTTTGTCACACAGTACAATTTTGGATGCTTGTTTCTGTTTGCTTTTCGCATGGCAACAAATTCAAATATGAGAATCAATGCGCATGCTGCACAAAAAAAAATGGCAAACATCTTCAGTACTGTGAAAGAACATGAAAAACTATCAACTTGTTGAAAAAGGTACTATCACAACATGAGGATGACAAACATGGAGGCGATTCTGCGCTACGAGGGCTAGGAGCAAGACGGAGACACTCTTTCGAGTGGGGAAGTTTTCTTTCTCCCTGGTATCTTCTATCAGCTGGTGCTGTGTATGATTTATTGACTGGTAAAAGAAACACGAAAACGAAGCCATTATCATCAAAAATGCAGCTATTACGTGTACCAAAACGGATGCAGGCTCAGTTATTTTCAGATTTTTAGCAACAGGTGACACGACAATACGAAACGCGATTTTTAGCAGGTTTATCATTTCGATTTTTAGCATCAATAGATTCGCAATAGATTCGAAACGCGAGATAGCTCAGCAGGACGAGTGCAAGATTTTTAGCAGGTTGACGCGCTTGAGATAGCGGTAACGAAAATGTGCTTGTCTTTATGCAAGATGAGTTTCGAGTTCACGGATAGCGGAAGTTGTGGAAGGTTGTGAGATAACATCCAGTGCGGATGTGGCTGCGCAGGCTGTTCGAATGATTATCCGAAACAAGTGACTCCCAGATGATCCGTGGATCAACACGCAAGAAAACTTTTTTTTGGAATCTGATCTCAATTTCTTTTCCCTCGTCCTCTTTTTTGTTATCGCTTTCGCTTTCCAAGGATGCAACGTCTTTGCATGCAAATATACTTACACCGTAGAAACCTCCTACCGCACAAACGAAATGCATTTCGACGTTCGAAAAAACCTTAAAGTACTCGAGCTGTAGAAAGATTGATAAAGGGGCGGGAGCGAATAATTGGAGCGGTTGTTTGCGTCGAGATAAGTATAAATATCACATTCGTTTTGAGAGAATATTTTCTTCTTCACCGCAAAGTGGCACGCATCGACTGACATCAAAGGGGAAAGGAAGTTTCGTAATCCCCTAGAGCGAGGTGGAATTTTTTTTTTTAAGCTGTAGCGATTCTTCGGTCGCCCTCCTCGCGGGAACACTTCTTACCTTTCGACGAAGTTGTAGTTTACGCGCTCAGCACGTAGAAACTACAATGGCGGACACGACGCTAGTGACCCCTGCTCCAACCGTCGTCGCCATCGTTGGTGCCTCCGGCGGTGTCGGCTGCAAGGTGGTGGAGTGTGCGCTCGCGCAGGGCTTTGTTGTGAAGGTGCTGGTGCGCAACGCCGAGAAACTGGCGAAGAAGATCGGGCAGGAGAACGTCGACAAGCTCGACAAAATCGTCCTGGGCAGTGTGGACGACGAGGCCGCGCTCAAGCAGCTGCTCGAAAACGCGTCCGTGGTGGTCTCCTGCCTCGGCATATCAAATGTAAAAATGTCTGGGTCTGGAAGGTTGCAACTTGTGATGCTGTCTTTGAAAGGTAAAAAAATCTGTATTGCATGACCAGCAAGAGGAGTTCAGTTTGTGCTACGCGGAGTGCGCGTTTCTCATGCGGAATACGCATCAGAAGGCCCTTTAAAAGTCTGTGATGCTCGGCCAGGCATTACAGGCATCATGGGTTATGCAAAATTTGCATGACAAACCTGGCAATCTTCCAGACCCAGACATTTTTACATTTGATACGGCACCCCCCCGAAAGAAAAGCCGATCGTGGCGGCCGGTACGGCGAAGATCCTGAAGCAGATGGAAGAATGTAGCGTGAAAGACCTGGTGATGATTTCGTCTATTTGCGTCGGAGATTCGCTGCCGCAGGGGAAGAAGGTCGCGTGCTGCTTCGCGAACTGCATCCGACCACTGATTCTGTCCAAGGTGTTCGCAGACCTCGAAATCGCGGAGAAAATGTGCTTCGAACAGCAGGGAAAACTCTCCATCGTCATCGTGCGGCCGCCGCACTTGACGGACAAACCGGGCACCGGGGGTTACCAGTGGACGGACGCGGCAGATTTTAACCCGGGGGCGCCGGCGGCGATTTCGCGGAGCGACGTGGCGCTGGCGATGGTGGATCTGTGCAGGGGGGATAGCAAGTTTAAGGAGCTCGCGGGCACGGCGCCGAGCCTGTTTCCGGCGAAGAAGATGAAGGCGTGAGATTTTTTAATAGCAGGAGTTCTAGCTACTATCTTCTTCATTTTTTCATCAATTTTTGGCATCAATTTTTCAATTTTTAGCACTAATAAGTTGTCGATTCGAATACTTAACCGCTAGATTGCTGAGCAGGAGTTCAAGATTTTGTAGCGGGTTTACGCGATTGAGATACTTAGTTGGAACGAAAATTTGCTGCATCTCATGCAAGATGTTGTTTCGGGTTCAAGTTCATGGATACTTAAAACGGAATTGAAAAGTGGTGGGATAATATTGTCCTTCCAGTGTGGATATTACTGTGCAAGTTGTTCGAATTTTTTCTCCGAAAGTGAGTCTCAGATCCGTGGATCAACACGCCATAGAACTTTTTTTTTGAATCTGGTCTCAATTTCTATTTCTTTTCCCTTGTTCTTTTTTCCGGCCTTCAGTTTCGCTCTTTTTCCTTCGTTCATTCGCATTCCAAGGTTGATGCAACAACGTGCTTGCATCCACGTAGCTACTAAGACCACCTACCATGCAGACGAAATGCATTTCGACATTCGAAAAACTCTCAAAGTAGAAGTACTCAGAGCACGATGAAGCGCAGTCGGCTCCGTCGGTTTTGCGCGGGAGCAGCTCCGGCTGGGCCGGGACGGGTGGGGCAAAACGGTGGTCCTGGGTCCTCTAGTGGTAGCACCGCAAGAACTCCGGGTGAGCATGCTACGCCTGGCAGTCAGCATCGGACCCTCCTCGAGCAGATTGACGCCGTGTACCCGAGAAGCGCGCTGGTTAATTTCTTCCACACGAACAGAACACAGTTCTACCCCCGTGCTTTGCTGCACTGTCTGGACCGACTCGCCCCGGCGCTAGGTGCCGCGTGTAGTGGTCGTACACCAGCTTCTGGTGCGTCGAATAACAGTGCTGATGGAAAAAATGATCTCACATCTAACGGCGGTTCCTGTGATTCCACGGCACTCTTCGCTGCCATGGATTGGCAGCCGTTTAGAACAACATCAAGTAGAGATCCAAAAAGATTGGGAACAACAAAAGGCGCAGGGAAAAGGACCACAGGCAGACTAACTGACCAGAAGTACGCTTCGAAAGAACACCGGAAGATGTCTACGTTGCAGAAGGAGGCAGTCCCTCTCCTGATGGAGATTGTCCGGAAACTGGACCAATTTGCGCCCGCGGAATTATTGCAAGTCGTCTCCATCGCGCACCGGTTGAACGATTATGGCTTGTTGAAGGCGTTGGAATCCTTTCTCAAACCGCACATCTCCGGCTACACCGTCGCGCAAGTGGTGGAAGTGGCCAACGCGTTTGTCTCTTTGCAGGTCGGGACGCAGCCGTTCTTCGCGACGATGGTGCATCGGTTGGCGAATCACGACTGGGGACTGGAGCAGAAGCCGACTTTAGTGTTGTACGTGCGGACGTTTTCCAACTCCGTGTACATGCCGAAGAAAGCGCTGGCGGGCGTGGTGCCGCACTTACTGCGGTGGGTCAAGAAGGACGGGGAGGTGCAGGCAATCATGTTCTGCAGTTCGAGAACATCAAATAAGGGACGAAGTCGAACTGGAACCACCGGTCGTGCTAGCTTATCCGACGTGCAGAGAACATCAAATACGGATGCTACTACTTCCCTCCAAGCGAGCGCAAGCCATAGAAACAAGTTAGACAGGAAAGTGGCAAGGCTTTTGAACGCAGAAACGGCGTCTTCGGGAGGCGGAGGCGGGGCCGAGGTATCGTATGCTGACGAAGAATTCGAAATTCTGGACGACGCAATACCAGTACCGCAGCCGATGCAAGGAGAAGGACCAGGAACTCACCAGCATGTGCTTAGTACGGCGGCGAGCACGAACGCCGTCAGTGATGCTCTTGAAAAGAGCCCCGATTTACCACCAGAGAGCAGCGTTGCGGCCGAATCACCGAGCGGAGAATCCTACGCGCAAGAACGACGTCACCACAGTAATACTGAACCTCCGAGCACATGCACATCCAGTGCTAGTGCAACGACAAAGAATGACGCCGCCGCTCTGAGTCTCTATCACGCCTCCTACGACTCTATCTGGCACCCGCAGGAGGTGCTGGAGATCGCGCGGAGCTTCGCACGGTGGCCGAACCCCTCGGAACGGGAGGCGGGAAGCAAGGTGATAAAGCAATTTTGCCAAGCGTACTTCCTGCACGAGTCCGCAGGTGCGGCGCGGCGCGAAAAGGTCCCGCTAAACCGGTTTGTGGATTTCCTTCTCGCGCTGCAAGAATGGGACAAGTCGGAAAACGCCAGCTGGAAGTGTCTGGAGAAGAGGATGCAGCTTCTTCGTGTGGTGGAAGACGAAAGATTGGTTCCGCATTTGAAGAGATTGTCGATGCACGTGGAGGCTCCTGCTGGAACTGATGTAGGAGAGCACGACCGGGTCAAACAAGAAGCACAGCTGCAGCACGAGGATTCTGCAATATGTGCAGGAAGGGATGAGGAAAGCGGGTCGAGCCCTGAAGTAGATAGCGGGGATCTTTCCAGCGCCGAAACGGACAAGCACTTGTCAGAAACTTGTGACACTGTTATTTCACCTACACATGAACAGTCACCAGCTGACTACTTCTACGTCTCTACTACATCATCGTCAGAATTTCATCAGCCTCTGCACGCATCATTTGGCGCAACAACAGCCGCTGCGTCTTCTCCAATTGCGTTTCAAGACGAAGAAGGCTTGAAAGCGGCGGCTGCAAGAACCGGGACAAATCAAGTAAACAAATCCCCACTGCATCATCAAGAACTCTGCGCCATCCCCTGTCCCTTCGACAGCACGCGGAATCTGCTCTGTACCGGCACGGTGGCTGGTATCTGCTACGTGTACGCGAAGCTTCAGATCCCCATGCGGGCCGAGATTCTGGAAAAGCTGCTCTTACCCCAGGCCCAGCTCCCCGTGCATTTAGTCCGGTTCTCGCCCAAGGAACTGGGGCAGATCTCGCTCGGCCTGGCGCACATGGAGCACGCGGGCCGGGATGTCAATGCGGTGCGGAGGGTGGAAGCGAGCTTGGGGAACGTTTCTGGTTCTGGAGACGACGTGCCGAGGACGCTGCAGTGTAAGGAGAAGGATCTACTTCGCAGGGTAGAAGGACAGCACGCACAGGAAACGCAAGTGGAAGAGGAAGATGAGGGAAGAACCACGACCACCAGCAGGGCTACGCAAGTCGCCGCAGCAAATTCTTTTTCCTGCAGAGAAGCAGACGAAGGAGGAGGCGACAACACGAATAGAATCGCAGCACTCGGAACTACGTCAGGAAGCCAGGATGTCGACCTCAGCTGCGAAGAGGACGCGAGCAGCCTTCAGTCCACCATAGACCTCTTTGCGAAGCTCCGTTCTAAGCGAAAGGAACAAAAAGTTACGGTGCAGGAAGATGCTGCAGCTAGCAAAGGACCTGCGCAAAGGCAGGACGAGGAGGACCTACACATTGGCGACGCTTCAGCGGAAACAATAGACATGGAAAGTAACACTAATGGACGCTTTCCTGCTGCACGAACTTCCTTTTCCGACGAAGCTACTACAGAAGAATGTCACCCAAGCACCTACACGCTTTCCCCCGCTACCAGGAGCCAACTCCTCGACTTTTTCACCTCTCTCGAGCGCCGCGTAATCAAGACCATTGTGACCATCCGCAACGCGAAAGACCTGACTAACCTCCTCTACGCGTTCTCTTTCTACGGCGCCGGCGGGCCGGAGTTCTACTCTTTACTGCAAACGAAGCTGCATGGCAAGCTCCGCGAGTGCGACACGCACTCGCTGGCGAGAATTCTGTGGAGTTTCGGCAACGTGGGGAAGAAGACCGGCCTGCTGTCCAGTAAGTTCCTCGAGCAGTGGAAGCTGTGTGCGGCGGAGCGGCTGCACCAGTGGTGGCCGGGGCACCTCTGCGTCGCGTTGTGGGGCGCGGCGACTTTGGATTTGGAGCAGGACCCGTTTTTTCGGCGCGAACTGCTGAATTTACTGAACCCCGGGGGCCTGAGCCGCATGCGGGACAGCGGGTTTTTGTACCCGTTTCTGCGGGTGGCAAGTCAGGTGGGGGAGGCGGAAGGAACAGGAAGTGAAAAAAGTGCAAAAGATGGGGAAATAAAATACGAGGAGAATGATTCAAATAGAGGTACAACTACTTCAAGTACAACAAGAACCTCTACCTGTACTACGCCCGCAGCAGACGACTGGCGGCGACCGGCGTTCCAACGGCCGCAGGGCTACGCGCTTTTCTCCGACAAAGAGGAGTACGAGCGTTACTGCACCTACGTGCGACCGAAATTCTGGACCATGCAGGCGAGAAAGCAGTGCATGACGCCGGGGTTTGATCTCTGGGCCCAGGACATTCGGTCAGTGTTGTTCTCGCTCGGTCAGGAACAGCTCGAAGAGGAAGTAGATCTAGATCCGAGTTCATCTGTAACACACGATCGAAATGAAGTCGGAAACAGCATCAATCTATCCTCGTCAGAGAGCGAAAAACATCAACTACCAGAGGCGACAGTATCGGAAATAACCAGCAGTTCTTCTAGTTCCACCGATTCTTGCGCGGAACGCGCCCCGCGCTCTCCCATCCACATGCTTCCCAGGTCAGGTCTGGAGTGGAGCGACGCGACGGGCGACACCCGCGTCCTGTTCGAGGAGCGAAAGGATTTGGACGGATTTTTGGTTGACTTTTTCGTAACGGTGGTGCGGAACGCCCGCGTGGAAGACCCGCGAGACCGAGACGTTTCGTTTCACTGTCTCCTCTACCACAGCGCGGACTCTAGTTTGCATCGGGACACAAAAAGACCGCTCGGCGCGGCGCTGCTGCGACAACGGTTCCTGAAGAAAACGACGACCTGCAACGTGTTGAACATACTGGCAGACAATTGGGAAGTTGCGACGTGGGCGGAAAAGAGGACGCTGGTTTTGAGAAAGCTGGGGTTGATGGTGGTGTAAAGCTAAAGAGCAGATCAAAAAATACTACACCACAGCCGAGCCTTCATATCTAATGATGTGGCCTACCAAATATATGATCATATTGAAAATGGTCAGCATGGTGGGTTTGATAAATACGCATGATGTAAGTTGTACTGACTGTTTGTTTCATCTGTATAATCGAAGTGATTATTGTTTGATCCGGTTTCGGCTCTCCTCGGTTGATGGTTGACCGGCACATGTGTTTTGTTCTATTCTTCTAGGTTTTCATGACTGTGGGTTTCCGCCGCTGAAGAAATGCCGCTGTCACGGCTGTGGGCCCTCAGGAGGCGCGCTCGCAGCCCCAGCTGTTGCGCCGCGCGCCGCAAGCGTTATGTATTGCTGGCTACATTGGGCGCCGCGGTCATCGGCATGTTGGAATAAGGAAGACTGTGCTTCTTGTGAGTTTTTTGCTTTTTCGTATCTTTACGTTTCTTGTTTGGCTAGATTCGAGGTCCGTCGAGGATCACAAAAAAGGAGCGGTTTTATGTGAGGAGTACAAAACGGAGCAGATAAAGCTGAAATCGAGCAGAGAGAGAAATCTACAAGCTGAAGTAACGTTCTGGGCTCCTCGTTACGTGCTGCAAGCGGCTACGCTAAGAGCATTACTCGGGAATAAAGGCTTCATTCTCGACACCCGCCCTCGTATTCGGTTTTACTTTCTTCATCGAAATTAGTAAAACTCAATTTGGCTCTTGCACTCGAGCGCACTGCCCCGAGTCATAATGTCGCACCTTCCCGATGCCGGCCTTAATGTCTCACGGTCACGAGGACGCTGGCGCGTTTACATCTCAGATTCTGGAGCTATGGCTTCAGTTTCCTCGCCCGCTCAAGGACATGGCCGAGCAGCTAGAGAGAAGGCGGGCGCGGCCCTAGCGGCCGCGCTTTCCGCTGAAAACAGGGCCAGGCCGAGCTGGCGCCGGTCGCGCGGGTCGACCCGCGCAAAACGTACGGGGCCGGCGCCTGTTTTCCCGGCCCGTATCTGGCCAGCCTGCCCCGCCGCTCTTCGAATGGCGCGCGGGAGGGCCCCGCGCTCCACCGTCTGCCCGGGGGCTCGGGCACACCAGGAAGTCCCACAGCGTGCAAGCGCTTGCCGCAATTCTCGGGCAGATGGTCTCGTCGGCGGCGCAGCGTGAAGCGCCTTCCGCACTCCCACCGGGGAGACGTCGGCGCTGCGGCTGCGCGCTCTATTTACCGAGGCACGCGACAGCCCCAGCTGTTCTGCCGCGCGTGGGGAGCGTTATATGCGCCGCGGACGAGTCCTGCTCGAACTTCAGTTAGTGTTAGCAAAGAAAGGCGTTGGCGAGTGCCGAACTACCTCGCTGTTGCGTGTTCGTATTCTTTCGAGTTTAATAGGAATAGCAGAGCAGGCCGCAGAGTTCGAGTAGAAAAGAGAGTAAGTGCTGTAGGTGAGACTTGCAAAGCGGAGTCATGGCAGAAAGCGAGTGGAGAAAGAAATCTGCAGCTGAGTATAGCTTTAGGCTCCTGAGAAAGACTTTTGTTTTTGTTTACTTGCTGTTACTAGCTGTTGCTTGTATGAACGGGTGGCGCTGCCGCGTCGCCCGGTTCCAAGTTTCCCACTCAGCGATGCTACGTCGTCGCGCGGGACGGGGCTGCAGGCGCTTTTCGAGTCCTATAAGCAGCAGGGCTCGTCGTGTAGCAGCAGGCCGGTCGGCGCAGCGAGCCCGGGATCGGCATCCAGCTCAAGTGCCCCACCGAGCGCAATGAATGCAGCCGGCTACGGGTTCCGAAGGGCGTCAGGCGTCAGCATTGAAGGACGCCGCGCCGGCGTCGGTGGCTGGCTGGGCGCGACCCACGCAAAACGGGGCCGGCGCCCGTTTGCCTGGCCCTTATTTATCTGGCCGAGCCGGCCCCGCTGCTGTCCGATTAGCGGGAGAGCCCAGCGCGCCACCGTGCGCCGCGCGCCCGAGTCCGTAGGCGCGCACGTTAGGAAGCCCCGCAGCGTGCAAGCGCCTGCCGCAGCTCTGGGGCAGATCGCCCCAGAGGCACAGTGTTAAGCGTCTTACGCACCCCTACCCGGGAGAGATCGCCACTGCGGCTGCGCGCCCGCTCTGTTTAAGGAGGCGCGCGGCAGTCGCAGCTGTTGTGCCGCACGCCCGGAGCGTTCGTTCCTTCCATATTTGCGCCGCGGGTGGGGAGTCGCGCCAGAGCTCAATTACAGAAGAGTTTCGGTGAGGGCCGATCTGTCTTGCTGTTGCTTGTTGGCATCCGTTCGAGTAGTTTAATATCAGACCAAGGTCGACGAGCTTGGGCAGAGCGTGACTGAGACTGAGTATATATGAGAGTTGCAAACGAAAGTTATCTACTCAAGCTTCGTTTTTTGAATTTAGATCGCAAGATATGAGAATTGTGGAGCGGAGACGGAGTCAGTGTCAGGGAAGAAAGCGAGCAGTGAGACGAGAAGTCTACAGCTGAGTTTTGCTGTAGACTCCCGAGAACTGGCTGCTTGTAACTTTAGTTTTCCGCTATTTTGCTGGTTATAGCAGCAGAACAAGCGGGTTGGATTTATCACGTCGCTGCCGCTACTGTAGGCCTCCTGCTGCTCCATGACGTCGTGGAAGGCGCGAGCTCCTGCTTTACCGGTTTGCAGAGCCGCACCGCTCCACCTACGCAACGTCGCGAGGCCGATATCGTTAACGCGGCGGAAGGTTGCGGAGCCGAAGCCCGAACCCGAGGAGACGCGGCGACCCTGAAACGCGAGAACAAAGCGCGCGGGGGCTCTCGGAGATATCGCGGTATGACAGGCTACTATGCCGAACTTCGGCGCAATAAATCCGGGCCTTCGGCGTGATCAACCCGGGCGCAGCCTGTCGCGGCCCCTTGCCAGCCTTGCTGCTTGTCTGACCCCTCCCAGCTTCGCCGCTGTTTGAGCTTCGCCCCCGACGCCCGCGAGCACGGTGCGGGCGGGGGTTGTCCGTTGGCCCGAGCGCTGCGCTGCCGCCAATTACCTCGGCGGGCGCGCCGCGGCCCGCGTGGGCGTTGGGCGCGCCCGCGCTCCGCGGCGGCGCGTTTTGATTTCGACACAGAATCGCCCCCATGCCCATTGGGCGGCACGCCGTTCCCGCACCAGGGGGGGGCGCAGTTTGCGCGCCCCGATGCAGCGCGCAGCCACAGTGGCGGTGCCGCGCGCCAAGGACATCAGTCGCGTTCGCCGCGAGCGATTCTTGCTTACTAACCTAAGGTAAGCGTCGAACGTGCTTCGCGGATGTCCGTGTCTCGTATCGATAAAGAATAAGAGGCCGTGGGCTCTTGCTTCGTCAAAGTTGAGTGATGGTCGCGAGTGTGTCTTCGCACTGACAGGCCCGAAGCGTATTGAGAAGGACTTGTTCGTTGCTCGTTTCGTTGTTTCGTTTTACCGACGCTTCAGCAGCTCCGTTTTTCTTTGGGTTTTCCAAACAATGAAGTATGTTTATTTATCATCCAGAACCAGAAGTAGCTGAGCGTTTTTGGTTTGCTACATTTCGTGTTTGCTTCAGGCCTCAGGGGCGGAAGGTAAGCAAGTAGAAGCAGCAAAATGTCGCTCAGATCAGAGAACAAAAAGACTAGAATTGGAGAGACGCGTACGCACCAAAAACCGCACCTGTCAGGGATGTTGGAGTTGGCAGACGTAGAACATTCAATAGACGACAAAAGTAATGGTTGAGTTGGAAACTTAGACTTACTAAAATAAGTGAATTTTTACAATATCATGCCGGGATTCTTCGGTATCTTCGGGGTCGCCTCGTCCGCCTCTCCTGATAGTGGAGAGCCAGCAACCACCGAAACGCCGAGCTTTTCCAACGTTCTTCGCGAAAGGCAGAACGCTCTTCGCGAAAGGCAGCAGCGGCGGCTCACGAAAATCAAAGGGATGAAGGAAGAGGACGCATTCCAGTCGTTTGTCTCATCCTTGCGCCGAGCAAAAGCTCTCGGAGTCGATCTGGATGACTTTGGCGCATTTGCTCTCCAAGATGTCTATACCGAGGCTGATGTACTGCAGCCGTTTGCTTATTTACTTCTTCATTTTGCCGGCTGAAATGCTGTAATTTTTTATAGTTCATTGTTACTAGTCATGTTTGAAATTTAGCGCAACGCAAGATCCACACATATCTTCAGGTCCGGCCGGTGTGGGAAGGGCTTTCGGCGGAGGAAAAGCTGAGCGTCACACTGAATCTTGCGGACGGCCTGTTAATCAACGCTCAGGCGCGCGCGCATTTCATGGCCGCCGTCAGTGCCGCGCGGACGAGGAGTGCTAATTCATCCCGCACTTTTGATGGCACCACCTTGCCGGACTACTCCTCCACCAATCCGCGGCCGGCCGGCCGCACCAGCACGGGAGAGAGTCAAAACCCCGCGTCTTCGCCGCCGCCACCGAGCGGTATTTTTGGAAGCCTCTTCGGTCGAAACCCGTTTGCTTCTTCGAGTAGCAGCGCGAATCCCAGCTCCGCCCCCCTTACAGCTGCGGCCTCTAGCCCGCCCAGGCGACTGCTGAATCTGACCGCTGCGGCCTCTAGCCCGCCCGCGCGACTGCCGAATCTGACCGCTGCGGCCTCTAGCCCGCCTGCGCGACTGCCGAATCCGTTAGTACTGTCGGGACTGGGATCCAGAACTGCAGCTTCTACAACGTCAAGCGCAGTCGGAACGACCAGCACTCTCTTCGCCAGCCGAAACGCTCCGACGAGCAGCATATTCGGTGGAGCCTCCGCAAATCGGGACGCACCTACGACCAGCATTTTCGGCGGACCCTCCGCGAACCGGGATGCTCCGACGACGAGCATCTTCGGCGGAGCCCCCGCGAACCGGGATGCTCCGACAACCAGCATCTTCGGTGGAGCCTACGCAAATCGGGACGTCCCTACGACAAGCATATTCGACGGAGACTACGCAAATCGGGATGCTCCGACAACCAGCATCTTCGGTGGAGCCTACGCAAATCGGGGCGCCCCTGCGACAAGCATATTCGACGGAGCCTACGCAAATCGGGATGTTCCTCCGACGAGCCTTTTTAGCACTCCTGCTGCGGACAACGAGCAAGGCGCGGGCGCAGCCAGCTCCAGCGAGAATGAGCGGAACGAACCGGCAGGGGAGGACGCAGGTTTCTGGAGCAGAGGGCGGGCGATGCTGGACAAGGTTGCGGAGGCCGCGTCCAGCATGTTTGCTGACACCACAGCCTCGGAAAGCGAGTCGCAGGCCGCCGGTGCGACGGCTTCCGCCCGTGCATCGGAAAGCGAGGCGCAGGCCGCCGGCGCGACCACGGCTTCCGCAAGTGCACCTCCCGAAAACGTGCCGCAGGCCACCGGCGCGACGACGCAAGTGCGCACTAGTAATGATTCGGGGCGGTTGTTCAATACTAGTTTCTCTCCGACCACCCTCATTCATCTCGCCATCGAAATGGAAGCAGACGGTACTAACGAAGTCGGGGTTTAGCAGAGTGGTCCAACTGATTCGAACACAGCAATATTACTAATTGATGCATTTCGTTTTGATCAGCGGAGTAGTTATTTTGTCATCCTTATTTCCGCAAATTTGAAGGTCAAACGAGTACGCAGCCCTCGGGGAGCTCCTCCTCAACCGACCGCAATCCCAACTATGTTTACGGCGACGCCTTGCCCGACTCCACCCCTATTTTTATGGGGTACGGTACTCTGCCGGACTATTCATCTAGTCGTGCACCTGCATCGAGAAGTAACACCTTGCCCGAGATCAGGTCGTGGCCTCGTCCACCTGCCAACAACCGGATGCCGTTTCAGGGTCGCGCATACACATTGAACTCCAGCGACCAGTGATGTGAGAAGCCTCGGGTAGTTTTGGAATTTGAGAAGACGGCTGTCTTGACTGAGTTTTTAATATATAAAGCACTGGCGACACCTGACCTTGAACGCTGAACATCGTTTGGGTGCGAGAACTGACGCTGAGCACAACAATGAACAGTAAAGAAAGCTCTGACTTGATGACGTCAACCTACCTATTTAAGAACAAAACTTGACCAAGGTAGTAAGAAGATGACACAAGCGCCACCGCCAGCCTAGAGATGCTGTGACTACTCATGTACGAATTTGATTATACTTAGATTGATGAAATAAAATAAATGTTGCTTGCGTCATCGGTCGTTCAGAACTGTATTCGCCATTTTATTTTCAGAATTTTGAATGAATGTTTCGTCTCACCCTGCGGCAGGCGGGTGCGTTGTTTTGCTGCAGAACAAGGAAGCTGCTTTTGCGCAGAGGTGGAAAAAATGTAAATGTGAATCTGCCTAAGCCTGGGTGCGCGTGCCGTCCAAGTCACGTGCTGCCGTGTTGCGTTATTTTTACTGTACAATCAGAACCACGCTAAATTTCTATTTCACGACTGCACGTGGACAGTCGTGACAAAGAACTGGTAAAAGAATGACCGTGGAACCGTACGATAAATAAGAGCTTTTATTTGAAGAGACGAGAAGATAAACAAAATTAAGATGGAGATAGTGATTCAGTTTCTGATTGCTTTTTCCACAATTCGTGAAAAGGAATCAACAGCGAATCAAAATCAATCACGATGGCCACAAGCCATGATCATGAATTGGAGTGATTGAAAATGTCAATTGTTCCGCTATCAGTTGTACTTGACGAGGGAGTTCGTCCGTCTTCGACATTGATGTTGTTCGTACTAATTCTAATCGGTAATTTTCGTATAATTGGTTACAACGTGTATTCTTTTATTTTTGTGATTTGGATTTTACTGAGTGATGGAACAGAACGCTTATGGAAAACTGCCTTGCTGGGTCGATGCAAATCTAAAAGAGGGATTTATGAATACAAACATCGTGAAGGGGAAGATTGATCCGTCTTCGGTCGTCAATGTCACGTCATCTACGTAGTTCGGGGATCGGAGGTTTTCGTAAATACGCGGCACACTCTGCTTGGGACTGTTCAAATATCGGCCAAGAATATGTCCTCTTCGTCAGTGCATTGAGCTCTTTTCGGTGCCTTACAAAGATGCAGTAACATTCCACCAGACGACGACTTATACAGTCTCGGGTTGTTGCTTTTGGATGCATAGGTGTAAGAGAAAAACACAATAGGGAAGTGCAGACGGAGGAAACTCTGCTTTTCTTTTGAAAACATCTTTCAGCAGCTCTTGAGAAAGGCTCGTACTTATTTATTTATTCGACAAAATGTTTCAATTTTGCGAATTAGACTCCTTCAAGACTGCCCTAGCTCACATCTGGAATACACCGGAAAAGGAGAAGGTGTATCCAACACAGGTCCGGCTGATCAGCGATGCATTCGCAAAACACGAAATCGAACTGTGCGAATATGGTGGAGACGAGGAACAGTTCATGCGCGAGGTTTGCAACAGCTGCATAAGCTTTTTCTTCATTTGGGATATTTGCTTAAGTATTTTATTTGAGTTATGGCTCTTCCCTGAATGCAAATGCATACCTCGAGCAAGTGTGACTCAGGAGCTGATCATGAAAGCATACAGTGTCCAACGAATCGAAAAATATTGATATTCCTCAACAGGTTGGTCTGCTGTTTGAAGTCATGAACGAGGACATGCGCTTCAAGCTCCTGATCAGCATGGTCTCAGGTTTGGCGGAAGGCCAGCAGAAGCACAGCACGCTGATCCAGCAGAACTCGGATGCGCTGCAGAAGCACGAGGAGAAGACCCAGAATCAGTTCGAAGAAATGTTGGCGCGTTTGCAGAAAGCGGAGGAAACAATCACCATTTTGCAAAAAACGACGAGGGAGTTGACCAAGTGGAAGGCGGAGGAGAAACTACGGACCTTCAGCCGGTACTGGCGGGAGATTCAGGGCAGAGTATTTAAATAATTTATGTTGAGTGATCTGGTGCGTTTTTTTGTCATGCGTGTTGTGCTGGTACATGAATCGTATCTATTGCATGAAAGCTAGTGCCCCTACGCCTACCTTCTCTATCAAGTCCAATTGTGTCTGGAAAAGATGCTCGCAGTGCTTGCTGGGTGGCAGGCGAGAGAAGTGGAAACCTATTTCTGTGCTATAGAATACTCTAGTCTATGCAGTATGCTCTTTGCGATATGAAGATACAAAAATGTGACTTGTCATGCGGTTTACGCAAATCGTAGTGGTTCAACCTGGTCAAAAACTCGTCATGCTGGACTGCATACTATTTGTATGCCTGCTATATTGTTTTATATGTAAGGTGATGTATTTTGTTTTATTTATACACGGTTGAAACAATTGCACCGTGCCCACGGCGTGTGGGAGTCCTCGTTTGGACTTGTTTCTGAGAGAATACGACTGACTTTGAAATAATTCTGTTTGCAAAAATGTCCTTTGGTCGTCTGTCGTCGGTGACGACGCTTGTCTGATTCAACCTACGGCTGTGTCTCTGCGTTTCTCTTGTGCGTCGGCACCCGCTGGAGGTTGTTGCGGAAGCAGAAATCACACACGACTTCACTGCGAAAACAAAACTTCGATCTGGAACTCACCTGCGAAAATTCTACCAGCGCTGCGTTTTGAACTACTAACGATCAACAAGAAGGCTCTACACCGGCTCTAACAACTTCCGCTTCTATCCAATTTTGTTTCTCCTCTGTTTCTTATCCGAAAAGACCACTACTTTCTGCAACCATTGCTTTACGTCCACCAGGCCCCTTCGTTCGTAAATTTAGGCGTGGGCAGCGCGAATTTTGTTGCACATAGTCGTGGACAGCACGATTTAGATCAGCATCACAACGTCGCTCAAGGTGCAAACGAGTAGTGCAAATTCGAACAAAGGCGCCACATGATGACGGGAAACGGCTCCGAGTTCGCAACTATTAGCATCGGCAAAGTGGGCCACACCGTGGCGCACCTCGCAGCTGACCGCGAGAGAATCTTCGAAGTGCCGCAGCACTGTCAAGAGAAGGCGCCTGCAGGAACGGCGCTGTTAAAGGATGGCAGTTACATCGACGCTAATGGGGACAAGGTGCATACCATCGGCGCATACAAAAAACGAGCGGAGATCGACTTCCAGCTGTACCTGCTTGAGCGCCTGAAGAAGGCCGCGATTCTTTCGGTCGACGACATCAAGAAGATCGACGAACTAGTGCAGCAAAAGCGGGAAGCACGGGACGGAAACCATGAAACCGACAATGGGGACATCGAGATGTCCCCGACAGAGACCGACATCTGCATCCAGCTCCCGGACCACCTCTATGATGTCAATTCCGACCAAGAACAGCATGGCTTCGAGTCGGCGGACGAGGGAGGTGTTGATGGTAGCGAGCGGAAAGCGGCGCGACGGGAGGGTAGCAGCAAAAAGCGTCGGTCTAGCTCGGCAGCGAAAGCAGGCGGGGGTGGACTTCTAGCAGTCATGAACGAGTTTGCGACACCTGTGCGGTCGCGATTGCTGTACGGATGCCAGACCCGATCCTTCAACAAAAAAGAACTTCTACGCCTCGAAGAGACAGAGAATAAACTGCTGCGAATTTTGTGCAACGTCAACAAATTCATCATGAAACAGCACGGAATAAAGTCCTACCACCTCAGAGCACGCCTGCAACTTCCGCCGATTTCCGCTGACATTATGTACATGAAAACAACACACTACGCCCACCTACTCAGGAAGCCCGTAGACTATGGTTCAACCTGGTCAAAAACTCGTCATGCTGGACTGCATACTATTTGTATGTTCTGTTCGTCATCGACTAGTCAGCACCCCTCTACATAAGTACTTTTTTTAATTTAGCCGTGCGCTGCCTGACCAGATATGCCTAGCATTTGCACCACCTTTTTCAAAAAAAACACCTTACAGCCATCCACTGACGAAAAAAGCTACCACTCATTCAAGAGTTTTTTGGAGAAGGAATACGGCGTCGATGGTACCTGGATTCGGGTGTGTCTCGATTTATGGACTGCAAATATGCCAGCGGCAGCGTCACAAGGCGAAGGCAGACTTCGATCATGAGAGTTCGGTTAGGCGGGAAAAGTAACTAAGCCTTTTTGAAATTTGTTGGCTCTGTTTACTATTTGACTGAGACCAAATACATAAAAGTCATGTCAGAGTCCGAGTTTCCGTCTGCAATTTTTCCTGGTTCGCCTGGTGTTGTATTTGCATTGGATTCGACGACTACGCGCTCCCAATTGGCCGCATGGAAGAGGGTGCGGAGTTAGGTGGAGGCCAGGGGGCCTTGCAGGTATCCACATGAAACTCCTGCCATCGCCAGTTCGTCTTGTTTCAAACTTGTCCTGTATACTGCATCTGCTGTGCTTGGTGCGCTTTAGCTTGCTTTCGTATGCTCCGAAAACAGATAGCAAAACTGAAACTTAAACGATTGCCTGATGGCCAGCTTCATGTGGACACATGTTCATTGGCAACTACGCTTCGAAAAACAAGATTGCAGAAAAGGTAAGTATCTACTTATAATGACTTGTCTTGCTACTTTGTTCATTCTGGAAGCATCTGGTATGATGAAGTGAAATTCCGCAGATGAAAAATGATGAAGAAGAAATCAATACAATTACATGTGCAAAACAGCTATTACAACTGTACGCCTGCTTCACGCTAAAGGCCGAGGAGGCCCAGAACAAAGCCGCTATCGGCGTCCTTCCCTCCATGGCGCAGAATCTCTTACGCATGGTAGTCTACTAGTCAAGTCGAATTAAGTATGCAATTGCACGCACACACGACACCACTACCACTCACAGTAGAATCAGCTGTCATGTCTGCAAAAGGGAAAACGATGACAAAGGGCGTTTCGGCATGACTAGAAATTTTCTTTCCACACCAATGCATGCACGCACTTACGCTGCCGAACATCGCCAAAGAGATCGGAGCTGACGCGGCAGACACGGAGATGCAGGCGGCCGTAAAGGTGCACCACTGGCTCGCCAAACGCGATGTCGGTTTTTTCCGAAGACGCGACGTCCCGGGGCAGAGCATCTCGACACAGTACCGCGAAGCGGAAGCCCGTCTCGACCAAGCGGTTTTGTACGCCTAGCAGCGCCAGTACGGGAAGTGGTGATCCTTGTGCATGCTGTCTCAGTTTCTCTTTCTACTGTGTCGCATACTGCTACTGACTCAAATGTTGGAAATGCACTATTCTTGTGTCAAGACGCCTCAACATACTTCCTCTTCTCCTGTACAAATTTGTTTATATTTTTTCTCTTTGATCGCTTGTTCATATCGCCTGCGGACACCAGGTATCGAAGCAGCGATAATCACGCTGTTGTGCTTACTAGCAGTCGTGCAACGCAAGCACAGCTGTCATTTAGACAAAAAATACAATGCCTCCGCAATACACCAGGCACGTGAGTGTGTTTTATTCTATTTAGATGGCGCTACAACAGTGTCAACTCGAAAATTTATGTGTCGATTTGCGAGCTGGGCTCTGTCTCGTGTGAAGCTTTCATGAAGCATGATGAGCGTGATCACAAGACGGCGTAGCTCAGGTTGCACCGAGTGCATTTCGACGCTTTTGTTTACAAGAAGAAAGGCCCGCCCACACCGATGCGATAGTCGCAGTAAAGTCACAAACCACATGTACATATCAGTGATGTTATTTCTGTGCCACATCACCAACTGACATTCTATTCATTTTCGCATTGCTCTTGCTACATATGATATTTTCTTGATCAGTAACGCAGTTTGTTTTTCTTATTGCATTTTGCTTCTAAAAATGGTAAAAGAAAAAGCAACGCTTGTTCCCATGCGCCCGTTGATCCAGCCCTGAGAGAAGAGAAAGTAAGTTTTTGTCGTGAGAGAGGTGGGAAATTAGCTCGATACCTCCTCGGCATGTAAAAAATAGCCGAGAGCGACATCAATATCGGGGCACTGCCAGACCCAGAGTGAGTATTAGATGTTTCAAATCGGATGGCGATCGCAAAAGAGCGACTTGCTGACTTCTCTCGTCCACTGGAAAGTTCTAAGATTGGTCCTGTGATCTTTGTCGAGACGTTTCGCGGCATCTACCCTAGATACAAAAATCGAGCTAGGGCGTTTCTTGGAGCGATAATTCATTGAGAGCAGTATTTTCGAGTGAGCGTGCACGAATGCAGATTACACAAAATAGTACTGCATCACTCGCGAATTACTCCTCAATGTGAACAATATTTTGTTTACCGACTTTTAGAGGTTACGTAAAGCTATTGGAGCTTGATGCCGAGCTCGCACCACTAAGCTGCATCTGGGCTGACACACTGGTGTTGCAATATGGTTCTAGTATGAAGAATAGCACCTGCCGACTATTGAACGCAGTAGAGGAACTTGCGCCGTTGCAACGTGGCCTACCGCTATTGCCAAGCAAAAACACATCTTCTTTGGGCCGCAAACACGCTCGTCGAGCCCGCGGGATCACCAAAACGTGAGGGAGGCCTCAGTGGCGCAGGGACGAGCGACGATGGAAGGTGACGCAAGCGCATTGAAAGGGTCGTCCCCTCCTCGAGTACCGAGCAAGAAAACCACAAAGATTATGTTTAGTCCGCAGCCCGTTTTAGTGGTGCCGGAGGGGAAGCCGGGAGCTCTACCAATCGACTACGGGAATTTGAAGGGCGGACTCGCTGCATTGCTGCCCCAGTCTCGGGCTGCGCCTGCGATAGCAGCAACCGCATCAGCACAGTCTACAACTACGACAAGTGACAAATCACGAGTACCTGCGAACGGACTCGGAGATGTCAAGATTGACCGCGACGTGCACTCCGGGTCACTGTCCCTCCCAGTAGTACCTTTTCCGAAACCGCAACCAATTCAGAAGGTCGTTACTCAGCGCATTGTCTTTTTTTTGAAGAACTGCGTGATGATCTTTCAGGTCCTAAGGTCATCTTAATCTTATATGATGAAGAACATGATATTGATAATATGCGGAAACACGTACTGTTACGGTTGGTGTCCATTGGAAAACAGGAACAGACTGCAATCGGTTTGACTGCGGCCACCGGTCTGCGCGAACACGAGAATGACTTGGGAAAACTGGAAATCTCGAGACTCGAGATACTGCGAACAGTCCTCTCCGAGGCCGACATCGTACATTTACGACGAGCCCGTAACAGCACCGGATTTCTACAGGACGAGCCCGCTGGATTTCTTCCCCTGGCCGTTGCACTTGCCACTGCTAAACCAAATGCGACGATTCCAAACGAGTATAGTCTCAGCTGATTCTTTATTGCGTGCGCAGTTTTTGCACGCGATTTGTGCATGTTGGTGCCTTTGGGCTTTTGTTGCTGCGTGATCATGAAGAGTTCGTGCAAACGATTTAGGAATATTGATTAGCGTTGACATCGGTTCCATTCCCAACCGAAAAATATACAATACCAGCTACACGATAGTCTTCAAGATGCCAGATTACACCAATGAGACGCGACCCGGTACGCCGGCTCCGCCGGGAAGAAAAGGTCTTGCGGCCCACCAGGAGGATCAACGAGAGAGGAGTGCCAGGGACACGACGAAGGCCAAGGGCAAGCAGCAGGTGAACCCCGATGAAAACGAGTCGGAGCCCAAAACAAAGCGTCCGTGTTTCGAGAAGGCACCCGCAACGGCCAAAAGTAGTACCAGCGCACACCAGCCGCAATCGAAGATGAAAGTAGATGAAGCGCGTCCCCAGACCCCGGCTGCCGCCGGGGCGAAAGCTCCAGCATCCTCTGCGCGAGACCCGGGACCGGTGGATGCGGAGTTTTCCGGCCCTCTGCACGCCCGCAAAATCTCGCTCCTGAAAGTGCTGCGGAACCAGTGTGAGGAGGCGTTGCGTTGGTATCTGGCAGCTTCCTACAACAGCGCCGCCAACCCGGAGTATCTCTTGCGTGCTTCCAAAACGACCAGAGACATGTGCGGCCTGGCTTTGTTCATTGGTCACGAAATGAAGAAATCGACATCTTCTTCGAGAATGGACAAAGCGAAAGTTCACGCGATCGACGCCATTCTGTGCGACGTCAACAATTGCGCAGATCGTTGTCAGATTGGCGGGAAGAAGCGCATCGGCGGCCCAGACATCCAGTCCGGCCAAACGGACAGCACACTTGGCTGTGTAGTTTGCGGCAGTGACCAGCGGAACCGCGACAAGTCGATCAAAGCGCAGCTGAGACCGCGAGAGGGAGAGTTTTGTGTTTGCCGGGGCCAGATTTGCGGCTACGTCGTAGCGAATCGCACACAGCAGGACCACCAGCCACAGCGACAAGGTACGATGACACCGGCGTACGAGAGGAAAATGGGGCGACGGCCAAATGTGTGGAAAACGATCGGGTGCGACAGCAAAGACGAGGCCCGATCTGCCAGCGGTTTAGTCGCGGTCACTGCACAGACTATGGCTGCGACGCTGTGGTCGCGATACCAGCTGACTGATGCCACGCAGGTCTTCATCAAGGCCTGCATTACTGAACAGGTTGCGTCTGGTTCATCAAGTGGCACTAGTTCGTCTAGTAGTAGTTCGTCTAGCAGCGGAACCACAAATCTCGAATCGGAGAGCAGACTTCTCGCCGCACTCAACACGGAACTTTCTCTCCTTGGCCACATCGTCGACAACATAAACTCGGCGATAGTGCCACGCGTCTATTCTCTCCGTTCATCTTCAAGGGGTGAGACGGAACCGGAGACTTTGCAGGCCAATGTCTACAGCCTCGACAAAGCCATCAAGCTGGAGTACGGCCACAACCAGCAAGCTATCATACGCAAAACAGCTAGCAGGTCACATCTGTAATGCGAAAATAATCGAACAGAAAATAAAAAAGAAGAAGAATGAAAAAATCTAGGCTCGCCTATTCGCATGCTGGTCTTAGGCGAATAGCGAGACTCGAACTCGATGCAGATTTTTTGTGTGTGTCTATTTTCTTTTTCGCATTACAAATTATGATATGCTAGGCTTTTTCTTTTTCTGCGGGATACAAGCAGTAGCGGACGGGGAAAGTGGTACGGGAATAATTCTGGAGCACTGGGGCCCTTCCCTGATAGATGTAATAGAGAAGGCTGCGCGGCCAGACCTTTCTTCACTGAAGACCGCTCTGCAGTGTATGCGGCCTGTTTACCTGAAATTTATAGCGGAGGTCGGGAGAGCCTACAAGGCGCTGTGGCTCGGTGGAGTAATTCACAATAAGATTGCCCTGGAGCACATTTTGATCCGGCTTGACGACCATAAAGGTAACTGTAGTCATTTTTTTGGGCGCGTTGGCTGTGTGGAGGTTTGTTGTATGGCTGGAATATCATTGAATGTTTGTTTATTCGGCAGGCACAATTGAGAAATTAGTCTTCTGACTTCTAGATAGTGAACTAAATACTCATCTTCTGGTGGCTGACACTAGTCGCTAAGGACGCATCTTCATTCGGACGCATGCTTAAAAACAGGTGCGGAAGGGCAAAAGCTGCTGGTCCCAAACGTGAGGTTGGTCTCCTTTGCAGAGGCCGAGCTCGTGGAGGATTTGGGTGCTGAACTTGCTGCGTGGTGCGATGGCGCAAGTGTGAAAACGCAAGACAACAAACCAGAACAGTCCGGCACGGAAGGCTCGCGGATTAAGATGGAAAAACGAGTGCGGTCGTTGACTTCATTTTACCCCCGTGCGCCGCCGGTAGTCTTTATGCTTCTTCATGCTACGCGTTGTAGTTCTACTTGTTTTAGATTTAGTCGTTGTCTAGAGCAGTGCGCATGATGCGTTTTCGCTTGTTGTTCTTGCTGCCGTGACAGAAGTATTCTCGAATTTTATTACAACGGACTATCGTTTTTGGGTTTGGTTTTCCTTTTCGAACGCGAAAAATATTTACACAGATGTTGGCGCCGTCCTACGCCGTTTGGCGCTCCACCTCTCCCACAAAAGGTGCTGACGTATTCGGAACATCAACTACCAAGGCTAGCGAACCGGTTCCCGAAGCCGATGTATTTGGGCACGAGCTAATGGCCGTAGCGGCGCTTGTGACGAAGTTCCGAGTGCGGGTGGAGAGTCGCTGTGATCCAGACAAGGGCCTCCTTTCCCCGGAAACGGTAAGAAGGTTTGTCGACTGCGATAATTTCCAAGAATTCCTAGAGTTGGTCCGGGACTCGGACGTCCAAAATGTGCTAATCAACTCCACCCGCCTCGCGTTTGGGGAGGTGTTCGCCGAGTATGTCAAGGAAAAAGTCCTTTCGGAGTCGCAGCTACCGAACAGGGAGGAGAAGCAGTGATAAAACAGGAGAGAGATGAGGTTTATGTCTAAACTATCTGCACCCTGAATTTTGGTACGATAATTGAAAAGTAATGTAAGAACAACTCTCTGTTGACGCTTGACTCGTTTCAGGATTGCTGAACTTCTTGTAAGATTTTGAGTTTATTCGAGCTAGTTGTACCGGTACAACAATTTGGTGGAGTGTGGTTGAACTTTGCGGAAAATGAATCTCACTTCTCACATTCACGAAAACCCTGCGCTTCGTGACCAAGAGGAGCCATTGATGTTTCACAGATACTAAAATCAATGACAAAAAATGTATGTTGTCAGGTTTATCGTCCACACCCAACGAGCAAGAATCTGATGCGAATATCAACTGAAGATGAAATAGAAACAGAGACAAGTGAATGATACTTCTTGATGTGGCAGGAAAAATACTTTCTAACCTGCAACAGATGCAGAAATCCAATTTCGAGTCTGAGCATGGATTTTTTGACAAAGTGGCCACCTGTCTCGTCACTCTGTGTGCTTCTACAGCATTGTTTCTCGTTGTCGCATGAGAAAAGCCGTTTGTCGTTGTACATGAGAGCTCCGTGCGGCAGACGCAAATATAGTCGCCTGTGCGCTTTTTTCAAATTACTCGAGCTGCATAGGGAGAGAAGGTGCGCACCTCTGTGTTTGTTAATTTGATTCTTGCAAAAATTGTCGACTGAATCTTCGACTACGTAGTCGTGCAAAAGCGGCGCGGGAAACACGTATACAACATCTGTTTTCGTGGTTGTGTGTATATATGCCTACCATCGACTTCGAGAAGAGCAAGAGAGTATTGCTTAACACCGTCACTGCAGACCACGAACCCGAGAAATCAAAAAAGTATCTGAAGCCCGTGACCGTGTCGTTTTTTCTCGAGTGCGCAACTTCGAGAGAAAGCTACTCACTAGCAAAAGTGAAAAATAGTGAAGATAGATCTGTATATATTCATAATTGGCAGACCGCATCCCCTGGAAAATCAGCAATCAGTAGAAGGAAAGCACTAGTACACACCGCACAACAAGTAAGTTAGAAGTAGCTGCACGCGCTCGGAAAGACGGGTACGAGGAGGGTAGCAACTCCTGACATCATCATGGCAAAACAAGAACTCTCCGAAGACCGGCGCTACCAGTTTCTGAAACTGGGCCTTGTCGTGTTGATCGCCGCTCTTTTCGAGATCGTCGTTTTGCAGGAGGTGGAGCACGGCATCGTGATGGCCTTCATGATGATTGCGGGATACTTCAACTGTTTCGTAATGGGAGAGCAGCATGAAGTGGACAAAAACTTGCTGCTGCTCTGGATTTTTGTGGCGTTCGTTAGCGCTGCGAGCGGCGCAGTGCCGCTGGTGGGCCGCGTCGCACTGGTTGGGGGACCCGCCTCTCTCGCTGCGTCTGACTGGGGGCTCCTCGGGACTTTGGTCGTCAGCGGCGTCAGCCTGCTCACCATGGCTACCTTGGCGTACCAAATCTGCGACGACTCGTCTCTTCCGGGGTCCAACGCGCCGCTCACGACCGGTACGAAGGCGGATTGATTTTTGCGATTCTATGAAACATAGAAGTGCTTGTAGAGGTGCTTGTACTAACTACAACTACATGGACATTTCCATTTCGCAGTGGGTTTTATGCTCGCGTGATAGTTTCGAAACAACTACAACATCAATTGAAGGTGAAAACCAGAACACCAGAAGCCGGCCGGGCTTGTACGATTCGATGCCCAATTTTGGGGCCATCAATCCCGGGGGATACGTGCCGTCGCAGGCGGAATTGCGGGCCATGTCCGTCGGTGGACAACTCAACATCACGCCTTTTACGGGGCAGGGGCACACCGTGAGTTCCCCGGATGCCTGCTAAACGAGAAAATGAATGCAGCCATTGGCAATCGAAGAAAATTTTGGAGTTAAGTGCAGATACAGTTTCAAATGAATGTGAATACCAACAAACAAACAAAAATAAATTTGTGATACACGATAACTTATTGTCAGGATCTTGCTCTTTTCGACGAAATCTGATGTGTTTCGCTATTTTGCAACTGCGCACCAGTCTTTAGAACTTTAAATTTTTTGTTGTTTCTTGAACTCAATCTCATTCTCAACCTGCTTAATCTTGAGCAGAAATATGAAATAGAAATGAACTCGTCTCCAGGGGTTGCCCTGCAGTCACTCTCTCTTTCTTGATGAGGAAGTTTCACCAAAGCAAGGATGGGTCTCTCTTTCTTGATAATGGAGGACAGGTCTAACTGACAAACCTAATTAGAAAATCTAAACTGCCAAGAACTACACTGTGCGTACAATATGGAGATTAACTAAAAGCTAAAGCTGAACTTAGTACTACGGCATGAATGAGCCTGAATCAGCTGTCCTCGAACCTTGTAAAACACGGGCGCTGGTGGACGGGCAACGCAGCGGGGTCTTACGATTATATTTATATTGGAACGCGGCTTTAGCGTGAGCATTCGGACTCGAAACGGAAAACTTCCTGCCGGCAGGAAGTTTCTCGGACTGAGCTCCTTTTGGGAGGCCATAGCATGGGGACTTGGGCCCAAAACGAAAAACTTCCTGCCGGCAGGAAGTTTTTTTGGCCGGCCTCCGGGTGGCGAGGTTGGCTGGCTGGCCTTCGGGACCCAGGAAAAAGGTGGTCCAGCCAAAAAACTTCCTGCCGGCAGAAAGTTTTTCGGGTCGAGCCCCTTTTTGGAAGGCCATAGCGTGGGACTTCGGACTCGAAACGGAAGACCTGCTGCCGGCATGATAGGCTCCTCTGGGGGCGGCAAGTGGAGGCCTGGCCAAAAAACTTCCTGCCGGCAGGAAGTTTTTCG